ACGCCGCGTAGGTCACAAGCGCTCGGCCCGCGTCCATGGCGCCTGCCCTCGCCGCTGGTCGACGACGATTGCGTGGAGTCCGGGGGCGGCTTCTACCGGCTCCCCGGCACGGAAGACGAGCGGCACGAGGAGACGACCGAGCAATTGGAGACCCTGACGACGGGGGTGATTTTGACGAAAGAAGGGAAGATCAGCCGCGCGGGCGGCGACGGCAACTTGAAATTTTTCCAGCAGGCGCTCAAGAAACGCGTCGCCGACGCCAGCGGCTGATCTGCCGGCGGATCGCGCCGGGCCCCGGGGGACGCGCGCGCGATCCGCAACTAAGCAGACGGAACAAGCCGTTACGTGACGGGGACGGGGCAGCGGCGCTCGCCGGCAATCGCGCGGAAGCCTCGGAGCTCCACGCGACGGGGGGGGGTTCGCGGGGCGAGGTTCAGGAGTAGTAGTGGGCGGGCGGCGGCGGCGGCCCGTGGCCCGGCGGCGGCCCGTGGCCCGGCGGCGGCCCGTGGCCCGGCGGCGGCCCGTGGCCCGGGCGCCGGTCGTAGCGGTCGTACTGGGCCGAGCCGTGGTCGTAGGGCGACGCCATGCGGCCGCTGGGCTGGAGCGGGTGCGTCGACGGGCCCAGGGGCTGCCGGCCGGAGCCCTGGTAGTCGCCGGGCAGGCTCCGGCGGGGCTCGGCGTCCGGCGCGCCCTGGTAGCCCGGCTGGCCCGTGTTGAACGTCGCGCCGTCGTACATGCCCCGGCAGGCCGCGTGGTACTCGAACTTGATCGGCGCCCCGCTCGACGCGAGGCTCTTGAAGAGCGCGCCGAGGTCGCCGCTCAGCGGCGGCGCGGCGGCCGCGGCGTCCGGGCCCGCGCCGTGGACGATCATGGCGCCCTGGTCGTAGCCGCAGCTGTCGCGGCTGTGCGGCGGCGGGCCGTAGCTGCCGCGGTCGTCGTCGTTGCGGTCCCGGCCCCGGGGCACGGGGCCGCGCGAGTAGCTGTCCCGGCCGCTGTCGCGATCCCGGCGGTCGTCGCGGCCGTAGCCGCCGTGGGCGCCGCTGCCCCGGCCGTCGCCGCCGCGGCGGTCGCCGTCGCCGTCGTAGCTGCTGCGGTCGCGGCCGTAGCTGCTGCGGTCGCGGCCGTAGCCGCCGTCGGCGCCGCTGCCCCGGCCGTCGCCGCCGCGGCGGTCCTGGCGGCCCGGGGAGAGCTGGTCCCGGAACGGCCGCGAGCCGGAGCCGCCGCGCGGCGCGGAGCCGCTCCGCGGCGGCTTCTCGGACCCGGCGGCGGGGCCCTTGGGCGCCAGGTTCGTGGGCTGGGACTTCTTCTGGCCGCCGATGGCCTCGAAGAGGAGCCGCTTCATCTCCGGGAGGCTCACGTTCGTCGGCACGTCCCACGCGACGCAGGCCGCGCGGACCTCCTCGGCCTTGAGCTTGTCCCGGACGTGCGTCCAGGACGGCGCCGGCGCCAGCTCCTTCTTCCAGTTCTTGGCCGCCGACTCCGACGCCGGCTTGGCCGCGCGCGCGCGCGCCGGCCGCGCGGCCTTCGCCTCGGGCGCCGCCGGGGGGTCCGGCGGCTCGACGCGCTTCCGCGCGCGCGGGATGAGGCCCTTCTTCCACGTCTCGTACGCCGAGAAGAACTCGTCCGCCTCCGGCGACCCCGGCTGGCCCGTGGGCTCGAGGCGCTCGACCTTGCCGTCGAACTTGCAGAGGTCGGCCCCGGCGCACATCATCGTGCCCTTGGTTTTGGCGCACAACAAAACCTTCATCCACCCCACCTTGCCCTGCTTCGACACGGCCTCGCCGCCCTCGAAGACGCCGAAGAAGCGCGCCGTGATCATCTTCCCGCCCCGCAGCAGCCGCAGCTTGTCGCCCCGCGTGAACACGACGGGCGGCGGCTTGAGCTCGAGCATGGGTTTTGGCTGGAAGGCGGCGGTCTTGTACACGACGCCCAGCCCCGCCGTCGAGGCGCACGCCGGCTCCTTGTCGTAGAGGATCAAGTTCTTCGTCGTCCGGCCGAAGCAGGCCTCGCGCGCGTCTCCGGGCTCGAACACCGGCCGGACGACGGGCTTCGGCAGCCGCCACGCCTGCTCCGCGACGGACAGGCCCCGCAGCTCCTCGCACTGCTGCACGCCGGCCGTGCGATCCACCACCGCCACGTTCTCGCGCGCCTCGGCCGCCGGCGCCGCCGGCGCCGCCGGCGCCGCCGCCGGCGCGTCCGCCGGCGCCGGCACCGGCGGCGGCTCCTGCACGCCGTCGCCGCCCTCGGCGGCGCTCACCACCGCGCCCACGGGCGACTCGCCGCCCATAGCGACCTTGGCGGCCTCGCTCGTCGTCGGAGTGTCGCCGCGGTTGCTCTCCGCCGGCGCCAAGGGGGACTTTGCAGGGCTACCCATCTCAAACCCGGGCGTCTCCCGAAGAATTTATTAATGTGAACTCATTTTATTATTTTGGCCGGGGATTACTTGACGCCCTGCTGCGTCCTCATGTAGCCGCCCCCCGATCCGCTGGTAAGTGGCTCGGCGAGACCGAGCCACGCGCCAGTTTTTCGGGAGGCGCGAAGTAACGAATCGTATGTGTCTTACGCCCCCGGGGCTTTCATTTCAGAAGAAGAGGATCGGCGTGGCCGGCGGCGGCGGCGCGGGCGCGTAGAGGGCCCGGGCCTGGTCCACGCCCAGGTCCTGGCGCCACTTGAGCCCGTCCTTGACGCCCTCGCGGTAGCCGCGGCGGTACTGGCCGCCGCCGGCGACGGCGCGGGCGACGATCGCGGCGCCGACGACGGCGAGCGCGGCCGCCGGCGCGTGTTTGGCCGGGTCGCGGAGGGCCGCGGCCGCGGCCGCGGCGAAGGCCTCGACCGCGGCGGCCGCGAGGCGGCGCGACCGCGCGGCGAGGCCGCGGAGTCGGCTCCCCGCGAGCGGCGGCGGCGCGGCGACCGGCGGCCGCGGCGCGTCGGCCGGCGCGTCGTCGACGCAGGCCGCGTAGTGGCGCCGCTCCGGCGACCGCGCGGCCGGCTGGGGCCGGACGTCGAGGAGCGCGAGGTCCTGGGCGCTCACGCCGGCGTACATCGGGCTCCGCAGGGGCTTGGGGAGCAGGTCCGGCGAGATGGGCGGCGCGGGCGGCGGCGGCGCGGACGACGACCGCTTCTTCCTCCGCGCGAGCTTCTTCTTCGCGGCGGCCTTGTCCGCGCGCCACTTCGAGACGATGGCGTCGACGGACGGCGGCGCGACGTTCTCCTTGTCGTCATGGTAATAGCCGCCCGCCGCGTTCGCCTTCGTCGACGTCTTGACAAAGTGCTCGGCGTTGTGTTTCGTCTGGAGCACGGCGTTGTGGTTCTGAATGTTCTGGAGCGACAGGGGGCCCGGCGCCATGATCGATAGTATTCAATTCGTTGCGGCGGGCGGCGAGGGGAGCCAGGGGAGCAGTTCGCGTTGCGGCGGGCGGCCAGGGGAGCAGTTCGCGCGTGCAACGGCTCGTGGTGATTATGGTTTGAGCTGCTCTGAATTTCACAGAGTCTTCACAGCGAGAACGGCCGCCGACGCCTCCCGCGGCATAAGCCTGGCATACCAGTACGTCGGACGCCTCGTCGGAGTCGTCCGAAGAAACGTCCTCCTCCTAGCTCGGAGGCTTCCTCGAGACCATCCCAGGTCGCCGAAGGAGGGGAGCAGACTAACTGGAGGGGAGCACAGGCCCGGCGACTAGAGCGGCGAGTCCGCGGCCGTTTCGAGGGCCGCGGCCGCGGGCGTCGCGTGCCGCGCGAGCGCGCGGTCGAAGGCGCGCTCGAAGGCGAGCGCGCCGCGGCGCGCGGCCGCGGCGACGTCCGCCGGGTCGCGGCCCCGCGCGCGGCCGGCGAGGAGCGACGCGACCTGCGCGCGCGCGGTCGTCGCGCCCCGCGGCGGCGTGGAAAAAAAAAGGGACGCGGGGCGACGCGCGGCGGCCTCGATCTTGCCCGCGAAGGGCGACGGCGCCGCGGCGTCGAGGTCGTCGTCGAGGGCCGCGCGGTGGCGCTCCGCGGGGCTCTCCGCGGCGACGCTGCCGCCCGACGCGGAGCCGTCGGAGACCGCGCGGCCGGCCGGCGGCGCGATGCGGTCGTAGGCCGACGACGCGACGGCCATGAGCGTGAGGAGGTCCGGCGCGCCGCCGCCCGGCGCGGGCGCCGCGTCGCCGGCCGCGTCGTCCGCGCCGTCGTCGCCGCCGCCGCCGTCGCCGCGCGCGGGCGGCGCCGGCACGACGGCCGCGCCGAGCACGGCGGCGGCCGCGGGCGCGGACAGCGTCGTCTTCGGCTGGCGCCGGGGCGGCGCGTTGTCGCCCGCGCGCGCCGCGTTGTGCGCGTCGACGAGCGCGGCGACGCGCTTCGCCTGGGAAAAAGGTGATTCAACGTCGCCTCAACGTGAGCGTTCCGCGCGCGCGCGTTCCAGAAAAAAACATCCACGCTTCGAGACCGTTCCGAGAGATGATCGCTCGTCCAAAAATCAGCCGAAACGAGTGGAAAACGGTCGAGATAGGAGCCTTCGAAGTCGGGAATGTCGCGCCCTTTTCCTGCTCCGCGCGTCGCCGTCGCCGCGTCGAGCGAGGCGAAGCCCTCGATGTCGTCGACGGACGTGATGGTCTTCGACTTCTTGCACGTGCGCTTGAAGGACGCGAAGCAGCAGTCGATGTGGTACCACTTGGTCTTCGGGCTGTGGCCCCAGCGCACCGACGGCGGCCGCTTGCCGATGCGCGGCTCGCCGGGCCGCAGGTACTCGCGGCACAGGATCGACTGGCACTTGCTCCGGCCGTCGTCCGCGGCGCCGACGACGAAGCGGTTCTCGCCGATGTGGCCCGCGAGCTTGCCGCCGATGCGGCCGAGGCCCTGCTGCGACGCCTCGAGGCCGAGCTGCGCGCACAGGTTCGCCGCCGGCCGCGCGCGGCGCTGCTTCACCTGGGAGGGGCGCGGGCGTGAGATCGGATCTTTGCTTCCGCGCGCGGAGCCTCCCTCGACGCGCGGCGGCGTTCGGGGAGAGCCGCGTCCTCGGAGCGCGCGCGTCGGAACGTTCGTCGGCCCCGGGCGTCGCGGGGCGGTCGTCCTTGTCCTCGAGGAGCGTCTTGATCGCCCCCTCCGTCAGCAGCTCCGACTGGTGCTCGAGCTTGCGCTTCTTCGCGTCCGCGGGCGGCGCCGCCGCCGCGCGCGCGGGCGGCGCGGCGCGCGGCGCCGCGGCGGGAGGCGGCGGCGCGCGCGCCGGCAGGAGCTCGCAGGCGACGCAGAGGCCGGGCCGCGCCGCCGCGAGGCCGCAGCGGTCGCAGGGATGCTGGACGAGGCGGCCGCTCGTCGTGAAGCAGGGGGCGCGCCCGTCCGGCCCCAGGGGCGACTCCGCGGCCGGGTGCGGCGCGGGCGGCGCGTCCATCACTTCGGCCCGTCGGGCGCCGACGCCGAGTTCCGCGAGCGGCGCGCAGGGGGGTGCGCGCGAAGAACTACACCGCCAGGGGGCGACTGGGTACTCTCCTCAAAAGGCGCCAGGGCAGCATACACCATCGGATACGGGCCGTTGAGCTAAGTTTCCGTCAACATTACCCCAGGCTCTCGCCGCGATGAGCTCTCTCTTAGAGGCCTCAGCTCCAGCAGCTCCGCCGGAGGGCGCTCCGCCGGAGGACGCGGCGCCCGTCGACGTGCACGCCCTCTTAACCCAGGGCGAGGCGCTCCTCCTGAAGCTCGAGGACTGCGCCGCGGCGCCCGAGGACGCGCCCAAGTGCGTCGAGCTCCTGGACAAGGCCTGGGCCGGCGTCGGTCGGCTGGGCATCTTCGCGGCGCGCACGGTCCTGGACGACGTCGCGACGGCGGACCTGCGCTGCGCCCTCGTCCCCGCGCTCCGCGCGCGGGCCCTGGGCCGGCTCCGCGTCGACATGGCCGCGCGGCTCGGCCTCGTGAGGACCGTCGCCGCGGTCCGCCTCGAGTTCCTGCGGCTCGCGCTGCGCCTGGGCGTCTGCGCCCCGGACGCGGCCATGCGGCGGCTCCTGGGCCACGGCGACGACCCCGACGAGGCGCGCGCGCCGACGGCGGCCGAGGCGCGCGCGGCGACGCTCGGGCGCTTCGAGGCCGCCAAGGCCGCCGAGGACGCGCTCGCCGCCGCGCGCCAGACCCTCAAGACCCGCGCGGCGGCCAAGGCCTCGGCGGACGAGCTCGACGAGCTGCGGCGCGACGTCGTCGTCGCCGAGCTCGCCGCCGCGACGCAGGCGGCGCGCGACGACGCCATCGGCGACGAGCGCGAGCTCGAGATGCTCGAGGCCATGGCGAAACGGGCCGGCGGCGGGCCCGCGGCGCGGCCGGACGCCGGCGGCGCCGCGGCGGACAAACGCGTGCGGCCCCGCGCGGCGCCGGCCGACGCCGACGGCGCCTGGCTCCTCGGCGGCGGCGGCGGCGGCGGCGAGCCCGGCGGCGGCATCCGCGTGCTCCGCGTGGGCCCGGGCGCGGCGCCGGGCGCGCCCCTCGCCGTGAAGCGCGAGCAGGTCCGCGCCGGCGTCTTCCGGCCGGGCCACAACCTGCCGACGATGACTTTGGACGAGCTCGCGGACCTCGAGATCGCCGGCGCCCAGGAGCGCGCGCGAAAGGCCGCGGAGGCCGAGGCGCGCGTGCCCGCCGTCGACGAGGACACGCGCCGCCGCGACGAGCTCGCGGCGGCCGACCAGGAGGACGACACGGACCGCTGGGACGCGGACAACGTCCGCCGCGCGGACGAGTCCTGGGCCCGCTGGAAGGAGGACGTCAAGCCCGGCAGCGGCAACAAGGGCAGCTCCCAGTTCTAAAACTGCGCCTAGCGCCGCTTCGCCTTGGCGAGGGCGAGGTCCCCGTGGAAGCGCATGGCCGCGCGGTGCGCCGCCGCGCTGAGCACGTGCCAGAGCGCGTGGAGCCAGAAGAGCGGGTTCGCGGCGCTCGCGGGGCACGCGCCGCGCCGCCACAGTTCGCGCTCGAGCTCCCAGGCCACCTTGCCCCCGAGGATGAGCGCGAGGAAGGCGTACCAGGTCCCGCGGCGCACGCCGAGCGCCGGCGCGGACGCGAACGCGATCAACGCGGGCGCTAAAACCTGCACCGTGAAGAGGAGCGAGAAGAACGCGTGGTCCCGGTGCCGGAGGTAGTGGGCGAGGCCCGCCGCCGCGCCGCCGCCGCCGCAGACCATCGCCGGCGCGGCCCAGCGCGGCGGCAGCAGGCCGATGACGGTCCAGAGGTAGACGACGGCGAGGCCGAGCATCGGCACCTCGTCGAGGAGCTCGCCGAGCCACGTCTTCGTGCCGTGGAAGAGCACGGACCCGACGGCGACGACGCAGAGCGACAGCTCGGCGGCGACGAAGGGCCGCGGCAGCCGCCGCGAGCGGCAGTCGCGCAGCCCGGCGACGGCGACGGCGACGAAGGCGACGTTGCTCGCCGTGTTCGCGTACTCGTGCGCGCGCACCTCGGCCTCGCACCAGCGGATGGCGACGTCGTGGTGCGCCATGCGTTGCCCGCAGCTCTCACGAATGCGCAGTCGGGCCGCCCGCAGCTCCTACGCGTTGGCGGGCTGCCCGCAGCTCTCACGAAAGCGAGCCTATTTGCCAAGCTTTTGTGAAGGGCAACATCGCGAGTGCTTGAAGTTTCACGGGGCAGCATGGCAAGCGGATTGTGACACGACCATGGGCCGCGGCGGCTACGGCACGGTGGACTTTTGGGTGCGTTGCTCGTGCTTTGATCTTTGAAACGGCGGTCGTGCTCGTAGGACGAGTGGTACGTCGAGGAGGACCACGTGGCGCCCTACGACTGGCTCTGCTCCTTCGAGGACGTGGGCCCGGCGGTCCTGGCGCTCCTGCCCGGCCCCGAGGCCCGGGTCCTCGTCGTCGGCTGCGGCAACTCGCCCTTCTCGAGCGAGCTCTTCGCGCGCGGCTACCGGCGGCTGACGAACGTCGACAACTGCGCGTCCGTCGTCGCCGCGCAGCGCGACCGCTACCCGATGCTCGAGTGGGTCGTCGGCGACTGCCGGGCGCTGCCCTTCGGCGACGGCGCCTTCGACGCCGTCCTGGACAAGGGCCTCCTCGACAACCTCTACTGCTACGCGGACGCGGACGCGGCGGTCGCGGAGTTCCGCGCCGAGGCCGCGCGCGTGCTCGCGCCCGCGGGCCGCCTCGTCGCGCTGAGCTGCCACGACCGCGCGGCGACGCTGGCGGCCCTCGACGACGCACGCCTCTGGGCCTGCGCCGTCGCGGCCCTGGCGAACCCGCGCTACCCGCGCATCGACATCCCCGAGTACCAGGTCGCCGTCTGCCGCCGCGGCGGCGGCGACGCGGCCGCGCTCCTCGCCGACGCGCTCGCCGCCCTCGACGCGGGCACCGCCGCGCCGACGCCCGGGCGCCTCGCCCACCTCGACCGCCGCGCGTCCGGCCGCCGCCACTCCGCGATCGTCGCCGGCGGCGAGTTCGAACGCGGCGGCGACGCGGAGTCCCCAAGGGGTTAGACGGTCCCCTGGACCCGGGCGTGCGTGTCCTGGCGGTTCTCGCACCGCGACTTGCGCGCGGGCCCGCCGTCGGCGCCGAAGTAGGAGTCGAAGACGACGAAGTTGTTCGGCTGCTCGACGAAGGCGCCGAGGCCGTAGTGCTTCCGCAGGAAGGGCAGCATCTTCGGCGACGGCCGGTCGTAGGCGAAGGCGCACGCGCCGCCCGCGCCCTCGGCCTCGAGCATGGCCTCGAAGAGCCGCCGGCCCGCGCCGCGGCGCTGCGCGGCGGCCGCGACGTAGAAATCCAAAACGCACGGCGGGTCGAGCTCGACGGTGCCGCCGCCCTTGCGCCAGTAGTAGAGGTGCTTCGGCCCGACCTTGAGCAGGCCCAGGGCCGCCGACCCCTCGCGGAGCACGTAGAGCCGCTGCGCCGGCGCGTCGCGCAGCTTCGCCAGCGTCGTCAGCGGGCCCTTGAGCGCCTGGGCGACGCCGGACTCGGCGCCGAGCGCGTCGACGATCGCCTCCAGCGCCTCGGCGTCGTCGGCGTCGAGGGACGCGACCTGCTCGCCGGTGAGGCACGTCACGCCGTCCCGCAGGATGGGGCAATTCTTTGCGTTCATAACGATGCGGGCAGCCTCTGAAGTCAACGAGAGCTAAAGCTCAACATCGCCTCTCTCGATCAACATCGTCGTGCTCGCCGTCGCCTCCGCGCGCTCGACCTCGTCGCGCCGGCGCCCTGCGCACCGCAAAGACGCTCGTCGCGCCCCGGCGCCACTAGACGCACCCGCCTCGCCCGGCGCCGCGCGCCGTCCGCGGTCCGCCGCCGCCGCGCGCCGCGCCACTAGACGCACCCGCCGCCGCCGCCGCGCCGTTCCGCGCCGCGCCCGCGCCAGCGCCATGTTCGACCAGGACCGCGTGAACTCGCGCCATGGCGGCGGCGGCGTGCAGAGCAGCGAGCAGGCGAACGTCGACCGCCGCGAGCGCCTGCGCAAGCTCGCGCTCGAGACGGTGGACCTCAACAAGGACCCGTACTTCATGCGGAACCACCTCGGCACCTACGAGTGCAAGCTCTGCCTGACGCTCCACAACACGGAGGGCAACTACCTCGCGCACACGCAGGGCAAGCGGCACCAGCAGAACCTCGCGCGGCGCGCGTTCAAGGAGGCGCGCGACGCGCCCATAGCGCCCGCGGCGACGCGCTACGTCGAGAAGCGGCACACGATCAAGATCGGCCGGCCGGGCTACAAGGTCACGAAGAGCCGCGACGCGGCGACGTCGCAGCGCTGCCTGCTCTTCGAGGTCGACTACCCCGAGGCCGACGACGCGAGCCAGCCGCGGCACCGCTTCATGTCCGCCTACGAGCAGCGCGTCGAGCCGCCGGACAAGGCGTACCAGTACCTCCTCTTCGCCTGCGAGCCCTACGAGACCATCGGCTTCAAGATCCCCAACCACGACGTCGACAAGGACCAGGGCCGCTTCTTCACGAACTGGGACGTCGTCGGCAAGAAGTTCACGCTCTCCCTCCAGTTCGACGACGACGCGAAACCGGCGCCGGCCCAGGCCGCGTCCGCCGGCCGCCACCGCGCGGACCTCACCTACGAGGCGCGCTACTAGAGGCGCGTCTCGAGACCGTAAAAAAATGCCCCGGCCGCGCCACGTGCCGCGCCCGCGGCCGTATCGGCCCTGCGCATCCAACTCCCCAGAGCGCTGCGGGGACGATGGGCCGGGGGCGCGGGGCCCGGGAGGGGTCCTCGGTGCTCCAGCAGCAGAGCGTGTCCATGCCGTCGCTCGTGACGCCCGGCGCCACCGTCGCGTCGCCGGGTCCGGAGCCGGGCGTCGAGGCCTTGGTGTCGACGACGGGGGGGCTGCCCGTGATCCTGCCCCTGGGGAAGCGCGTCGCCGCGCCGCACCCCGGGGCGCCGCCGGGCCTGCCCGGCGTCGACGCCCACATCCCGCGCGAGGAGCTGACCTACGACTTCCTGCGGAACGTCGTGCGCCACCAGCGGTGGCACGTGCGCGAAGTCGTCGAGGAGGCGGCCGAGGAGGAGGAGCGCGTCGACTACGACGACGAGAGCGCGGCGAGCAACCAGAGCCACGGCATCAGCCTGGGCCAGATCCACCGCTGCTGCAAGTTCATCGACGTGACCTTCGGCGACGGCGACGGCGAGGTGTCCATGGTCGAGCTCGAGAACGCGTTCCGCCGCATGCGGCGCGAGCGCGCGGCCGTGCGCCTCCGGGAGCGGGGCCGGGCGCTGACGCGGCGCCTCGTCATCCTCATCCGGCGCCGCGACATGGACGTGGAGCGCTTCATGCACGCCATCGACCTGAGCCAGGGCGGCCAGGGCGACGGCAAGCTCACGCCCGTCGAGCTCGAGCGCGGCATCAAGAAGTTCGTCGACAGCGAGCAGCGGCTCGTGTCCATGGAGAGCATCGGGTCCGTCAACGACCCCGACGGGCCCGGGTCCAACTCGCGCCACACGGTCCAGGCGCTCCACCACCGCGAGATGAAGGAGCGCGCGAAGAAGGACATCGAGGCGCTGATAGAGGCGGAGCAGCACGCGATTTTGGACGACACCTTCGGCATCAGCGACGCGACGTCGGCGAACCTGCGGGGCGAGCTCAAGTTCGGCAACCAGGACATCACGGACCTGATTCGGTTTTTGGACCCGAACGCGGACGGCGACGTGACGGTCACGGAGCTCGACGCGGGCGTGCGGACGGCCTTCGACCCGCCCGTCGACGCGTCCTTCGTCGACGACGCCTTCGTGTTGATGTCCAAGTTCGAGGACTCGATGAAGAAGAAGTCGCAGCGCGTCGTCGACCTCTTCCACGACATCGACAAGGACCGGTCGGGGTCGCTCACGATCCGCGAGCTCGAGGTCGCGCTCAACGATTTGTGCGGCCCGTCGGCGCGCGCGCGCGCCATGGCGAAGATGGCGGCGAAGCGCGAGGCCCAGGCGGCGGCCCAGGCGAAGAAGCTCGACAAGGCGGCCAAGGAGGCGGACGTCCGCCGCGCCAAGGCCGAGGCCGCGGGCGCGCCGCGCGTGCTCACGCGCATCGACCGCCTCCTCAAGCAGAAGGACTTCCGCGTCATCGACCTCATGTCCTCGGCGGGCTTCGACACGTCGGGCGACGGCTGCCTCGACGCCGCGGAGCTCCAGTCCGCGCTCCGGTCCGTCGGCCTCAAGCTCACGCGCAAGGAGTCGCAGACGCTCATCGACTTCCTCGACACGTCGGGCGACGGCCAGCTCGACGCCAAGGAGCTCGAGGACGCCCTGCGCCGCCACCGCCGCGACTTCAACTCCGAGGGCGGCGCGAACAACGGCGGCCGCTACACGGTCATCCGGCCGCGGCCGTCGCAGGTCGGCCGCGCGTCCTTCATCGCCAAGCAGGCCGAGCTCGCCAAGGCCGCGGCCTCCGGCAAGGAGGAGAAGGAGAAGAAGACCTACGGCTACGACCCCGTCGCCCTCTGCTTCGACCACTCCTGGCTCAAGTCCCTCGACACGTTCCTCCTCCGCCACACGGGGCCCCAGGACGAGCACGCCAAGCACGCGCGCATCCGCCAGCTCTCCCAGATGTCCCGCAACCAGACCCCGGGCAAGCCGCCCATCATCTAACACGCGTCCATCGGCACCGGGGCGGCATCTTGTTCAGTTCAGGACTCGCCGAAACTCGAAACTCCACAAGCCAGAAGCAAACATGGCCGCCCTCACCGCCGGCTGCCGCCAGTTCCCGCGCATCAAGGAGGTGCGCGCCTACGTCGTCGAGGGCAAGGAGGGCGACCAGGGCGCGGACTGCCACGACGTCGCCGACGAGCACTGGATCAACGGCAACGACCCGTCGACGGGGCGCACGCCCATCGCGAACCCCATGAGCGGCTACGCCCAGTACGCCGGCGCGCGCAAGAGCTGGGGCATCAACGCCATGGGCGGCCTCGTCGTCGAGGTCGAGGCCGACGACGGCACGACGGGCTGCGGCGTGACCATCGGCGGCGAGGCGGGCTGCATCATCGTCGAGAAGCACCTGAGCCGCTTCGTCGAGGGCCGGGACCCGCGCGACGTCGAGTCCATGTGGGACATGATGTGGCGCGCGACGATCAACTACGGCCGCAAGGGCCTGCCCATCCAGTGCATCTCCGCCGTCGACCTCGCGCTCTGGGACCTGCTGGGGAAGCTGCGGAACGAGCCCGTCTACGCGCTCCTCGGCGGCAAGACGAAGGCGCGGCTGCCCGTCTACTGCACGACGGCGCGGCCCGACGTCGCCAAGGACCTCGGATTCGTCGGCGCGAAGATCCCCTGCCCCTACGGCCCGTCGGCCGGCGACGCGGGCTTCCGGAAGAACGTCGCGTTCTTCGCGAAGTGGCGCGCCGCGGTCGGCCCGGACTTCCCGCTGAGCCTCGACTGCTACATGGCGCTGACCGTGCCCTACGCCATCAAGCTCGGCAACGCGCTCAAGGACCACGGCATCAAGTGGATGGAGGAGTTCCTGCCGCCCGACGACTACGAGGGCTACAAGGAGGTGAAGCGCGCGCTCGCGGGCTCCGGCGTGCTCCTGAGCACCGCGGAGCACGAGTACACGCGCTACGGCTTCCGCAAGCTCATCGAGGACCGGTCCGTCGACATCCTCCAGCCCGACATCACCTGGCTCGGCGGCCTCACGGAGGCGCGGCGCGTCGTCGCGATCAGGGCAGGACGAGAGAGCGAAATTCCCAACTTCAAAGGCTCCTCTCTCGGCCGTTTTCCACTCGTTTCGGCTGATTTTTGGACGAGCGATCATCTCTCGGAACGGTCTCGAAGCGTGGATGCTTTTCTCGGAACGCGCGCGCGCGGAACGCTCACGTTGAAGCGACGTTGCATCTCTCTTGTCCTGCCCAGGTCGCGATGGCGTCCGCGTACGACGTCCTCGTCGTGCCCCACGGGTCGAGCGTCTACTCCTACCACCTCCAGTACGCCTTCGCCAACTGCCCCGTCGCCGAGCTCATCAACCTCTCGCCCAAGGGCGACCACATGGTGCCCTACTTCGGGGGCCTCTTCCCCGACGAGCCCATGCCCGAGGGCGGCTACATCGACCTCCCGGACCGGCCCGGCTTCGGCGTCACGCTCGACCGCGCGGGCCTCCGGCGGCCCCACGCGCGGCCCGCCGCCGTCGTCCGGGCCAACTACGACGCGAACGTCGCCGAGGCCGCGCGCGACGTCGGCCCGCCCCACATGCCCTTCTGAGCGGCCCGCGCGCGCGGTCACGCGCGGCGCACGGCGATCTTCGACCGGCGCGGCCGCGGCGGCGCGGCGCCGTCGAGCCACGCCGTGTACTTGCGCAGGAGGCCGCCCTCGACGTCGAAGCCGCCGTGGCTCGACTTGACGAACATGGTCTCGACGGGGTTGAGGCGGTCGCCGTCGTAGTCGAGCTGGACGTCGTCCATGGGGAACGCGCCCGTGGTCTCGGCGACCTGGAAGCCGTAGAACTCGAAGCCCGCGTCCGCGATGACCTCGGACATGCGGATCTCGTGCATGAAGACGTAGGCCGTCTTCTCGCGCTGGTCGCCGGGCACGACGAGGCCGTCGCGGAGCGCGCCGCAGGACGCGACGAGCCGCGCGCCGTCGGGCTCCGGCGCGAAGATCCGCGCGGCGCGGAGCAGCGCGACGGCCGGCGCGTCGCAGGCGAAGGCCATGGACTGGACGTGGGGCCGCCGGAAGCGAGGCGCCCAGCGGACCATGGAGTTGACGGACGCGCCGACGAGCTTCACGGAGCCCGAGAGCCGCGCGCAGAAGAGCGCCGGCCACCCGCGGGGCTCCTCGACGTAGCGCGGCAGGAAGGGCCCGCGGACCGTGTCGTTGAGGAAGACGCAGGCCTCGCGGCCGCCGCCCCAGCAGGCGTCGAGGCCCGCGCCCCAGGCGGCGAAGTCGCCGCCGGCGTTCGCCTGTGCCGGAAACACCCAGTGGAATGGACCGGTCCAGCGAAACTTCAAACCTCTCGAGCTCGGTCGAATCGCGGTCGTTTTGGCTGGTTTTTGGACGGATCGGTTGCTCGCGGCGAGTTCTTTTCAGACAGTGGGAAAAGCACGTCGAAACCGTGCGAAAAATTGAAGTCCTTGGTTTCCTGCCCGGGCGTTCGCGCGCTCGACGAGCCGCGGCGGCGGCTCGAGCGCCGCGAGCGCCGCGCGGAGGCCCGGCGACGCGCCGCCGTTGGCGACGACGCAGACGTCGAAGTGCGCGCCGTAGCCGGGCGCGCCCGCGACGCCGTGGCGCAGGAAGAAGCGCACGTTCGCGTCGACGACGGCCGCGCCTCTTTCGCAGACCGCGAGCAGCACGAGGACCGGCGGCGGCGGCCGCGCGGCGGCGACGACGTCGACGACCGCGCCGGGCCCGAGGCCCAGGGCGCCGACGGCGCCGTCGAGCGGCGCGGCGCGGCCGTCCGCCAGCCGCAGGCCCAGCGCGCCGGGGTCCAGCGCCGCGCCGCGCGACGCGCCGAACTTGCAAAAGGCCGCGACGAGCGTCCGCGCGGGCTTCGCCACCTGGCGCGGCCGCAGGCGGCAGCGCAGCGACGCGCCGTCGAGGACGCCGGCGCCGCGCAGGATCACGTCGAGGCCCTCGGGCTCATCGTCCACGGCCGGGCTCTCCATATGCTGCTGGGGCTGCACCGTGGGTGCAGCATCTGTGCAGCGTCAATGTCCCCGCTCCAGTCCGTGCTCCCACACAGGTGCGACGAGGTGCGACGCACTGAGCTCCAGCCGACAGCCAGTGCAAGGGCTCCGCAGCGCTCGCCGCAGACCTCGAGAGCTCAGCCAGCGCTCCGCAGCGCTCGACGCAGACCTCGTAAGCCAGCCAGCGCAACGCAAGGGCTCGCCGCAGACCTCGAGCTCAAGTTGACGGCCATCGTCCCTCTGCGCACCACCGCGCCGGCATGGCGCAAAAGCTCGCGGTGCTGTGCGCGATCCTCGTCGGCGCCCGTGCGATGCGGCTCCCGACGCGGCGCCGCGTCGTCCTCGGCGGCGGCGCCGCGGCCGCCGCCGCCGCCGCGGCGGTCCCCGCGCGCGCCGCGGAGCTCCCGACGGGAGGCAGGGACCTCTTCAACCTCGTCGCGGCGGCGCGGCGGCAGCTCGACGACGTGCCCGCGCTCATCGAGGCCGGCAAGTGGGACTCGGTGCGCGCGATCCTCATCCAGCCGCCCATCGCCGACGTCTGGGGCAAGAACGCGAAGCCGCTGCTCAAGCGGTACGCGGAGGCCGTCGGGAACGCCGACGGCGACGAGCTCGCCGTGCTCGAGGCGCGACGCGCGGCGTCTCGCCGCGCCGCGTGAGCGGAGCGCGGAACCCGCGCAGGCGCGCGAGGACGCCGTCTCCCACCTGCAGTACCTCGACATGGCGCGCGCGCGGCGCCCGCGCTCCCGAGAGTCCGCGCGTCGAGCCGCCCCGCGCAGGCCGTCTACAACAACGTCTTCTCGCCCGTCGGCGGCGACATGAAGGTCAACGCCAAGCCCGAGCTCGTCAAGCAGTACTACGAGATGCCCATGCAGGAGTTCCGCGCGTCGGCGAAGGCCCTCGACGCGCTCGTCAAGCTGGGGAGCGGGCTGAAGTACTAAGGTTCAAAGGTGGAGCGGCACGCTGCTTACGGCCATGTTCGCCCGTTAGCCGCGGCACGAGGAGGAATCGAAGGTAGGGGGGCGGCGAAGACAGGCGTAGGAAGAGCCACGGGAAGACACGACTAGGGCGGAGGCGTACAGGAGCACCGCGACGGAGACGGCACGACGACAAAGAGAGCCTCGCGCGTTTTGCCTTGACGCGTCTCTAAACGTAGGGGGGGCGGGAGGAACCGCGGAGGCCTCCGCGGTGACGGCAAGCCTACCGTGACGGCCACGCCCTCCGACGCGCCCACGGCCACGCCCTCCGACGCGCCCACGACGGCCAGCGTCATGTCGCCGTCGATGGTGTGGTCGCCGGGGTAGGTCGGGGGCGGCGCCTGGCGGCGCGGCTCGTTGCGCGCGGACGATCGCGTGCCTTCGCGTTCGCGGGCGGACCGCCGCGCGCCACACCCAAGCAAGCAAGCAAGCAAGCAGGCCGACCCGGCAACATATCCCCCCCACTCATCCCCACCGGGTCCCGACTTCGACTCGAAGTCCGCGTAAGCCTTAGCGCCCCCCCGGGCGGTCCGCGGCGGCGGCGCGGAGCTGGCCGAGGCGCTCCCGGAGGGGCACGCGCGCGCCGCGGGCCTTCTTCGGCGGCGGGTGGCGGCAGGCCAGGAGCGCGAGCTCGTCGGCCTTGGCGAGCGTGCCCCGGGCCGCGAGCGCGCGCGCGAACGCGGCGCGGTCCGCGCCCGGCGCGAGGGCCCGGAGAGCGGTCCGCGTCGCGTCGCGATCCGCGGCCACGAGCTTCGCCTGTGTGGATGGAGAGTTCTGAAGTTTGGTCCACGGGGACCCCCCAAACCAGTGGTTGATTTCCACACAGAGCTTCGCGAGCGCCTCGACGGGGAACGCGCCTGTGTGGATTCCAAATCTTCAACCCGACTTCAATGTGCGCGTAATCGAACGATTTAGACCAGACTCTTTCGCTGTGCTTCGAGAACTCGACGAGAGCAATCGATTCGTCCAAAAATCAGCCGAATCGACTCCGATGTGACCGAGATAGAGAGTTCTGAAGTTTGGTGGGGACCCCCCAAACCAGTGGTTGGAATCCACACTGGAACGCGCCGCCGAGGTCGCCCGCGGCGACGGCGCAGCGCGCCGCGGACCGCGCGACGAGCGCGCGCGCGGCGCCGCTCCTCGAGGCCGCGTGCTCGAGGACCGCGGCGAAGACGCGCGCGTCGCCGCGGACGCAGAGCTCGTGGAGCGCGCGCCTCGCGGCGCTCGCGAGGAAGCGCAGCTCGTGCACGCCGCGCTTGACGAGCGCCGACACGACGAGGCCGACGTCGTCGTCGGACGCGACCGCGGCGGCGCCGCCGCCCGCCGCGAAGACGTCGCCCAAACACAACAACGCCTCCCGACTCGACCGGGACCGCAGCGCCGCGGCCTCGCGCGCGAGGAACGCGAAGAGCCCCGCCGGGAGCCCGCCCGCGACCGCGGCCGCCCCGCCGGCGCCGGCGACCGCCCGCCGCGCGGCCGCGACGGCCTCGAAGCGATCCTCCCACGCATCACTCCCCATGAGCGCCGCGACGTCCGCCCAGGGCGCCGACGCCTCGCGCTCGACGGCGGCAACGGCGGCGACGCCCGCGACGTCCGCCCAGGGCGCCGACGCCTCGCGTTCGACGGCGGCAACGGCGGCGACGCCCGCGACGCCCGCGACGACGTCGTTCTCGTCGTCGCTCGCCGACGTCTTGTCCACCTTTTTGTCTTCGCTCGCCATGGCGGCGGCGGCGAGGTTGAGGGAATTCAAATTTGATATTATGGGGTCCATCTCTTTGCACGCGCCGCCCGTCGAGGACGAGGTCGAGGCAAGGCCCGACGACGGCAAACGTGAAAACTGCGCAAGCCCAGCGCGGAGCGATTCTCAGGGTTACCGCCCAGCCCCGACGACGTCGTCGGCGAGAAGCGGCAGCAGGCGTTACGCCCGCGCTAGGAGAAGGTGCAGTTCGTGGCCCTGGCGTCGTCGGGCGGCGTCTCGACGTTCTCCCAGAAGAGGCCCTCGAACCTGCCCGGCGCGAGGGGCGGGAGCCAGAGCGCGACGTCGTGGGCGCCGCCGGCCGCGAGCGGCGACGCGTCGTAGTAGAAGCCGAGGAAGCACGCGGCGCGCGGGAGGCCGCGCGAGTTGTAGGCCCGCGTGAGGTTCGCCGGCGCGCCGTCGACCCAGAGCGCCACGTCGAGCGCGTCGTCCGGGTCCGCGATCGCCGGGTACAGGAGGAGGCGCGCGGGCGCGAGCCTGGGCGGGGACCGAGCGCTCGACGAGCGCGGGCGACGCGTCCGAACATCGCCGACGCGACCGAAGACCCGACGTCGCGCGGGCGGCTCCCGCGCGGGCGCGGGCCACGCCGCGCGGAGCTCGCCGGGCCGCCAGGCGACGTCGTAGGCCGCCGCGCGGGCCGCGAGCTGGGCCGCGACGGCGGCGGGCACGGCGACGGTCGCGTTGAACCAGCCGCCGGCGAAGGCCGGCGGCGCGACGGCGCCGGGCGCGACGGGCATCGCGCGCTGCGCGCGCGACGCGGGCGCCGCGTAGCGCGCGGCGACGACGCCGGCCCGCGGCGCCGGCGCGACGGCGCAGGCGACGCCGTCGACGGCGACGGCCGCGACGGCCGCGTCGACGGGCACGGGCGCGCGGACGGCCGCGAGCGCGAGCGCCTCGACGGGCTCCGCGAGCGCCTCGAGCCGGAGCACGCGCGCGGCCGCGCCGCCGACGGCCAGCGCCCGCGCCGCGCCCGCGCGCCACGTGCCCAGGGACGCGCGGCCCGGGTGGAGCTCGTCGACGCGGAAGAGCGCGGCCGTGCCGTTCGCGACGCCGAGCGACTCGTCGAGCGCGAGGCCCGCGCTTCGCGGCGCGAAGCCCGGGTTGAAGAGGAAGACGAAGCCGACGCCGCGGGCCGCGTCGAAGCAGGCCCAGCCGTCGACGGCGCCGACGGCCGGCGGCCCGAGCGTCGCGACGGGCAGCGCGCGCGCGAGGCACGCGGCCTCGTCGTCCGTCCACGCGAGCCAGCCTCGGATCCAGGCCTTGTCGCCGTCCGGGAGCGCGGCCCACTCGGCGGCGTCGCGGCCGGGCAGGAAGGCGACGACGTTGTTGAGCCCCGCGGAGCCCACGGACGCGAGGAGGCTGTACTTGTAGCCCACGTAGTCGAAGTCGCGCGCGTTGACGTCGTAGCACCTACCGGACGATTCGCCGCCGCCCCGGTCGCAACGTCGCGCGAACGGGGCCGCGGCCGGACGCCGCGTCGCGCCAGGGCACGCCGCCGAAGCAGGCGTCCGTGCCGTTGTCGTCCGTGCGCTCGGCCTGGTGGAAGATGAAGCCCGGCACGCGGCTCGGCGGCAGGAGCTGCGCCGCGGCGTAGGCGTAGTTCACGCGCCGGAGGTTGTCCGCGGCGACGTGGTCCGCGTGGAGGTTCGCGATGGGCACGCCGTAGGTCTCCGGGTTCTCGTCGCCGGCGAGGGGCTCGGCGTAGGACCCCGCGAGCTGGTACCAGGGCCCCCAGACGTGGTTCGTCTGCCGGTGGTCCATGACCGCGTCGGGCTTCGCGGCGCGGATCGCCCTCAGGATCGCCATCCAGGACCGCCACTGGCCGTAGCGGAGCTCCGGCGCGCCGGCGAAGATGTCCTGGTCCCAGGCGAAGCCCGCGGCGCCGCTCTTGGCGAGGAACGCGAGGAGCTGGTCTTTGAGCCAGTCGCGCGCGGCGGGCGCGGCGAGGTCCGTGCGGTCGCCGGCGTGGTGGGGCGCCGTCCCGTTGAAGCCGAGCTGCGGGTAGACGTAGGCGAGGAGGCCGAGGCCCATGGCCCGCGCCCGGTCGACCTGCGCTAAAATGTCCGCGGGCACGGCGTCACGCGTCGCGTCGAAGGCCCCCGTGCGCACGGCCTCGCCGAGGCCTGGGCGGGAAAAGAGAGATTCAACGTCTCGCTTCAACGTGAGTGTTCCGCGCGCGCGCGTTCCGGAAAAAGCACCCACGCTTCGAGACCGTTCCAAGAGATGATCGCTCGTCCAAAAGTCAGCCGAAACGAGTGGAAAACGGCCGAGAGAGGAGCCTTTGAAGTTGGGAATGTCGCTCTCTTTTCCTGCCCTGGCCGAGGCTGAACCAGAGGCCGGCCTCCCAGCCCCAGTTGTCCGTCGTTTTGAAGCGGCTCGCGTGGGCGCTGTTCTGGGGCTCGTAGACGACGTGCGTGATGCCGAGCGCCGCGTTGCTTGCGAAGATGCGGTCGTACTCGGCGCGGCCCTCCGCCGTCGCGACGTCGAGCTGGTAGTCGCTCTCGTCCCAGGCGACGTTGACCTTGACCGTCGCGTTTTTGCGCATGGCCCCGTCGAGGAGGTAGGCCTCGACGCACGCGACGAAGGCCGCGCGCTCCCCGAGGTTGACGGGCCCGTACGCGTACCGTTGCAGCCGCGTGGCGCCGAGGACCGCGGGCTCCGCGGCGTAGGCGCCGCCCTCGACGGCGCAGGACCCGAAGGTGTCGTAGCGGAGCGTGAGCCCGAACGACGCGTCGACGTCGACGTTGAAGAAGGGGTTCGCGACGCTCGCGAAGAAGCCGGACCGGCCGCCGACGCGGCCGAACGCGGCGATCGCCGCGCCGCCCGTCGCGTAGCGGTGCGTGCGGTTGTAGGGGTTCTCGGCGACGTGGACGTCCTCGGTGCCCGCGACCCGCAGACCCGCGAGGGGCGCCACGGCGCCGACGGCCGACACGTTGATCGCGGCGACCGTCTTCTCGACGTGCGCGGCGACGACGGCGTACGTCGCCTCCAGGGCCGCCCCGCCGCCGCAGGCCCAGCGGACGACGACGGACGCGGGCGACGCCGCGACGCCGGCGACGGCGCAGGTCGCCGGCGTCAGCGTCGCGTTGGCGCCGGCCGCGGTGACCTCGACGAGGAAGCCGTCCGCCTCGACGGCGACCCGCGCCAGCGCCGTCCCGTAGCCGTCCTCGTCCGTGATGCTCGTCAGGAAGCCGGCGTCGGAGACGTCCGCGGCGACGCGGCCGTTCGTGATGCGGTGGGCCCGGGCGGCGGCCCAGAGGAGCAGTAGCGTCTTCCCGAAGCAGCCCATGTCTTCTTGCTTGTTCGAGGTGTTGATGATGAACATGTTTCCGTTCGAGAATCATGCCGTGATGGGCTGCTATTTTTTGGGCTGGTCCTCTTCGCGCACGAGGCGCGGGGCGAGACCTGCGACCCGTGCGGCGACAACAGTACGTATGAAGAAGAGCTGAAGTGGCAGGGCGGCTATCGGAAGCGCATCATCACGGCGAGCGGCTGTCCGAATCACTACTCGTACGTGAGCGGCGTCCGCGGCCGCCGCGACGGAAGCAGTGCGCACCCCGTCGTGCCTCCTCGACCAGGCGGGCAAGCGCGCGCGGGGCGAGCATCATCGGTCGACGACGAACGTGAGCCATAGCCCCCAGATCGGCTGGGCCCTGGACGGCTTTCCGGTCTACGGCCCGCGCGGTCCCAACGGCACGAAGATGAAGCACGCGGCGAGCGGCTGCGTCGGGTCGCACTGCCTCGACGACTGCAGCGGCCGCGAGGAGGCGCTCCCGGGCGTCGACGAGTTCCTGTATAGATACTACGTGACCGGTCCGACGTCCGATTTATACAGCCTGCCGAGCTCGCCGAAGCCCGCGGAGTCCGACTATCCTTTCACCTTCAAGTGCTACGCGGGCTGCGAGTGGAGCGACCTCGTCGGCGAGGCGAACCGCTGCTCCGGCGGCACGCCGGGCGTCACGGACGCCTACGCCGCGCGCGCGACGGAGGGCTTCACGGAGCGGTACGTCTCCGCGGAGGCGACGGCCTACTGGTACGCGCAGAACGGCGACGACGCGATGGCGCCGCTCTGCGCGTCCGAGCCGACGGCCGCGCCGACGTCGGAGACCTGGCCGCCGACGACCGCGCTGGAGCTGCGGACGTGCAAAACGCAGAACGAGAACCAAAATTCCAAGTGCGCCGACGCGGGCGGCGCGTGCTACGCGTCCGAGGTCCTCTGCGTCGGCGACGGCGGCGACTACCAGGAGAACCGCTGCGGCGACGGCTGCGGCTGCTGCGTCAACGCCCCGACCGCCGCGCCCGCGCCCGCGCCGACGGCGGCGCCGACGTCGGCGCCGGTCACCTCCTTCCCCACGGAGCCGTGGCGCTGCGGGTCGCAGAGCGACCTCCAGGACGACCGGTGCGAGAGCCGGCGCGGCGGCGAGTGCCACGCCAACGCGTCGACCTGCCTCGCGCGGCGCGGCGTCTTCCTCGAGAACCTCTGCGGCCACGGCGAGACCTGCGGGTGCTGCGTCAAAGCCCCGAGCGCGGCCCCGACCTGGGCGAAGCCGACGGACGACGACGACGACGACGACGACGACGACGACGACGCGGCAACGGCATCGATCACGGGCATCGTTGTCGCGGTGCTCATCGTGCTCGTGTTCGCCTCGGCTTGCTTCTTCGCGGGCTACGCCGGCGCGCGCGTGAAGGAGCCGCTCCCGTCGAAGGAGGAGCGCGTCGGGCTGACGTCCCAGGACATCTTCGAGCTCGCGCCGCTGGAGGTGGACCCCGGCCCCGCGCCCGGCCGCGCCGAGGCCGCGTCCTTCTCCGCGGACCCGGAGGCGTACCGCGTCGAGGAGCCCGACGACGAGCCCTGCGTCGCCTGCACGGGGCTCGACTTTTAAGGAACGGAGGCGCACCGGCAGTTTACCGTGAACGACGACACACGAACCCCCTCAGGGCGCGTACTTCTCCTTGGAGCGGCGCGCGAGGATCTCGCCGAGCTCCTCGAGGCTGACTTCGACGCCCGCGGAGTGGTTGTCCTTCTGCCTGCTGAGGAGCGACGTGATCTGCTCCTGGCGGCTCTTCTCGCCCGCCGGGTCCTTGGGCGACTCCTTCTTCGCCGGCGGCGGCGGCGGGCCCGGCGCGGCCGGGAGGTCCGCGTCGCCGCCGGCGCCGTCGGGGCGGCCGGCGGCCGGCGGCTCCATGGCGGAGATGGCCGCGCCCCAGTGGAGGGCCGGCGCGTCGGGCGCGTCGCCGGGCGCGGCGTGGGACGCGCGGAAGGTGATGGACGCGGACTGGTCCACGGGGAGGCGGTCGATGGACGCGCCCGCGGTCTGGAGCCGCGGCGCGCGCGTGTCGCCCGCGCCGGCCTGCTGGTTGCCCCAGGTCGGGCTCTTGGACTGGTCCGCGCCGAGGCGGTCGATGGTCGCGCCCCGCGTCTGCATGGGCACCGCGCCGACGGACGCGCGGCGGAGCTGGTCGTCCGTGAACCTGTGTGGAAATCAACCGCTGGTTTGGGACGTCCCGACCAAACTTTGAAATTCTCTAGCTCGGCCAAATCGAAGTCGATTCGGCTGACTTTTGGACGAATCGATCGCTCTCGTCGAGTTCTCGAAGCGGAGCGAAATAGTCTGGTCCAAATCCTTCAATTACGCGCATATTGAAGTCGGGTTGAAGATTTGATTTCCACACAGCCGCGAACTGGCGCCGGTTCGCCGTCGCGAGGCGCGGGCCGAGCTTCGGCAGGTCCTCGCGGCTCAGCTGCACCGTGCGCCCGAGCGCGTGGATCGTCTGGACGACGGCGACGATGTCCTTGCCCTCGAAGAGGTCGATCGTGTCGAAGCAGTCGTGCTCGGGCACGCCGAGCTTCTTGCACGCCGCGGAGAACGCCGCGATGTTGTCCATCTGCTTGTAGGGCAGGGGCGAGTCGCTGATGCGCTTCACGATGCCCGGCGAGATGGCGCAGGCGAGCTCGCAGAGCACGACGCCGTTGCGCAGCTCGTCGCCGAGCCTGTCCGGATCCACGACCGTGCCCGTGAGGGCCTCGATCCAGTCCTGCGCGGGGCGCGCGGCTGGCGGCGGCGCGCACACCGGGGGAGGGGGGGAAGGACGCGCCGCGGCCTGGATGTTCGCATCGCTGTCCCTCGCGCGGTAGCCCGAGGTCACGGCGCGGGGCATAATATCGACTGGCAGCCCCGAATAAAAACCCGGGGCATCTTGCACATTCTAACATGCGCCTGCACGATGCAGTGGAAATTTAACCTCCTCCACTCGCCGGCCCAGGGCTGCCCGCACCCGCTGGCATGAGGTGACGCTCGGGGGGTGGCGTTTTCTCGGCCCGCGACCGCGACCATGGCGTCCGTGGAGCTGACGCCCGGAGGCGTCGCGCTCGACGACGGCGGCGAGTCGAAGGCGGGCCTGCTCGTCGTCGAGGAGCCGCCGTCGACGCCGGTCCGCGACCGGTCGCGGGACGGCGTGGGCCCCATCGCGGCGCCGGAGGGCGTCCAGTCCCACATGCCCGAGGGCGTCCAGGAGGACCTCTACGACGCCTTCAAGCGCATGGACGTCGACGGGGACGGCGTGCTGACGCAGGCGGAGCTCTACGAGTCGCTCGAGGAGAGCGGCATCCCGCGCGGCATGGCGCACCGGCTGCTGCGCATCGCCGACGTCAACGGCGACGGCGCCATCAACTTCGACGAGTGGTGCGCGGCCGTCGAGCGCACGTCGTCCCAGAACCGGCGCCAGATCCTCCGCGTCGCGAACCGGATCTGCAAGCGGACGGAGTCGTCGCGCCACATGCCCATGCCGAGCCCGCGCATGGGCGTGCGCCACGTCTCCGTGCCCAGCGGCGGCGGCGCGGCGCTCGCCGCGTCCCTCGCGGCGTCGCCGCGGGGGCCCTGGGGCCCCGGGGCGAACCGCGGCGCGCGGGAGCCCGAGGCGGGCGCGTACTGCCCCGGGTGGCGCGTGCCCCTCGAGCCGACGTCGCCCGCGCGCATCTGCTGGGACCTGACCATGGCCGTGCTCCTCTTCTGGCTCGCCGTGAGCCTGCCCTTCGAGCTCGCCTTCGTCCGGGACCGCGGGCCGGGCTGCTACGTCGGCGGGTGGCCCGCGAAGCTCGACGTCTTCCTCGACGCCTGCTTCTTCTTCGACATCGCCATGAACTTCGCGACGGGCGTGGCCCTCGACGACGACACGGTGACGCTGGACCCGGGCAAGGTCTGGCTCAACTACGTCCTCGGCTGGTTCGCGCTCGACCTCGTGTCGTCGATACCCTTCGACTGCATCACGGGCTCCGTGCTGCCGTCCATGCAGCCCGCGAAGCTCCTCAAGGTCGCCAAGGTCGCCAAGGTCTTCAAGTTGTTGCGCCTGAGCAAGGCCATGAAGATCTTCAAGGAGGGCAGCCCCATGGCGGACTACGCGGACGACGTCCTGTTCCACTCGTCGACGCAGACGGTCATCAAGGTCATCTCCATCCTCGTGTCCGCGTCCCTGCTCTGCCACTGGCTCGCGTGCCTCATGGCGCTCAGCGGCGACGGCTTCCTCGACAACTACAGCAACGACGAGGACGACTGGCTGTCCCTGCTCCGGGACGGCGGCAACCCGATCGACGACTGGGAGGGCAAGAGCGCGAACGACTGGGACACGCTGAGCCGCTACAACGCGGCCATCTACTGGGCCATGACGACGATGACGACCGTGGGCTACGGCGACATCCTGCCCCACAGCGACGCGGAGCGCACGGCGACGTGCGTCGCGATGGTCGTCGGCGGGTCGTTCTACGGCTTCGTCATCGCGCAGATCGGCACGATCATCGGGTCGACGGACCTGAAGACGAAGCGCTTCTACGAGCGCATGGACCTCGTCGCCGCCTGGCTCGAGCACCACGAGTTCCCGGGCGACCTGTGCCGCCGCGTCCGCAAGTACCTCCGCGTCTACCTGAACCAGCGGACCGCGCTCGACGAGCAGAGCATTTTGAACGACCTCAACCCCCAGCTCCGCAACGACATCGCCCACTACCTCATCCACGACGACGTGGGCTTCCACCCGCTCTTCGACCTCCTGCCCACGGGCACGCTCGCGCGCATCGCGTCCATCATCCAATTGGTCCGCGTCGCGGGCGGCGAGGTCGTCGTCCACGCGGGCGACCCGGGCCACGCCATGTTCGTCATCAAGAAGGGGACCATGGTGCGCGTCGAGGCCGACGTCGCCCTCGCCGCGGACGACGCCGCGGAGCCGCCGCCGGCGACGCCCAAGGCGGACCGCGCGTCCGTCGTCGCGCCCGCGGCGGGCCGCCGCGCGGCGCTGGGCGTCGGCGACTCCTTCGGGGAGCTCGTGCTGCTGGGCATGAAGAAGACCTACACCTTCACGGTGGAGACGACGGAGTCGAGCGAGCTCCACGTCATCCCGACGGAGGACTTCTTGGAGCGGTTCCAGGGCATGCCCGACATCCTCTACCGCCTCAAGGCGTCGCTCGCCGCCGACGAGAACCTCGACATGACGAAGCTCGACGGCGAGGACAAGGACGCCATCGTCGAGGAGATGGCCGCGCGGGACCACGGCGAGGCGGAGACGCAGGCCGCGCTCCAGCGGCTGCTGCTCATGGAGCAGAAGCTCGACAACCACGTCATGCGCATGGAGTCGGCCCTGAACGACCGCCTGAGCGCCGTCGAGGCCCGCGTCCACGGCGACGCCTTCGCGCCCCGCGTCGTCGACGACGAGCCGGCGCCCGCGCGGCCGCGGCTCGCGACGTCCGGCGCGCCGCCGCTCCGGCAGCCGCGCCGCGGCGCGCCGGGCGCCGCGAAGCGCCGCCTCAAGCTCCGCGACGCGCTCGCGCCGGCGACGGAGCGCCGCGCCGTCGCCGCCGCGGCGCCGCCCTTCGCGCTCGTCGACGCGACGCCGGCCTTCTCGCGCGCGGCGGCCGCCGCGCCGCGGCAGCCCCTCCCCGCGCTCCTCGCCGCGCCGGACGTCGAGGACGCCCTCGAGCGCTGCGCGCGGGGCCAGCACGCCAACGTCCTCGTCCGCACGGCCGACGACGGCCTCCACCTCGCGCGGCTCGCGCCGGTCCACGACGACGACGGCGTCAACGTCGCCTTCGTCCTCGTCGTCCTCGTCGACGTCGCCTGCGCCCTCGACACCCAGGTCGCCGACGACTGAGAGAGTCGCGCGGGGGGCGGTAAGTCTAGCGGAGAGGGAGGTGTGTTACGGGCGCCAGACGTAGGACTCGATGATGGCGCGGACGACGTCCGGGACTCGGCCCAGCACGCCATCCAGCGCGGCGACGCACAGCGCGGCCTCGCGCTTGGCGTGATCGCCCGCATCGCGCACGACCGACAGCTCGACGAGCGCACACCGACCGTCGACGAGCGCACGACCGACGGTCACGCGGCCGCGCCGCGCGAGCTCGACGAGCGCCCCAGGGCCGACGGCCATCCCGATCGCGACCGCGTTGGCGACGTTGTTGAGCGCGAGGTTCTCGAGGGAAGTAGCGACGACCGGTCTGACCTCCGCGCTCCACCGATAGTATCCTCCGGTCCGACTCCCGTCGCGCAGGAGATCGAGAACAGGGCCACACAAGGGCGAGGGGCCGACCCGAGAACCCGCGAAACCCTCGGGAGGGTAAGGGTGAGGGGCCGCCAAATTCCCAGAACCCTTGGCTCGGGTACGGGTGCGGGTACCGACGAAAAGCCACGGGTGCGAGGGACGCCCCTTACCCTCGAGGGTGTCCCGCGCCTGGCCGACCTCCTGATTTCCGTTCGAGGGCGTGTAATGCAGCTGCCAGGTTGTCGGGTCGATCCAAAAGCAGCTTAATTTGCGCGTCCGAATCCAAATTCGGCGGTTTCCATATATTTTTTTTTTAAATTAGAGGATTTTGGTAGGGTGCCACCCGCGGGTAAGGGTAAGGGTGCCCAAATTCCCAGGACCCGTGATAACGGGTGCGGGTAAGGGTTTCGGACCGGAGGGTGAGGGTAAAGGTGCGGGGCTCCGTCGGCCAAGAACCCTGACCCGCACCCGTCGGCCCCTTGTGTGGCCCTGATCGAGAAGCACCGGGATGCCACCGGCCGCGGCAATCCGGACCCGGTTGTCGTCGCGGCACGCGAGGTTGCCCAGGGATCTCGCGGCCTCACATTTGGCGCGCGACTCGGAGGTCACGCCGCCGCGCAGGATATCGACGAGCGGCGGGATGGCGCCGGCCTCGGCGAGCAGGGCCGCGCAGGCGTCGTTGCGGAAAGCGAGGGTCCTCATCGTCGCAGCGGCCGCTGTGGCGACAAAGCTCGCGGCGTCCTGAGCCTTGACGAGCGCCTGATGGGCCTCGACAAACAGTTCCTTGATGGCGCCGTCCTCCATTACGCAACTGTCCAGCGCCCGCGCGGCAAGTGTGGCGTCCGCGCCCCCGTCGCGCAGGAGGTCGATGAGCGCCGCGCGGGCCTCGACAATTAGCAGCCTGTTGGCGACGCGTGCGCGCGCGAGGTTGGCCAGCACGAACATGGCATGTGTTTTGACCAGCTTGGACACGCTCTCATCGCGCAGGAGGTCGATGAGCACCGGGATGCCGCCGGCGTCGGCGATCAGGTCCTGATCAGGTCGTTCGAACGAGAGCTCGCACAGCGCCCGCGCCGCCTCTTCGCGGACGTGCCGCTGCGGCTCTCGCAGAGCGCGGACGTGCCGCGCAATGATCTCCGCCATGCTGTCCCTTGACTCGAGGCTCGCTTGCTGGCGCGGCGCTCTAATGACTCGGGGCTGCTAATGATGCAGCGGCATTGAGGCCTCGTTGCACTGGCGATTGGACGATAGAAGCTCGGCCCGAAGCGCATTAGCACACGATGGGCAAGTCGAAGAAGTTCGTCGGCAAGAAGAGCGGCACTCCCGAGAAGAAGGCGTCGCGCGAGATGACCGTCGCCGAGGCCGCGGAGCTCGTGAGCTGCGACGAGTCGGGCTACGACGCCCAGCTCGCCGCCAAGGTCGCGCGCGTGCGGGCCCTGCTCGGCGAGGTCGCGGAGCTGCCCGAAACGACGACGGTCGTGCCGAGCCCGAAGAGCCACTTCCGCCAGCGGTCCAACTTCCGCGTCTGGCACGAGCCCGAGGCGACGGGGCTCGGCGTGAGCTTCATCATGTACAGCCCGTCGTCGAGCGACAAGGAGCCGCTCCGCGTGGGCGACTTCGCCCGCGGCGACGCGAAGACGAACGCGCTCATGGGCCCCGTGCTCGCGGCGCTCAAGACCACGCCCGTGCTCCGCGACAAGGTCATCGAGTGCCGGTTCCACTCGACGCTCCGCGGCGGCGCGATGGTCCTCTTCGCCTACAACCGCCCCATCGACGCCGACGCGGCCTGGAAGGCCGCGGCGGAGGCCCTCGCGGCGCAGCTCGGGCCCGACGTCGTCGTCATCGGCCGGTCGCGGCGCGTGCAGATCGCCGTCGGCGGCGCGTGCCCGGGCCGCGCGCAGGTCGAGGAGACGCTCGAGATCCCCTGCGAGCCGCCCCTGCGCCTCGAGCTCGTGCAGCTCGAGGGCGAGTTCTCCCAGCCCAACGGCGCGGTCTGCGAGCGCATGCTCGCCTGGGCCATGGCCGCGACGAAGCCCGCGGAGGGCGCGGCGCCGCGGGATCTGCTCGAGCTCTACTGCGGCAACGGCAACTTCACGATCCCCCTGAGCCGCCACTTCCGCAAGGTCCTGGCGACGGAGCTCACGAAGCCCAACGCCGCCGTGGCCCGCGAGAACGCGGCGAAGAACGGCCGGTCGAACGTCGTCGTCGCGCGGTTGTCCGCGGCCGAAGTAGCGGAGGCGCTGCGCCGGGACCGCGAGTTCGCGCGGCTCAAGGAGCTCGGCGTGGATTTGGACGCCTACGACCTGGGCACGCTCTTCGTCGACCCGCCGCGCTGCGGCCTCGACGCGCCCACGCTGAAGCTCGCGCACGGCTTCGAGACCGTGGTCTACATGTCGTGCGGCCCGGACACGCTCGCGGAGAACCTGCACGCGCTCAACGCGACGCACGTCGTCGCCGACTTCGCCGTCTTCGACCAGTTCCCCTACACGGACCACTGCGAGGTGGGGGTCGTGCTGAAGCGCCGCGCGGACGCGGACGCCGCCGTCGTCCCCGAGCCCCGGCCCAAGGACCGGGCCGTGTCGAAGCGCTACGCGAAGAAGCACGCCGCCCGCGACAAGAAGGCGGGCGGCGGCAAGCACAAGGGCGGCGGCGGCGGCGGCAAGAAGCGGCCCGCGCCCGACGGCGCGCGCGACGGCGCCGGCAAGAAGAAGCCCAAGGCGCCCGAGCCCAAGAAGGGCGGCGCCATGGGCAACTGCGCGATCATGTAAGGGCGATGGCCTGGGATTCTCGGGGGTCTACGGTGCGCTTGGGATGTCGTCGCCGACGGCTCAGTGGCGCGGTGCCGAGGCCGGCCTGCTGGCCGGGGGTCGGCTGCGCGGGGCCGGCTGGGGTCGAGATCCCAGCCGAGCCAACTCTGCAAGATGTACTCTCTCCTGCTCCTCGCGACCGGCTGTGCGGCTCTGATTGCGCCCCAGCCCGTCAAACGTGTCTCGAAGGTCAGCGCGACGCTTGGCGACATCCCCGGTGCTTCGATCGAGTGTTCGCGGCCCGCGTCCCATCAAAGCCGCACGCACCTGCCAAGTTGGCTCGATTTTGCGCGCGCGAGCGCCCGCCGCGGTCAGACATCTCACCCGCGACCCTCGCAGGCGGCGACGAGATCTGGGACCCGCTCGAGCTCGCGCAGTGGCGCGACGTCGAGGAGCTGCGCGCGACGGAGCTCGCGAACGGCCGCGCGGCCATGCTCGCCTTCGTCGGCTGGATCTGGCCCCAGGTCTTCGGCCTCTGGAAGGGCGGCCCCGTGACGTCGTCGGACCCCATCGCCGCGCTCACGGAGGTGCCGACCGTCGCGTGGGTCCAGTTCATCGTCTTCTGCGGCGCGATCGAGGCGAACCGGCTCAACTACGACCGCGGCCTCGAGCGCGACACGTCCAAGGTCTTCTTCGACCCCCTCGGCCTCTACCCGGAGGACGCCGAGGGCCAGGCCCGCATGCAGCTCGCGGAGCTCAAGAACGCGCGCACGGCGATGATCGGCTTCGCCGCCGTCTTCGTCCACCACTTCATGCCGGCGGCCGTGCCGGGCCTCGGCGGCCTCCACTAGGCCGCTCCGGCGAGGGGCGCGCGCGGGGCGAGACGCGCGGCCGTAAACACACGATCCTGCTACGTGCGGTCATCTCCGGGAGTCGCCTGCGTCCACATGCTGTGCACTTCGCGGCCTCAAACATGGCACTCTTTACTCGCTGACGAGCGCGGCGATGCGGTCCCGGAGCGTCGCGAAGGCGGCGCCGTGGTCCGGGAGGCCCGCGAGGAGGTCCTCGGCGGCGGCCGCGGCGCCCGCGCGGAGCCAGCCCGCGTGCGTCTCGAGGAACGCCGCCGGCGTCGGCGAGAGGATCGCCTCCCAGTCGAGCTGGCGGCCCCGGGGCATGCGCGGCGGCGGCGCCGCGAGGCCCCCGGCGACGAGCAGCCCCGCGAGCACGACGTAGCCGCAGGCCGCGGACCCGCGCGAGAGCGGGCCGAACGAGACCCAGTAGTAGAACAGCGTCGCCGCGGCGTCGACGAGCGCGGCCGCGTCGCCGGCGCTCCGGCTCGCGCGGACCCTCGCGCCCGCGTCGACGGCCGCGCCCCAGGCGCGGGCCATCTCCGCGTCGTAGAGGCCCCAGCGCGCGGGCGTGCCCGGCCTGGCAGGAAAAGAGAGCGAAATTCCCAACTTTGGAGACTGATATCTCGGTCAGTTTCCGCTCGTTTCGGCTGATTTTTGGACGAGCGATCATCTCTCGGAGCGCTCTCGAAGCGTGGGTGCTGTTTCCGAAACGCGCGCGCGCGGAACACTCACGTTGAAGCGACGTTGAATCACACTTTTCCTGCCCTGTGCCCGGCGTGCGGATCGTGAAGTCGAAGCCGCCGGGCGGCGACCGCTGGAGCGTCACGCGCGTGCCCTCGAGGGCCTCGCCGGCGGCGATCGACGAGCCGCAGGGCGCGACGACCCAGAAGTCGCGGCCGCCGCAGAGGCCGTAGACGTCCTCGAGCGTCTCCGCGCGGTCGAGCTTCCGCCGCCAGTCGGCCATCGCCGCGTCCGCTTTCACGATCTCGCCGTCGACGGCCGCGGCGAGCGCCGCGGGCGGCGGCCGCGCCCGCGGCCTCCGCCGGCCGTCCTTGTAGGCCTCGAGCTCGCGCTCGGCGCTGTCCGTGCGGAGCTCGAGCTCCGACTTGACGACCGCGAACGCCATGGGAAAGTAGGGGTGGTAGCGGACGACCTCGAGCTGGCCCGCGACGAGGGGCGTCTGGAGGCCGAAGCCCTCGCGGAAGGCGCGGTCCGGCAGCCGGTCGATCCACCAGACCGCGTCGCCGGGCTCGGACTCGCGGCGCCACCGCGCCGCGGCCTCGTAGAGCCCGCGCCACGCGACGGGCGCGGTCCCGTCGAACGCGCCGCGCGCGAGCGCGGCGACCTCGAGGGCCGCGAGGCCGCACATGCGGTGCTGCCGCGCGTTCGGCAGGAAGCCCGCGCAGTCGAGCTGGATCCAGGGCTCGAGGCGCCGGCCCGCGTCGAGCCACGCGCGCGTCTCCGGCCGGAGGTCGCCGCCGCGGACGCGCCGCGGCGGCGGCCCCCGGCGCGGGCACCGGCGGCTCGGCGCCGCGCCGGCGACGAGGGCCGGCGCGAAGCGCTTGCAGTGGCCCTCCTTGAAGTCCGGCGCCAGCTCGACGTCGCCGTCGGAGTCGGCCGCGGGCGCGTCGAGGCGCGACCGCTGGTACGCCGCGAGCTCCCGGTGGTACCAGGCGACGTGCTCCGGCTCCCGCACCAGCGCCCGGTCGAAGCGCGCCGCCGCGTCGCCGTGGTCGCCCAGCGCGAGGGCGCAGAGGCCGCCGTAGTGCAGCGACGACGTGACGACGTCCGCGTCCTCCGGGCCGTCGCCGCGGGCCGCGTCCGCGGCCGGGCCGCCCGCCGCGGCCACGCAGGCGTCGAAGGACGCCTGCGCCGCTGGAAAGTCGCCGAGGCCGTAGAGCAGCAAGCCGAGCGCGTGGTGCGCCTGGTCGAAGGCGCCGTCGACCCGGAGGCACGCGTCGAACGCGCGCCTCGCCGAGTCGCCGTCGCCCGCGTCGCGGTGCGCCTGGCCGAGGTTCAGCCAGGCCTCCTTGAAGCCCGGGTCGATCTGCAGGCACTTGCCGAAGGCCGCCGTCGCCGCGGCGCAGGCGCCGAGCTGCGACTCGCAGAGGCCCCGGAAGTTCCACGACGCCGCGGTCTCTGCGCGCGTCCGGCCGTCGCGCGCGGACCGGCCCGCCGCGTGGGGGCCGAGGCCGACGTCGCAGTCGACGGCGGCGCCAAAGTCCGCGGCCGCGCCGCGGAAGTCGCGGAGCCGGTGGCGCACGACGCCGCGCTGCTGGTAGAGGTCCGCGTCGAACGGCGCGCCGTCGGACCGGCTCGCGAGCGCGACGGCCGCGTCGAGGTCCGCGAGCGCCGCCCGCGACTCGCCGAGGGCCGCGCGCGCCTGGCCCCGGCGCTTCCAGGCGTCGGCGACGTCCGGGGCGACGGCGACGGCCTCGTCGAACTCCGCGACGGCCTCCCTCAGCGCGCCGCGGAGCGCGCACGCGGAGCCGCGGCCGAGGCGCGCCGCGAGGGCCCGGGGCTTCTTGGCCAGCACCTCGTCGAAGACGGCGCAGGCCTCGTCGTGGCGGCCCGTGTTCACGAGCAGGTAGCCGACGGCGATCGCGTCGTCGACGCTCGCGGTCCCCGTCGCGTGGCTCATGCTGCCCCGGACCTTGCCGAGCACGTCCGGCGGGATGGCGCCGCTCGCGGCCCAGGCCTCGACCTCCGCGGACGGCTCGCCGCCGCGCTGATGCGGCGACGCGCGGAGGAGGCCCTCCGGCGCTGCGCGCGGGGCCTCCGGCTTCGGCTTCGCGGGCGCCGGTGCCGGCTTCGGCGGCGGCGGCGGCGGCGGCGCGGCCGGTTGCGGTTTCGGCGGCGGCGGCGCGGCCGGTGCTGGCGGCGGCTTCGGCGCGCCGTCGGCCGCGAGGAGCATCTGGAGCTCCGAAACGGCCGCGACGTCGCTCGCGTCCGTCGCCGCCGCGAGGCCGCAGCGCCAGGCCGCCGCCGCCTTGCTTTGCTTGCCGATGGACGCGAGCGCCAGGCCCTTGAGCACGTACGCGCGCAGGTGGCCGCCGCACGCGGCGATGGCGCCGTCGCACTGCTTGACCGTGGCCCTGTAGAGGCCCAGCTCCATCTTGCAGCTCGCGGCGTTGGTCAGGTGCGTCGCCATGTCGCCTGCTGCAGACGTTTTGGCCAGCGCCTCCCAGCGCTCCGCCGCCTCTGCGAAGTTGCCCGCGCGGAAGAGCGCGAGAGCCTCCATCGTGGCGAGGCTATTATACAAAAAGGTAATTGCACAAATTGTTGAACCTCCAAAAATTCTCCAAAACCTTCGGCCGCGGCGCCAGCGCATGGGCGGGGCTACCTCAGAGGTCCAGGCAATCCTGTAGCCCGGCCCAGATCTCCAGGCGACCAACCCATCCACACCATGGACCTCCTGAGCGACGACCTGCTCTACTGCTGCCTCGCGCGCGTGCCCTTTGCCAGCTACGACGCTTTGCGCCTCGTCTCGCGGCGCCTGCGCGGCGCCTGCGGCTCCGAGGGCTACGCGCGCGAGCGCGACCGGTTCCGCGAGTCGCTCGTTGTCGTCTGCGGCGGCAGCGACTGGGGCTACCGGCGCGAGGCCTGGCTCCTGACGCCGGACCGCACGTGGCTCGCGCGGCCCGCGCTGCCCTTCGGCCGCGACGCGTTCTGTCTGACGGCCGCGCGGCCCTTCGGCGACGAGCTCTACGCGACGGGCGGGCGGCTCCGGGGCTACGAGGCGTCGGCGGCCGTGTCCGCCTTCGACGCGCGCGCGGGGACGTGGCGCGAGTGCGCGCCGATGCTCCAGGCGCGCTTCGGCCACGGCGCGGCCGCGCTCCGGCCGAAGCCCAAGCTCGCGCTCGTCGCCGTCGCGCCGCGGCGGCGGCGGCCCGCGGAGCAGCGGCGCATCAGCGTGACGCAGAAGCCGCTTCTCGTCGTCGCGGGCGGCTACCGCGACGACGCGGAGCTCGCGTCCGCGGAGGCCTTGGACCTCGTCACGGGCCGGTGGCGCGCGATCGCGCCGCTGCCCTTCGCCACGTGCTACGCCGCCGCGGCCGTCGTCGACGGCCGCTTCTACGTCGCCGGCGGCGCGGGCCCCGGCGACGGTCGGCTCCAGATGTGGGACCCGGCGACGGGCGAGTGGGCGCGCCGCGCGGACCTCCCGCAATCGCGGCAGTCGGCCGCGGCCGTCGTCGTCGCGGGCCGGCTCTCCCTCATCGGCGGGCTGCTCGACCTCGGCGAGACGGCGAGCGTCATCCGCTACTGCCCGACGTCGGACGCGTGGCAATGGGGAGAGGACGCGCGCGCGATCCCGTGGCTCCCGAAGCCGCGGTCGGGCGCCACGGCGGCGCTCCTCGCGGACGGCTCCGTGCTCCTCGTCGGCGGCGGCTCGCCCCTCGTCTGCCGCCGCGACGGCGACGGCTACCGCGCCTGGGAGGACGTCGCCGACCTCCCGACCGGCTGGGTGCGCTGGCCCGGCGCGGCGACGGTGGAGCTGTAAAGTGTGTGCATATTGAATTCAATGTGCTGTGTTGAATTTGAGGTACAGGGTGGCTCCTCTCCCCGCGGCTGTGCTTCCAGCCATACGCAATGCGCGTCGCGGCGATCAGAGCGTTCGCGCTGCTGCGAGCGGCGGCGGCGCTCCAGCCACCGGCACCGAGGCGGTCGTCGTCGCTCCTGCGCGCCGCGCCCGCGCCGGACGCCTGGAACGCCTACGAGCTCGGCGCCGCGCGCGCGCTGGCGGCGAGCGCGCCGGCCAAGGCCGCGGCCGCGTTCTTCAGCGCCACGGGCCCGCTGCCGCTGAACGCGGCGCTCGCGCTGCCCTTGGCGGCGAAGCTCGACTGGTCGCGGCCGTGGCGGCCGCGGCCGACGGGCGACCGGTCGCGCGCGGGCCTCCTCTACGGCGTCGCGCTCGTCGCCTGGGCGGCGCGGCAGGCGCCCTACGCGTCGCGCGCGGCGTTCGCGGCGGCGGCCTTGCGGCTCGCCGTCGGCGCGCGCGCCGCGGCGCTCGGGCCCGTCGTCGCGCTCGTCGCGGACGCGAAGCGGTCGGCCGCCGCCGAGGCCGCGGGCCGCGCGGCCGCGGCCGCGGTCGTCGTCGCGGCGAAAAGCTCGGCGGCCCAGATCGAGGCCGCCGTCGCGCGCGCGGCCGTCTACGTCGAAGCGCGGCCCCTGCTCGGCACGGCCGTCGAGGCCGGGCTCATCCTGACGCTCTTCGCCATCTTCCGGAAGCTCTCGACGACCATCGACCGCTTCGACGACAAGTAGCATTTTTATAGCGACGGATGCTGCTACTTCTTTTTCCCTTTCTTCTTGCCGGGCTTCTTCGTCTTCTTGCCCTTCTTCGCGAGGGCGATGCGCTCCTGTCGCCCTCGCAGCGCCGCGGCCAAGCGCGTCGCGGCGACCATGGCCGCGATCATGATTTCTCGCGCCGTGTCCATCTTCTTGGCGCGCTCGACCTCGTCCGTGAGCGCGTCGCCGCCCATGACGATGTCGTAGACGTCGAGCTTGTACGCGAGCGGCGGCGGCGGCGCGGCGGCGTCGGGCGCGGCGGCCGCGGCGGCGTCCGTCGCGATGCTGGCCGCTCGGCCCGCGTCGGCCAGCTCCTTGAGCAGGGCCGACTTCTCTTTGATCGTAATGCTCGTATAGTAGGGCTCGGCGCGCGGCGCGACCTTGACCGGCTCGACGGGCTCCGCGGGCCGCGGCGACTCGACCTTCGGAGCCGCCTCCGCGAAGAGCGACGTGGACGGCTTCTTGATCGGGTCTGGTTTCACGGGCTCCGACTCGAGGCGCACCTCGAAGGCCTTCGTGATCGCGGCGTCGAATACCTGCGACTTGCGCTGGTTCGCCTTGAGCTTGGCTGCCTCCTCCTCGGCAGCTTTCGCGGCCTTTTGCTCCTCCGTGAGCTCGGGCGGCGCTGCCGCACCGTCCGCCGGCGCTGCACCATCCGTCGCGACCGCGCCGTTCTCCGCTGCAGCCGCGGCGACAGGATCGCCCACGGAGCCGGCCGCGCCCATGCCGTCGAGTGGTTACAGATCGCACACGCAAAAATTCACCATCGGTAAGTTGCCGTTCAACCTGCGAATTGGTTACGTCGCCCGCCCCAGGAAGTGGGCCTCCCACTTCTCGGCGACGTGCTTCCAGAGGAAGCGGTCGCGGGCGTAGCGCTTCATGGCCGCGCGGTGGCCGTCGAGCTCGCCGCGCGCCGCGCGCTCCGCCGCGTCCGCGGCCGCGGCGGCGAAGTCGGCCTGCCAGGCGACGTCCGCGGCGTCGACGGCCGGCTTGAGGTCGTCGAGCAGGATCGACGCCTCGGCGTCGGCGCGGCGCGGCGTCGCCGGGCCGAGGTCGAAGTCCACCGTGAGCTCGGGGACCACGGAGCCCGCGAAGCGGCTCGTGATCGGGATCGCGCCGAGCGCCATGGCCTTCATGACGGAGACGCAGCCCGTCTCCGGGTAGGTCGTCGGGTAGAGCACAAAGCCCGCCCGGGCGTAGCCCCGGGCGAGCTCGTCGTGGCCGACCATGCCCCGGTAGTCGACGCCCGGCCTGTGTGCAAATCAACCAGTGGAACGCCCTGTCCAGCAAAAACTTCAAACCTCTCTATCTCGATCAAATCGAAGTCGATTTGGCTGATTTTTGGACGAATCGATTGCTCTCGTCGAGTTTTCGAAGCACAGCGAAAGAGTCTGGTCCAAACCGTTCGATTACGCGCACATTGAAGTCGGGTTGAAGATTTGATTTGCACACAGCGCCCGGCTGCCGGAGGAGCCGCTCGACCTCCGCGCGCCACGCGTCGAACGCGGGGATGTGGCGCGCGCCCCAGGTGACGAAGGCCGGCGAGAAGCCGTAGTAGACGACCAGGGTCGCGTTCGGCACGCGGCCCCGCACGGCGGGCCAGCCCTTGAGCACCTCGTAGAGGCCGCGGTTCGGCGCGGACCCGTACGCGAAGACCGTCGCCGCGTTGTCGCCGTCGACGAGGAACGACGGGTCGATGCCGTTGGGCGTCTCGTAGGCCTTGGGCCGCGCGGCGGGCGGCAGCGTCGCCGTGTGGAACTTGGACAGCGTGAAGATCCCCGCGAGGCCGTCGACGAACGGCGCCGTCCACGACCCGTAGCCGGGCACCTGCGCGGGAACAGGGTGCTTCAACATCGCTTCAATAGGAGTGGTCCGCGCGTTCCATAAAAAAGCATCCACGCTCCGAGACCGATGATCGCTCGTCCAAGCATCAGCCGAAACGAGTGGGAAACGGCCGAGCGAGGCGCCTTTGGGAAGTTCGCGCGCTCGTCCCGCGCCGCCGGGCGCGTCCTGGAGCCACGCGTAGACTTTCCCGTGCGTCGCCGGGTCCGCGACGGCCGTGGACACGTGGTAGCGCCAGGCGACGAAGACGTCGGGCGGGCGCGACGCGTCGTAGGTCGCGTGGCGCAGCCACGCGACGCCGAAACGGTCGTCGCCGAGGTCGCGGTCCGCGCACTCGTTGTAGACCTCGACGGCGTGGCCCCGCTTCGCGAGCTCGCGGGCGACGAAGACGACGGCCTCCTCGGAGCCGCCGAGGCCGCCCGTCTCGAGCGACGACGGCCCCCAGTCGGGCCACCACGTCTGGCCGTACTCGTCGCAGTAGATCGCGACGACGAGGTTCCCCGCGCGCCGCGCGGCGGCGCGCTTCGCCAGCGCCGCGTCGCGCGCGTCGAGGCGCGCGCGTCCCCGTTCGTCGGCCCGCTGCGCGGCGTGCCGGAGCCGCACGGCCTTGAACCACTCCTCGAGCGCCGCGGCGCCCGCGCCCGCGTCGTCGAGCGCCGCGCCGACGCCGAGCCGGAGCCCCGCGTCCGACGGGCTCAGCGCCGACGACGCGAAGAGCGCGCCGAGCAGGCGCGCGTCGTCGGGGCGCCGCGGCCCGCAGCGCCTCGTTCAGGTTGCCCGCGACGTCGCCGTCGTCGCGGACCCGGAGGCCGGACAGGTACGCCGCGGCCGCGCCGGCCGCGTCGCCGGCCCTGCGCCGCACGTGGCCCAGGTTGTACCAGAAGTGGGACGACCAGGGCGCGCGGTCCACGGCGTGGCGCAGCTCCGCCGCGGCCGCCGCGTCGTCGCCGGCGAAGTGGCAGTCGAGGCCCCGGAACGACCGCGCGTTCGCGTCCTCGGGATACGCGGCCGCGAAGCGCGCGACGGACGACCGGCGCCGCGCGGCGCCGTCGACGGGCGGGAGCGAAGACGCCGCCCGCTCGTCGGCGTCCGGGTCGTCGCCGCCGAAGCAGGGCGGCCCCGCGGCGCCGCCGAGGTCCGCGGCCGCGCGGCGGTAGCGGCAGTCCTTGAGGCCCGCGCGGTCGCGCGGCGCCGCGGGGTCGACGACGACGTGCCAGGTCCGCTTCCCCGCGCGGAAGGCCTCGTAGGCGGCCTCGTAGGCGGCCTCGGCGGACGCGACGGACCGCGCGGCGTCGAAGAGGGGCTCGGCGCTCGTCCGCGCGACCGTCGCGTTCCGGAGCCGCTCGAAGGGGAGGGCGCCCGCGACGGCCTCGAAGTCCTTGACGGAGTCCACCAACGTCAAATTCTCGAGGGCCGCGGCCGCGAGCAGGGACGCGCCGACGCGGCTCGCGAAGCGGCCGACGCCGTCGCCGCCGCCGCCGCCGAAGCCGCGGATCGCGAGGAGCGGCACGGCGGCCCAGAGGCTGTCGGCGCCCGTCGTGTGCGCGCCGTAGACGAGGTTGTCCAGGAAGAGGTCGCAGGTCTCGGCCATGCGCGTGAGGTGCGCCTGGCGCGGCACGCGGCCGAGCCAGACGAGGCGCGCGGGGTGCACGCCGCGCGCCGCGGCCTCGGCCGCGAGGTTCGCGACGACGACGGCGCCGAGGGGCTCCTTGGGCCGCAGGAGCGCGAGCGTCGCCCCCGGCGACCGCCGGAGCGCGCCCATCCAGAGCGTGAAGGACTCGGGCTCGTACTTGTCGATCTGGTTGAAGTTGCAGTAGCGCGGCGGCCCCGGCGCGCGCCGCGCGCCGAGGTCCGCGGGCGGCCAGTGCGCGCCGTAGTCGTTGGCCTGGTAGGAGAAGGGCAGGTAGATGAGCGGCTCCGCCGCCGTCGCCGCGGCGTGGTCCGGCGGCAACACTTTCGCGTCGGCCATCGTGTAGTCGAAGTGGCCGCCGCCCGCGACGCCCGGGTAGCCGAGGTAGGAGATGAGCAGCGCGCCCGGCGGCGCGACGGACTCGCTCGCGAGCTCGAGGCGCGCGCCCCGCGTGTGCGTCATGAGGTCGACGACGACGTCGAGGTCGAGGGCGTCCATGCCCCGCTTCGCCGCGGCGACGTCGACGTCGAAGAGCTCGAGGAACCCGCCTTCGGGCCGCCGCTCCGCGCGCGTCCGGAGCACGGACGCGTCGTTCTCGCCGTAGCTCAAGACGAAGGTCTCGACGACGGCCGGGTCGTGGTCGCTCACGAGGCGCCGCGTGAGGTAGCCCATGGGGTGCTCGCGGAAGTCGAAGCTCAGGTACCCGACGCGGAGGCGGCTCCGCCGCGCCCTCCGCGGCGGCGGCGGCGCCGCGTGGCCGAAGCGCTGGAAGACCTGGGCCGACGTCAGGCGCCGCAGCACGTCGTTGGGGAAGTGCTGCAGGAGCGTCGCGTCGTAGGGCATGACCGCGAGGTCGACGTCGCGGCGCCCGACGCCCGCGCCGCGGCGCCGCCGGCCCTCGAAGTCCGCCAGCGACGCCTCCACGATGGCCAGCAGCCCCCGCTGCGTCTCCTCGAAGCCCGCCCACTTGCAGATCGTGCGCCGCGCGGTCATGAGGTTCCCCAGCGACGTGCCGTCGTCCGGCGCGAAGGCGACGGCCTCGCCGAAGACGGCCTCGGCGCGGTCGTGGAGGTTGCCGTCGCGGAAGGTCTGGCCCAGGTTGTTCAGCGCGTTGAGGCGCACGCCCCGGGACAGGGTCGGGTCGGCGACGAGCTCGAGCTGGATGCGCGCGGCCGCGTCCGAGTCGCCCTCGGTGAAATACGTGTTCGCGAGGTTCAGCCGCGCGTTCTCGTGGGCCGGCGCGAGCGCCATGGTGCGCTCGTAGGCGGCGCGCGCGTCCTCGACGCGGCCCAGCCCGTCGAGGACGATGCCGTAGTTGAAGTGCGCGTCGGGGAAGTCGGGGTCCGCGGCGATGGCCCGTTCGAGGTGGCCGCGCGCGACCTCGAGCTTCGCGACGTCGCGCGCCGCGTTGCGCGACAGGAGGTGGCCCAGGTTCGACTCGGCCTGGGCGACGATCTTCGGGTGGTCCGCCGCGGCGATGGCCCGCTCGTAGCACGCGGCGGCCTTGGCGACGTCCGAGACGCCGTCGTTCGCGAGGTCGCTGTAGGCGTTGCCGAGGTTGATGAGCGCCTCCGGCAGCGCCGGCGCGATCGCGAGCGCCTCTTCGAACTCGGCGACGGCGCGCGCGTACTCGCCGCGGACCTGCGACGCCACGGCGGCGTTGTAGATGGCGTAGGCGTCGACCTCTTTCGCCGTGATGCTCCGCTGCACGCCCTCCTTCGTCGTGACGATGCTCACGATTTCGTCGTCGGCGACGGCGGTCGTCGCGGCGAGCAAGAGGACGAGGCGCATGGTCTCAGCGCTCTCGCCGAGGCCGCTACGGGGCTGCCATCGTCCGGCTGGGATGCAACTTTAGGGAACCTTTGGCTGAAGCTCGTCTGTACAGCTGTGCGTCGAGGTGGCTGTGCTTTTGAGGTGCTAGATCGAGTGCTCGTCGCTCGTCTTGCTGCTGCCGGTTGCATCCGTCGCAACAATGCGCACCATGATGTTCGCGCTGCTCGCCGCGTCGACGTCGGCGTTGAAGCTCAGCCGGCGCGCCTTCGCCGCGGGCCCGGCGTCCGCGGCGCTGCTCGGGCCGCGCGCGGCCTTTGCCGTGCCCGGTCCGGCGGCGACGGCCCTCTCGGTGTTCAGCGCTTCCGATCCCACGAAGTCGCCGTTCCAGGGCTACTACAAAGACCCCGAGCACCTCGACGGCTACCGCATCATCAAGGCGAACGTCGGCCTCGGCGAGCTCCTCGTCACGGGCCGCGACGCGCCGGACGGCGAGGAGTTCGTGCTCACGGGCGTCATCACGTCGCAATTCAGCGCCATCATCGACTTCTCGCCCAAGGGCGGGCCGAAGAACCTGCCGACGCGGTTCAAGCTCGTGCAAGGCCGGCCGATCATCGAGTTCCCGGACGGCAACGGCTGGGCGCGCATCTCCGAGAAGCCCGCGATCCCGACCGTGGAGGTGCCCATGTCCCAGGACAAGCGCAGCGGCCTGGACAAGCTGCGGGGTGCCATGGACACGGGCAAGCTCGCGGGCGACGCCAAGGACGCGGGCATCTCCCTGCCGAGCCTGAGCCTCCCGAAGCTGCCCTTCTCCTAGGAGCGGCGGGTAGTGTAACGTCGTCGGTCGAAGAATGGGTGCCGGTAGGGGTGTGGGTGTGGCTCCGGAGAGGTGTAGCCTAGGTGTCGCGTCCATCCGCCGGGCCTGCCGCGAGGTTCCCGATTCGTCGCCGCACATTGCTGGGTCGCGCGACGCGTTTCACGTCGGTAGAGCGGGCGCCCCTCGACGCGGACGGCGTCATCTGGTCGGCGCAAACGACGAGACGATATGGCGGCGCACGGTCCCTACGACCTCCAGATCAAGCTGCTGATGATCGGCGACTCCGCCGTGGGAAAGACGTCGCTCCTCCTGCGATATGCGAACGACACGTTTTCCTCGACGTTCATCACGACCATCGGCATCGACTTTAAGATTAAGACGATCAATCTGGACGGGAAGCGCGTCAAGCTCCAGATCTGGGACACCGCGGGCCAGGAGCAGTTCCGGACGATCACGCGGTCCTACTTCCGCGGCGCGCAGGGCATCGTGCTCGTGAGTGGACCCCCCCGCCCCCGCCCCCGCCCCCGCCCGCCCCGCGCGCCGCCCGCGCCGACGCCGACCCCCCCGCGCAGGTCTACGACATCACGGACCGGGGCACGTTCAACTCCGTGCGGTCGTGGATGGCGCAGATCAACGAGCACGCGGACGGCCAGGTGAACAAGATCCTCGTCGGCAACAAGTGCGACAACAGCTCCGCGCGCAAGGTCTCGGCCGACGAGGGCCGCAAGCTCGCCGACGAGTACGGCGTGCGCTTCATCGAGACGTCGGCCAAACAGAACGTCAACGTCACCGAGGCGTTCCGCGCGATCGCGCAGCAGGTCACGAGCCGCATCCCGAGCCGCGCCGCCGGCGGCGTCAAGCTCCAGTCCGCCGCCAAGCCCGGCGGCAAGAAGGGCTGCTGCTGAGGGGGGCGCGCGGGCGTCGGGGCGCGCGTCGGCGGAGCGGCGGCGTCGATCTAAAAGTTGTTCAGACAAATCTATCGAGAAGTAGCAACCGGTTTATTTGCCGCGACCGCCGCGGCGGCGTTTCTTCGTCGCGGGCGGCGGGGAGGGCGCGGCGGCGCCCTCGTCGTCCGCGTCGCCGTCGGAGTCCTCCTCGTCCTCGTCCTCGTCCTCGTCGACCTCCTCGCCGCTCTCGTCGTCGTCGTCCGCCTCGTCGTCGTCGTCGTCCGCGTCGCCGCCGGACTCGTCGTCGTCGTCGTCGTCGCGGAAGCCCCGGGACGTGGGCTGCTTCGAGAGGTCGGCGCCGGCGGTCGCGCGGTCGCCGGCGAAGGCGTGGTAGAGCACGTCGCCGTCGCAGACGCCGCGCTGGACCTTGTAGAGCTTCATCGTGAGCCGCGGCCCGAGCTCCGCGAGCTTGATCGCGGACTCGCGGTGCTTCACGTTCGACCGGCCCGCGTACTTGCCCGCGAGCACGACCTTGGCGTCGTTCTCCGCCTCGGAGTCGGAGCCGTAGGCGTCGTCGTTCGCGGGGCGCGCGAGGCCCCGGACGTACTCGGAGATGTCCCTGAGCTTCGAGAGGTCCGGCGTCTTGCCCTTGGCCTCGACGACGCGCTTCACGGTCTTGGACACGCCCGACGCGGACGCGCGGATGGCGTAGTGGCGCAGCTCCAGGACGTCCGTCGCCGGGTCGCGCTCCACGAGCACGACGCGGCGGCAGTCCGCGAGCTTGACCGTGCTGACGTCGATGGGCGCGAACATGGCCTCGAAGGTCACGCGGAGGAGCTTGACGTGCGGCGCGGCCTCGTCGGCGCCGAAGTTGTTGAGCACGACGAGGGGCGCCGTCGCGTAGGCCGCCGTCGTGTCGAAGGGCCGCTTCTGCGCCGCGCGGACCGTCCGCGCGAGCTCGAACGCTAAAATCTTCAGCGCGAGCGTCGGCCCCGCCGGCAGGCGCGCGATCCGCAGGTTGACCTGCGTCTCGCGCTGGGCGAGCATGAGCAGGTGGCTCACGCCGAGGGGCTGCGCGGCGTGCACGAAGTCCTTGAGCGTGTTCGTCGCCTTCTCCCGGAGCTTGAGCGCCGTGTGCGGCGCCATGACCTTGCGGAGCTCGAGGAGCAGCTCCGCGACGTGCTTCGACGTGTTGCCGCGCCGCACGATCATGGACCGCGGGATCGCCTTCTCGCCCCGGTCCGCCGCCTGCGGCGGCGGCGTCGCCTTGCCCGCGCCCTTGCCCTTGGCCGGCGCCGCTGCCGCGACCTTGGGCCGGTCGTCGACGGCCTCCTGCGTCCGCGACTTCTTCCGCCGCCCGCCGCGCCGAGGCATGGCTGGCGGGTGCTGGCCGCGAAAGCGCTGCTGCGCGACGGCGGCCGGGTGTCGCTCGACGCGCTGCGCGACGAGGTGCTCGACGACGCGTGGGCCCGGAAGCTCGTCCGATCGCCCAAAACAGCAAAATCCGGCTGTGGAGAGGCCCTTGACCGCCGACGGCGTCGTCCGTCGCCGCCTCCAACCCCCCAAACAAACCCGCCCGCTCTATCATCGACGCCTCGGCGTTGTCGGATTTTGATCGCTTTCCATCGCCCACACCAAAACACCCCCCCGAAAACCATGAGGATCAAACTCCGCCGCCTCGTCTGCCTGGGCTTGATCGTCTGCGTCGCCATCTCCTTCCTTCCCTTCACCTTCCGCGGCGATGACGACGACGACGGCGACGACGACTACGACGACGACGAGACGCGCGAAAACGCGATCCAGCGCCACCTGCGGCGCGAGCGCGAAATGCTCGCGTCGCAACTCCGGCACAAGCAGCAGCTCCTCGCAAAGGGCGCGAAGAAGGTCGGCGGCATGCTCCGCGGCACGAGGAAGAAGAAGGAGGCGCACCGGGACGACGACGACGACGCGTCCGCGGAATCCGTCCACGACGATCCCGGCAATCCCAACGGCGACGACGACGACGACGACGACGAGGACGACGGCCCGGAGGACGACAAGGTCGCGCTCTTCTGGAACCACGACGCCTTCGAGAAGGAGCGCGTGCCCGCGCGCGCGTTCCACCTCGGAGGCGGCGCGCCCCTCGACGACGACGACGAGGACGACCTGCGGCGGATCCGGGAGGGCCGCGAGGACCGGCGCTTCGTCGCGGAGCCGTCGGTGCCCGTCGACCCCGGCGAGGACCTCGCGCGCAAAGCGCGCTGGGCGAAGACCCTCGAGGCCCAGGGGCGCTGGGGGGGCGCGTACCTCGGCAACGGCGTTCTTTCGCCCGCGGCGCTCGCGAAGCAGGCGCGCGCGCTCTTCGAGAAGCGGTGCCGCCGCGAGTGACTAAAGTTTTACCCACACGCTTCGGACTACTAGTAACAGAGCGAGTTTTACCCACACACGGGCTAGAGAAAAACAGGGCGTGGCGCCGCGACCGGTGGTGCGGCGGCTTCTTCGCGCGGGGGCTCGGGGCGACGCTGGACGGCACTCGTCCAACAAGGGTGCGTCGCTCCGTCCGCTCCGCGCTTGCGCCGAGGCACATGCACAAAACACGGGGGGAGGGGGATGGTGGTCGGTCACTGGTCGAGGGGCACGCTGCGGTGCGCCGCGGGGTCGAAGACGCGGTCGGCGTCGAGGCCGTACTTGTCGTGGGAGGGGAAGCGCCGGATGGCGCCGTTGGAGGCGAGGTCGATGGACGCGAGGTCGAGCTCGACGACGTCGCGGCCCATGGCGTCGACGGCGGACGCGTCGGGCGGCTCGAGGCCGTGGAGCGACGCGTCGAGGCCCGACGCGTCCGAGACCGGCGACGACGGCGGCTCCGGCGGGAGCCCCTCGTCGCTGTGGAGGCTCGCGTGGCGGTAGGCCTTGACGTCGTCGTCCTCGGGGATGGGCAGGCCGAGGCTGCAGCGGCGCTCGCCGCCGGGCGCGTCGTCGACGGTCCGCCGGCTCGTCTTCAGCTCCGGCGACCGCTCCGGCGAGTCGTCGCCGCCGGCGGCGGCGCCGTCGTCGAGGGCGCGCAGGCCGAGATCGGGCGTCTCCGCGGACATGGACGCCGCCGTCGCCGCCGCGAGGTGCAGCGCGAGCGCGGCGTCGTCGTCGTCGCCCGTTAAGTCGCCCGGCGGCGCGATGCCGCGCGCGACGACGTCGTCGGGCGACGACCCGGCCGACGAGGACGGCGCGTCGTCGTCCGCGGACACGACGGCGCTCAGCGACGGCGGCGCGCGGCCGCCGCTGAGGCGCCGCTGCTTCACGAGCGACCCGATCTTGTCCGTCGTCGACGGGCCGATGTACGAGTTCTTCCGGCCGCCGTCGCGCACGAAGGGGTGGTCCAGGATCGTCGCCGCGTCGATGCGCTCGTCCGGGTCCACCGTGAGGCACTTGGCCAGCAAATCCTTGGACCGCGACGACCGGTCGCGCCACGCGCGCTCGGGGAACGCGAGCGCGAGCGGCGCGGGCCCGGCCGCGCCGCGGCCCGCGTCGCTCCGCTCGAAGGCCTGCTCGTCCTCGGCGGCGTCGAAGGGCTCCATGCCGCTGAGCATGATGTAGAGCACGCAGCCCAGGCCCCAGACGTCGACCTTGGCGCCGTAGGGCCGCCCCGTGCGCTGCTCGGGCGCGATGAACCCGGGCGTGCCGCACAGCGTCGTCGTGATGCCCCGGTCGCTGTGGGCCATGCCGAAGTCCGCGAGCTTGACGTTCCGTAAAAGCGGCGTCGGTAAAAGCAGGTTCTCGAGCTTCATGTCGCGGTGGATGACGCCGTTCGCGTGGCAGTGCGCCAAAGCCGACGCGACGTCGCGCGTGAGGTTCGCGGCCGTGCGCTCCGAGAAGGAGCCGACCTTGCTCAGCCGCTCGAAGAGCTCGCCGCCGGCGGCGTACTCCATGACGAAGAGGTAGTGCGTCGCGTCCTCGAAGTCCTCGTAGCTCCGGAGCACGTTCGGGTGGTCCAACAGCCGCAAGGCCGTGATCTCGCGCCGGAGCTGCGCGAAGGTCTCGTCGTTGCCCTGGCGCCAGGCGGGCCGCTTGCGGCAGACCTTGACGGCGCGGAACTCGGGCTCGCCGCTACCGCGGGCCTTGCCGCCGGAGAAGAGGCCCCGGGCCCCGTCGCCCTCGCGCCGCTTCAGGCGGCAGAGGTGGACGATGGACGTCGCGCCCGTGCCCAGCACGCCGAGCGTCGCGTACTTGGCCCGGTAGGCCTGCGGGAGCTGCGTGCGGTGCGGGTCCCCGACGAAGCCCGCGGGCGCGTCGCGCGGCGCGAGCTTGGACCGCACGAGGCCGACGACGTCGTCGCGCTTCTCCCGCAGCATCTTCAAAAACTCGCCCTGGTTCGCGAGGCAGCCCGCCATGCGCGGCGAGCCCGGCGGGGCGCCGCCGCCGGGGCCGCCGCCGAGGCACCCGCAGGCCTCCACGGTCGCGACCGGCGCGCCCACCGTTCTGTCCCGGGGGGGCGGGGTCGGCGAGGGCAGCCCCCGGTAGATCGGGGGCGGCCCGCCGCGCGCACCCGCCGGGGACCCAAGCGCGCGAGGGGGCGGCGACGGCCACCGACGCGCGACCGCCCGCGGGCCTAGCGAGCCATGGAGCTCGCCTTACTGTTGCGATGGGCGCATCACACAATGCTGCCCCCGCGGTGGATCCTTGGGCAGGTGGTTAGTGAAGTACTGTTCTGAGGAGGGGAATAGCAACCACTGCGGCGGCGATCCGTTGAGCTTTGGTTTACTCTCGGCTCGCTGTATGTGTTTGGTTCCGCTCATCGGCTCGCTGTATGTATTTGGTTCCGCTGATTTCGGGCCGAGAAGCGCCGAGACGGCATGGACGCATTAAATTTAGTCGAGCGCGCCTACCACCGCGCGCGCCCCCCCGCGTGCAAGATCGCTGGGACTGCGCATAGCGCACACATCGGGGCTGCCATCCGCGAAGGAGCGGCAGCGTTTGGATTGCGACTCGCTGAGAACACAAGCGGCTTCGGGCGACCGATTTGACGGACGCGACGCCCCTCCCCCGGCCCGTGAGCGGCCCGGGCAGCCCCGCGCAGCAGCAGGGATCGTCCGCTGTCGACCCGAGAGCGCCCTGCCACAAGGGTTGGCCCCGCGGACCCGAGGAAGTCGATCTGACGTGTTCGCGCTGAAACCGCGTCGCGCGCGCCCGCACGCCCGCGCGCGCGGTGTCGCACGTCGTTCGAGCCAAGTCAGCAACTGAGCAGTCCGAGGGTATCAGACATGTACCCCGAGCCTCCGATCCAGCCAGCACGCTGCCCAGAGCCCAAAATGGGCTGCTTTTCGGCTCGCAGAGCATGCCGAAATGCTCGAACTTCGCGCAGCGATTCCGGATGACGGTAAGGGTGTCCATGGTCACGGAGCACAGTTCCGAGCACACCAGAGGCACGTCTGCCGCGATCCGCAGCCCATGACCATGGACAGCCGGCCGCGCGCGCGCCGGCAAATGCCAAAGAGAGGCTCTCCCTGCTTCTCCCCTCATACTGTTCTGGAGAACCACCTGAGGTCGGTGTTGCTCCTACAAGCTTAAGCGACGTGGGCGGCCGCGGCCGGCACTCCTACAAATACGCGGTGCTGTCCAGAACGTCGTCGTCGGCGGAGTTGGCCGTGCGCTGGTGCGGCGTGTCGTCGTCGTCGTCGAGGTCCGGGTCGACGCCGTGCATGAGCTTCTCGAGGCGGTCGATGCCCGCGTTCGCCGCCTCGGACTGGGGGTTCAGCGAGATGGCCGCGTGGTAGTACGCGAGCGCGTCGCTGTACTGCTCGTTCAACACGTAGACGTCCGCGAGCTTCGTGTGGAGGAAGTCGTGGTTCAGCGACTGGAGCGAGTGGAGGAGGAGCTCGATGGACTGGGCGTACTCCTGGTTCGCAACGTGGAGGTCCACGAGCGCGAGCGCCGCGTCCGTGCAGGACTTGTCGATGGACAGCGCCTTGGCGAACGCGCGCTTCGCCTTGTCCGTGCCCTCGGGCGACGTCGCGAGCACCTTGCCCACGAGCGAGATGGCCGCGGCGTTGTTCGGCAGCGTCGCCACGGCCTCCTTGGCCGTGCAGAGCGCCTCCTTGTACTTGCGCGTCGACAGGTAGGCCGCCACCAACCCCTTGTACGACGCCAGGTCCTTCGCGTAGTTGTTCGCCTGGAAGTACGCGACGATCGCGTGCTCCGCCTTGCCCATGCCCAGCAGCAGCTCGCCCCGGAGCTGGAACGCGAGCACGTGGCGCGAGTCCAACGCGATGGCCTTCTCGACGAAGCCCAGCGCCTTCTCCGTCTCGCCGCGCGTCTCCGCGTACAAAGCGACGGCGATCCACGCCTCGGGCCGCTTCCGGTTCGTCGACACGAGGTCGTGCGCGAGCCGGTTCAGGTCGTTGGCCTGGCCCCGGCGCTTCGCGAGCACGGCGCAGTGGTCCATGTAGTCCAGGTTCAGGTTGTCGGCCACGCGCGCCTTGTTGAACGAGTACTGCGCGTCGACGAGGTCCTCGAGCTCCATCTGCGCCTTCGCGAGGCGCAGCAGCCCGTGCAGGTTCGACGGGAAGCCGCCGATCTGCTCCACGGCGCCCCAGTGCTCGATGGCGTGACCGTACTCGTGGCGGTGCATCGCGCCGTGCGCGAGCACGAAGGGCTCGAGCCACGGCCACGCGGCGGCCGCCTCGGGCGCGGGCGCGGCCGCCGCCGCGGCGCCGTCGACGTCCATGGCGGCGCCGCCGCGGGTCCCCCGGTCCCTGCGCGGCGTCGCGCCGAGCTGCGCCAGCGGCTCCACGGCCTCGAGGCAGAGCGGATTCGCGGCGAGCGCGGCCTCGAACGACGCGATCGCGTTCCGCTTCAGCCCCGTGTTCTTGTAGAGGCGGCCGAGCGTCACGTGGGCGCGCGCGCCGCGCCACTGCGCCGGGATGGCCTCGAGCGTGTTGATCGCCGCGCCGACCTCGTCCAACGCCACGCAGCACCGCGCCTCGCGGAACTTGAGCCGCGCCTCGGCCTCGTCCTCCGCGGCGGACGACGCGCCGTAGCCGCCGCGCCGCGCGCCCTGCGCGACGCGCCGCCGCTGGATCGCCTGGCGGTAGTAGGCCTGCGCCCGCTTGTACTCGCCCTTGCCGAAGAGCGCGTCGCCGTAGAGCTCCAGGCCCTGCTCGCCGCGGCTGCTCGACAGGAGCAGCGACCCGAGGATCTCCGCGCTGCTCCAGAGCTCCTCCGCGAGGAGGTGCTTCATCTGCGCTAAGAGGTCCTCCGTGTCCGGCGCGGGGGACATGGTTGGTGTGTAGCTGCTGGGACGCTCAAAGCCGCCTCCAGCCTGCTCGATTTTGAGACTGCAACCAAAACCGCTCGATCACGTTGAAGCTGAGTTGCACAGCCTCGCTTGCGAGCCGCATCCCACCCGCCGCTCGACGCGCGCAGTGGAAAAAAACTCGACAGTAACACAGAAGATGGAATTCCGCGGCGCTTACTCCGGCGGCCCGCGTCTCGGCGGCCGCGCCCGAAGGAAAAGGCGCGGCCGCGTCATGTCGGGGCTCGCGCGGCGTCGGCGCGCGGCGGGATTCCTACGCGGCGCCCGCGGCGGCGAGGAGCGCCTCGATGGACAGGTGCGCGCCGGAGCTCTCGTCGTAGTGCTCCGCGACGACGCTGTCGCCGTCGAAGACGAAGCTGCCGCCCTGGACCATCGTCTGCTCCATCGACCGCCGCATCGTGGACGCCTTGGGCATGAGCGGCTTGTAGGGGCCGGGATTGAACAAGTTGCCCGTGACGGCGTTCAAATCGTCGCGGCCGCGCTCCTTGATGGCGTCGTTCGTCGCCGCGGACCACATGCTGCCGACGCCCTCGAAGACGGCCTTGCCGCTGTCGTCGCGCTTCGTGTTGCGCGTGCCCGCGGCCGCGTAGGCGTCGCTGAGCTCGCTGTCGTCGACGAAGAGCAGCTCGGGCGAAAAGCTCGTCTGCTTCGCGAAGGTCTCGCCGGACTCGACGGACCCGATGCCGACGACGAGGAGCTTCACGCCCGCCGCGTTCAACGCTGGAAGCGCGTCGCGCTGCAATTGCATGACGCGCTCCCAGCAGAAGACTCAGCCGAAGTGGCGCAGGAATTCGACGACGACCTTCTGGTCGCTGTTCCACTGCTCCGTGAGCGCCACGGGCTGCTTGGTTGCGATGTTTTTGAGCTGTGCGCCCGCGAGGCGGTCGTAGGCCGTCGGCGCGAGCGCTGTCGCGGTTGCGATGAGCAACGCGAAGCGCCTCATTGCGTTGGCAGCTCGGCAATGCCGGCGGGCGCGTCCGGTGCTGTTGCGACGCGACGACAGAGAGCGGCAGACGCGGACAGCTCAGCCCCAGAGGTTCAACCAAATCGCTTGAACCGCATCATCGGCTGCCCTCGAAGGGTCAGCATGGACGAGATCGTGGCGCACGTTCGGACACTGCAGCTCGGCGATGCGCCGTCGAAGACCGCGGCAGCGGAGGCGCTGATCGACCTCTCGTTCGACGACGACAACCATGACCTGATCGCCGAGGCCGGCGGCATCGAAGCGCTCATCCACCTCCTGCGCGACGGGAGCGCCGAGGCCAAAACGATGGCCGCGCGGGCGCTGGGGAACCTCGCGTACTGCAACGACGCCAACCAGATCCTCATCGCCGAGGCCGGCGGCGTCCCGCCGCTCGTCCACCTCCTGCGCAACGGGAGCGCCGAGGCCAAGCTGCGGGCCGCACGGGCGCTGGGAAGCCTCGCGTTCAACGACGACAACATTGTCCTGATCGCCGAGGCCGGCGGCATCGCGCCGCTCGTCGAGCTCGTGCGCGACGGGAGCGCGGAGGCCAAAGAGAAGGCCGCGTGGGCGCTGTGCTGGCTCGCGGGCAACGACGACAACCTGGTCCTGATCGCCGAGGCCCGCGGCATCCCGCCGCTCGTCCACCTCCTGCGCGTCGGCAGCGCCAAGGTCAAGGTGATGGCCGCGAGCAACGCTGCGCACGCGCTGTGCTCGCTCGCGGGCAACGACGACAACCTGGTCCTGATCACCGAGGCCGGCGGCATCCCGCCGCTCGTCGACCTTCTTCGGAATCGGAGCGCGGGGGGCAACTTGAAAATGAACGCCGCGGCGGCGTTGGCTAGCCTCGCGCGCAACGACGCCAACAAGGCCCTGATCGCCGAGGCCGGCGCCGTCCCGCCGCTCGTCGACCTCCTGCGCGACGGTATCGCGGCGGACGCCAAATTGATGGCCGCGCGGGCGCTGCGCCAAATCACGCGCGACAACGATGCCAACGCGGTCGCGGTCTTGGCTTTCTTCGGTCTCGAGCCTCTCGTCCAGCTCGCGCGGCGCGGCCGCGTGACCGTCGCGATTGACGTCGACCGCTGGAACGACTCGGACTCGGACTCGGAGGGCGCGGCCCCGCTCGCCGCAGAGTACGATCGGACGATTGTCTACTCTGCCGGCCATCGCGCCAAGCGCAAGGCCGCGCTCGTCGTCGCCGCGCTGTTCAAGGACTGCGTCCCGGGCGAAGTCCCGGACGACATCAAGGCCGCCATTGGATCCTACCTTTAAGTGAAGCCTCGTTGACGGAAACGATGACCTGGAGCGAAAGCGCCCCGTCATCGGCCGAGACAGACGGCGCCACGAGACATCCCGTCTCGCACCACTCGAGCATCTACACCTCGTCAGATGCGCATCCTACAACTCAGCCTCATCATGCTGTCCGGCGTGTTTCGCTCGACGGCCGGCGCGCGCCCGACGGGCGCCGCGCAAGTGCGCTCCGCGAAGGCGAGCCCGCGGTCGTCGCTCCTGCAGATGACGGCGCGCGCGGCCCCCATGGCGCTCGCCGGCGCGTCCGTCGGCCTCGGCGCGCCGTCCATGGGCCGCGCCTGGGCGTCGCTGCGCAAGCCGCGCTGGGGCTTCCAGACCGCGCGCCACTCGACGGCCGTCGCCACCGAGCCCGCGAAGGCGTCCGCGCCGCCCGCGCACCCGGCCTTCAGCCTCGTGCGCTCCGAGACCATCGACGAGTACGGCGCCGTCTGCCACGTCTACGAGCACGTCGCGTCCAAGGCCCAGGTGCTCTCCGTCGTCGCGGACGACGACAACAAGGTCTTCGGCATCACGTTCCGCACTCCGCCGCGCGACTCGACGGGCCTGCCCCACATCCTCGAGCACAGTGTGCTCTGCGGGAGCAAGAACTACCCGACGAAGGAGCCCTTCGTCGAGCTGCTCAAGGGCTCGCTGCAGACGTTCCTCAACGCCTTCACGTACCCGGACCGGACGTGCTACCCCGTCGCGTCGCAGAACCTCGAGGACTTCCGGAACCTGGCGCGCGTCTACCTCGACGCCGTCTTCTACCCGCGCGCCGCCTCCGACGAGACCGTGCTCCAGCAGGAGGGCTGGCACTACGAGGTCGACGGCGACTCGAAGCTCACGTACTCGGGCGTCGTGTACAACGAAATGAAGGGCGTCTACTCGTCCCCGGACTCGCTCATGCAGCGCGCGGCGCAGCAGGCCCTCTTCCCGGACAACGCCTACGGCGTCGACAGCGGCGGCGACCCCAACGCCATCCCGGACCTCGACTTTGCCCAGTTCCAGGCGTTCCACGGCGAGTTCTACCATCCGACGAACTCGCGCATCTTCTTCTACGGCGACGACGACCCGCTGGAGCGCCTGGAGCTGCTCGACGAGTACCTCTCGGACTTTGTGGAGCGCAAGGGCGACACGGAGGTCGCCACCCAGAAGATCACGTTCGCCGAGCCAAAGAAGATCGTCGAGAAGTTCCCCGCGTCGCCCGGCGACGACGGCCCGGGCGGCGCGCACATGGTCTCCGTGAACTGGCTCCTGGCGTCGGAGCCCATGAGCCCCAAGGACGAGCTCGGGTTGGGCGTGCTGGACCACCTGTTGCTCGGCACGTCGACGTCGCGCCTCCGCAAGGCGCTGACGGACAGTGGCCTCGGCGAGTCGGTCATCGGCGGGGGCCTCTCCGACGAGCTCAAGCAGCCGACCTTCGCCGTGGGGTTGAAGGGCGTCGAGGCGGAGAACGTCGAGAAGGTCGAGGCGCTCGTCGTGGACACGCTCAAGGCCATCGAGGCCGAGGGCTTCGATCCCGCGGCTCTGGCGGCGTCGATGAACACGATCGAGTTCGGCACGGGGCAGGAAAAGGGTGATTCAACGTCGCTTCAACGCGAGTGTGCCGCGCGCGCGCGTTTCGGAAACAGCGCCCACGCTTCGAGAGCGCTCCGAGAGATGATCGCTCGTCCAGAAATCAGCCGAAACGAGCGGAAATCGGCCGAGATCGGAGCCTCCAAAGTTGGGAATTTCGCACCCTTTTCCTGCCCAGGTTCGGCATGCGCGAGTTCAACACGGGCTCCTTCCCCAAGGGGCTGAGCTTCATGCTCGGCATGATGCGCAACTGGATCTACGACCGCGACCCGGTGGAGGCGCTGCGCTTCGAGGCGCCCCTCGCGGAGCTCAAGAAGGAGCTGGCGGACGACGCGGACGCGTACTTTGCGGGTTTGATCTCGAAGCTGCTGACGTCGAACACGCACCGCGTCACGGTGGAGATGCGCCCCGACGAGACTCTGGAGGAGACGCAGAAGGCCGAGGAGGCCGGCCGCCTCGCCGCGATCCGCGACGACATGTCGCCCGAGGACTTGGCGGCCGTCGAGGCGACGGCCGCGGCGCTCAAGGAGAAGCAGATGTCGAGCGACGACCCGGAGGCCCTGGCGACGATCCCGACGCTGGGCAAGGCGGACCTGACGCGCGAGGTGCGCACGATCCCGCGCACGGAGGGCCTCGTCGACGGCGAGAAGGTCGTGCTTCTGGAGCGCGAGCTCGCGACGGCGGGTATCGTGTACACGGAGATGGCGCTGGACCTGCGGTCCGCGCTGGACGCCGACGATTTGCCCTACGTGCCCCTCTTCGCGCGCATGCTCCTGGAGACGGGCGTCGCGGGCAAGTACGACCCCGTGGGCCTCCAGCGCGCCATCGGGGCGAAGACGGGCGGCGTGTCGGCGTCGATCATGAACACGCTCAAGGTCAGCGCGGACGGCGCCATCGGCGACCCGGACGACCTCGTCTACCGTTTGGTGCTCCGCGGCAAGGCGACGCACGAGAACGCGGGCGAGCTCTACGAGCTCATGGGCGACGTGCTCCTGGGCGCGGATTTCGCGTCCGCCGAGAAGCGCGTCGTCGAGATGCTCAAGGAATCCAAGGCGCGCTACGAGTCGGCCTTCCGCACGTCGGGCCAGTCCTTCGCGTCCGCGCGCATCTCCGCGACGCTGTCCCTGCCCGCGCTCGTCTCCGAGCTCACGTCGGGCGTGAGCCACTACGAATCGGTGCTCGCGATGCTCGAGGAGGCCCAGAGCGACTTCCCGGCGCTCCTGGCGAAGCTCGAGGCCATCCGGTCCAAGGTGCTGGCCACGGCGCGCGACACGGCGGTGATCAACCTCACGGGCGACGCCAAGGCGCTCGCCGCGGCCAAGCCCGAGCTCGCGCCCCTGTGCGCGAAGCTCCCCGCGGCGGCCGACGCCGCGGCGAAGCCGGACTGGTCGTCCCTCGCGGCGAAAGCGCCGGCGCTCAACGAGGGCTTCGCCGTGCCGACGCAGGTCAACTACGTCGCCAAGGGCGGCCGCCTCTACGGCGTCGGCGAGAAGCCCGCGGGCTCCGACTCCGTCGTCCGCCGCTTCCTGAGCCTCGACTTCCTCTGGAACAAGGTCCGCGTCATCGGCGGCGCCTACGGCGGCTCCTGCGCCTTCAACCCCATCTCCGGCGCCTTCGTCTTCTCCTCCTACCGCGACCCGAACCTCAAGGCGACGCTCGACAACTACGACGCCGCGGCGGCCTGGATGGACGAGTTGGTCGTCGACGACGCGGAGCTCACCAAGGCCGTCGTCGCCGCCATCGGCGACTTGGACGGCCCCATGACGCCGGACACGCGCGGCTTCGTGAGCCTGAGGCACTACCTCGACGGCACGACGGACGAGCTCCGCCAGCAGTGGCGCGACGAGGTCCTCGCCGCGACGCCGGAGGACTTCAAGGCCTTCTCGACGCGCCTCAAGGCCATGATGGCCGACGCCAAGAGCTCCGTCTTCGCGTCCGCGGCCGCATTCGACGAGGCCAACGCCGAGCTCCCGGACGCGGACAAGCTCTCCGTGACGAACCTCCTCTAGGGAAACTCAAGCATACGATGTGTACACAGCGCCGAATCCGAAACATAATTGGCGCCTTATTCGACTCCGTCTACGCGGCGCGCGGAGATTAGGCGGTCGAGGCGAGGGGGAGGGGGGGCGCGTCGCCTACCTGGACCGGTTGCTCTGGTGGTTGTAGTCGCAGTTGGCCGTCGCGAAGCCGATGCGCCGGTGCTCGGCGTCGAAGAAGACGTCGTGGTCCTGCATGAAGTTGGCGCCGAGGACGGCGCCCGAGGCCTCCGTGAGGTAGACGCGGGGGACGTACTTGCCCGCGGCCTTCTCCATGTAGGCGTCGGCCTTCATGTCGACGCGGACGTCGCCCTCGAAGACGAAGGTGATCGTCGGGAGCTTGGCCGCCTGCGCGGCCGTGTAGGCGATCTTCGTGTTCGCGTACTTGGGCGAGCTGCCCATGACGTTGGACCAGGCGCGCTTGAACTGGTCCGCCGCGCGCCGCGGCAGGTACGTGTCCGTCGTGCCCGAGTCGACGATCGTCCCCTTGCCCGTCGCGTACGTCGACGCCGGCACGCCGATGGACTTGCCGTCGACCAATATGTCCAGCATCTTCACGGTGAACCAGCCCGAGTTCTTCGCCAGCGGCACGAAGTCCATGGGCTTGGCGTGGATGCGCTCGTCGACGCCGCCGAGCGCCATCGTGCCGCCGCCGTGCATGAAGCAGAGGCTGAACGAATTGTGGCCCAGCGCGTTCGCGGACCGCATCGTCGGCACGAGCGTCTGCGCGTGCATGGACATGCCCATGATGCCGTCGGCCTTCTGCGTCCGGAACAACCCCGTCTCGTAGGTCTGGCAGCCGAACACAAAGGGCGTCGCGATCCACGCGGACCCGTCGCGCGACGCCTTCTCCGTCAAGGACGTGCCGCCGACGTAGTAGGCGTCCTTCATCTGCACGGCCTTCCAGGAGCTGCCCTCCGTGTAGGACTGGCTCACCTGGCAGGTCTTGGTCACGCAGCGCGCCGCGGCGACGCAGTCGGAGCAGCCGAGGCGCCGGAGCGTCGACGACTTGTCGGGGTCGAAGTAGGGGTCCGTGTGCTTGCCGCAGCTCTTGCACCCGCTGCAGGGGAAGGCCGTGTGGTGGCTGCCCGTGTCGACGATGACGGACACGCGCTGGGGCGGCGTGCCCACGTAGACGTGCGCGTAGTGCGTGCCGATGCCCATGAAGAGCGGCGTGAGGCCCTGCTCCGCCTTCGTCGCGGCGCCGCCCGCGAGCCGCCGCCGCGCCGTCGCGTTCTTCCGGTGCAGCGCCGTGCGGTGCGCGAAGGCGGGCACCGGCGCGTCCAGGACCGCGCCGGAGAAGTCGAGCGCCTCCCCGTAGCGGCCGGGCAGCGTCCCCGGGGCCCAGTCCGACGCCGGGGACCCCAGCGAGTAGTTGGCGCCGTCGTCGAGCGGGAGCGCCGGCGACTCGCGGCGTTGGGAGCACGACAAGGCGGAGGCCGTCGCGGCGAGGAGGGCCAAGGCGGCGCAGCGCCCAATAGCCGAGCGCATCGTGGTCATGAGCGCGTCCACCTCCGCGAAGCCGCGAAGCGAGCCGGCTCGATGTTTTTCCACACGCCGGGCCGGGGGTGGGTAGGAATAGCCCTGGGAATAGCCTACTAGCCGGGCGCGCGGCTGCCAGCCGCTCGGGCCCTACGTTACCCCCGCCCCCCGCACAGCTCCACGAGGATGGCCGCCGCCTGGGCGTCCGACGCGCCGAAGTCGAGGTGGTTCCAGTCCGACGCGAGGTCCCAGATGGGCCGCGCGACGGCCGTCGTGTCCAGGAAGGGCACCGCGGCCGCCGCCGCGAGCGCCCGGAGCTCGTCGTTGTACGCGTCGATGAGGAACGGCGTGCGCCAGTCCGTCGGCGGGCACTGGAGCTGCTTGTAGCCCAGGGGGATGTGGTCGATGGACCGGAGCGCGACCGTCGCGCCGCCGTCCCGAAGCCGCGCGAGGTCCTCGACCACGGGCCGCAGCTCCGCCGCCCAGGCCTCGGCGCCCGTCGGCGCGCCGCCGGGCCAGCCCGCGGCCCACTGCCCCAGCGCGACGACGACGAACCCGCAGCTCGCCAGGTCGTGCTTGAAGTAGTCGCCCGGGAACTGCGCGTCGACGTGCTTGAAGTCCGTCGCGCGCTTCTCGAGGCGCAGCGTCCCGTCGCGGACGCGCGCGCGCCGCGCGAGGCGCTCCGCGGCCCAGACGAGCTTCCGCGCGTGCGAGGCGCCGACGAAGCAGACGCGGCTCAGGTTCCCGCCGCGGTCGAGGCCGCACGCGTCGGGCCAGCCCGCGACGTCCGGGTCCGGCCCCCCGCCGGGAAAGGCCCGGCGCGCGAACGTGCCGTTGTACCAGTCGCGGGACGTCTCCGCCGCGCAGCGCGGCGTGTGCACCGGCCGCGGCTTCGCGGAGCCGTCGTCCTTCCTCGGCGCGACGACGCAGTCCGGCCGCTGGAACCGCGTCGGCCGCGGCCCGCCGGCGAGCCAGAAGGCGCCGGCGGCCGTCGCGGGGAGCGCGGCGACGTAGGGCTCGTGGACGGCCGCCGGGACCGGCAGGCACCGCGCTTGGAAGTCCGCCGCGTCGCCGAGTTCCCAGCCGCAGCCGAAGTGGAGCACCTCCAGCGCGTAGTCGCCGGCGACGGGCGCGTCGACCGCGGCCTCGAAGACGCCGGGACCGACGCGCCGAAAGGGCGGCGCGAGGAGCGCGGGGCCGGACCAGCGCGCGAAGAGCCGCGCGCCGTCGCACGCCTCGACGCGGACGACGGCGCGCGCCGCGTCGTGGGCGACGCGCGTCACCCCCCGCCCGTCCCGCAGCCGGAGCTCCGCGAGCCGCCGGCGCGGTGTAAGGTCGTCGCAGGGCCAGTGGAGCAGGCCCGACGCGAGCGCGTCGCCGCGCGGCGCGTCGTCCGGCGCTCTTCGGGCCCCCGCGCGCGTGACCACGTTGCCGTCGACGACGTCGGGCGCGGCGCAGGCCCAGGACGCGTTGGAGCCATAGAAGGTCGCCGCGCCCTTGTGGTTCAACAGCCAGCCCTGCTCCGGGGCCGCCGCCGCGCGGTTCGCCGCGACGTCGCGCGCGAGGAACTTGCCCGTGCGCAGGGGCCCCGCGGGCCCCGGCAGCGCCACGGGGAAGTTGCGCTTCGGGTTGTCGAGCACCTCGAGGAAGCCGCAGGCCCAGCACAGCGCCCGCGGCCGGCCCGGCGCGTCGCGGAGCACGTGCGCGACCGGCGCGGCCGCGCAGCCCCGGTCGACCGCGTCGCTCGCGGGGCTGCGCCGCATGGCCTTGAGCACGGCGCCGCCGGCGGGCGCCTGGTCCAAACCCTCGGCCGCGAGCCACGCGCCGACGGCCCGCTCGTAGGCGAAGGAGCAGGAGCCGCCGCCGCCGCACGCGGGCTTCGTGCAGTTGAAGCCGAGGGGCCGCGGCCCGTCGTCGCCGGCCATGGCCCGGAGAAACAGGAGCTGGAGGGCCGCCTGGTCGTAGGCGTGGCAGTTGCGCGGCCGCAGGTCGCCGCAGGCGCCGAGCCACGCGTCCGCGAAGCCCGGCGCCGCGCCGCCGCCGCGGACGAAGAGCGCGCCCGCGTGGAGGTGCCGGAGCGCCGCGACGGCGAAGGCGCGGTCCGCCGGCACGCCGTCGAGCCAGGCCTCCAGCGGGAAGGCGGCGAAGAGGGGATTGACCCAGACGTCGTGGTCCAGCAGCGCGAACCACGCCGCGCGCGGGAACTCCGCCGCCGCCGCGCGGAGCATGAGGGGCTTCGCGAACTCCCAGCGCGCGAGGCCGCGGCGCCGCAGCTCCGGACCGAAGCGATCGACGCAGTAGAAGGCGAACCCGTAGCCGTGGGCCCGCGCGTAGAGCCGCTTGCTGAGCGCGAGGTCCACGGACGCGTCGTTCGCGCCGCGGCGCGCGCCCGGCAGCGCCGCGCGGTCCGTGAAGCCCGTGACGACGACGATGGACTCGGGCGTCGGTTTTTGTGGTGCCAGCGACGCGAGCACGGGCTGGCATCGGACGCGCGCGTGCGATGCGTTCGTGGCCTCGCGGACGAGCGCTCCGCGCCGCTGCTCCGTGATGCTCGCGTCGCGCAGCAGCGGCGACGTCGCCTCGTCGCGCGGCGACGCCGCGCATGCGTACGCGAGCAGCAGCGCGATGCGCTGCATCACGGCGACGAGCGTCTCACATCGTCGAGGCTGCCCCTCGAGCAGTTGAATGTTCACTGAAACCGAGGCCAACTTAGGCCTCCGCCTGAGCCTACCCCGGCGGGGTCTTCGGGTGCGCACCCCCTTCAATAACTAGTCCAACTTACCTACCCCGGCGGGATCTTCGGGTGCGCACCCCCTTCAATAACTAGTCCAACTTATCCATCTTCGCCTGGAGCCGGTCGTAGAGCGGGGCGAGGAACGCCTTGCAGTTGATCCAGTTCATCATCGCCGTGCTCGACCAGCCGCCCAGGTGGGCGAAGTTGATCGTGCGCACGCGGCAGTGGCCGCCGTCGACGTCGTCCGCGGCGACCGCGAACGTGTTGAGCGCGCGGACCTTGCCCTCGGGCGGGGGCACGCCGAGATCGTTGAACTCGGAACCGCCGGGGCGCGAGCGGTGGAGGACCGACTTCGAGACGAAGAGCCGCTCGGCGGGGTCCATGGCGTTGAGCACGACGAACTCGCGCGGCAGGAACGGCGGCGGCAGCGGCGCCTTGGCCTCGGCGACCTCGAGCCGCGCGTCCGCGTTCCCCCAGCCCGCGGAGAAGTCCTCGAGGTACTCGCCGAATTCCTTGGGGTCTGACATGGGGTTGATGACGAAGAAGCCCTCCGGCGACGTGAGGAGGCGGATCGTCGCGTCCGCGGTCGCGTTCTTTATAACGCCGGTCCCGCGCGTGACGAGCACGCCCGAGCGCGCGAAGGCGCCGGCGTCGATGCGCCGCGACTCGACGGTCACGCGAGCCGACGGCGAGGAGACGCGATGCCAGCCGTCCGAAGCCCAGAGGGCGCGCGCCTCGGCGAACATGACGGCGGCCATGTCGAACGCGCTCGTGGCGTCGTCGATCCAGACCTCGCCGTCGACGTACAGCTGCCCGACCACGTCCGCGCCGCCGCCGCTGCCGCCCCAGCCGAGCGGCGCGAGCAGGAAGCCCACGAGCGGCACGAGCGCGAGCGCGCAGCACGCGAGCGCGCGTCCCATCGATCGGGGCAGCCTCGCTTCAACGTTCACTTCAAGGAACGAGTGTGCACGAGTGAGTAACGAAAGAAAGCAAGGCGGGGCTCAGCTCCGCGTCGGGAGGCGCGAGGCCCGCGGGATGACGATGGCGCCCGGCGACACCGGCGACGGCGGCTCGGGCCGCTGGAGCTCGCGGCTCCCGCGGCTCCCGCGGCGCCGCGCGTCGAAGCTCCGCCGCTTCGGCGGCCCGCCCGGCGCCGGTGCGCCGACGAGGCGGCTCGCGCGCTGCTGGCGCCGGGCCGCGCGCTCGCTCCGGTCCGGCGACGCGTGGCGCGCGGCGGAGCGCTCGGAGTCGCGGCTGTCGAGCGACGAGAACGAGCCGCGGGATCCGCGCGACGCGCGGCGCCCGCGGCGCTGGAGCGCGTCGCTCAGGAGCATGTCCGGGCCCGAGTCGAGGTACGGGGCGGGGTCCGTCGACGACCGGAGCCGCCCGTCGAGGGGGTCGCCCGCGTCGCTGCCCGCGCTCAGGCCGCTCGACGACGTCGTCGTCGGCCGCCGGTCGAGGCTCGTGCGCCGCTCGTCGGCGACCTTCCGCGCGAGCGTGTCGAGCACGGGCATGGGCTCGGACTTGAGCACCTCCGACGCCCAGCGCTTCATCTGGCCGATGCCCACGGTCCGCTCGTCGACGAGGCGGTCGCTGCTCGACCGGCGGACGCGCGCGGGCCGCCCCGCCTCGCTCTTGAGGAGCTGCTCCGTCTTGGCCAGGCTCATGAGGCTCTCCATGGTGCCCTGGAGCGAGCTCCGCCGCTCGAGCATGACCTCGGCCTGCTGGAAGACCTTGGCCTCCTCCTCGACCTGGCGGTACGCGGGCAGCGGGCTCGTCCCCGCGCCGGGGCTCGCGTCCCCCTCGAGGTCCCGGGCGACCTCGTCGGCGGCGTCCTGGAGCATGCGCGACGACCGCCGGATCGTCGTCTTGCTGAAGACGGCCTTGGCCTTGACGGGCGGCGCGATGTTCCCCCGCGTGCCCTCCTTCAGCTCGGGCTCGACCTCGATCTTGAGCTTCTCCAGGCCCTCGGCGAAGTCCTGGAGCCGCGCGCCGGACGCGCGCCGCATGCGCAGGTTCTCGACCTTCTCCTGCTTGAAGAAGTCCTCGAGCTGGTCCAGGGTCTGCTCGAACTCCTCGACCTCCGACTTCTCCGGCGGCTTGTAGGTGCCCATGCCCGCGTACTCCCCGAAGGACCCCCGCCGCTTCGGCCGCTTCGGCCCCTCGACGCGGTCCGGCATGGCGGGCGCCCCCCGCCCCCGGCACGTCGGGGTGACGCCAATCACCGCCCGCTCCCGGCTGGCTTCTCGGCCGGGCTCTCGCATATATGCGGTATCTTTACGAAACCACAATCGGTGCTGCGGTCGATGTTTCACGGTAACAAGTTCGTGTGACGATGGGCTAGCTCATTGATGGTGCCCTTCGCTTGATCGCTCCGCAGGCCGCGCTCGAGGTCCGCCGCGTCGTCGCGCTCGTAGGGCAGCACCGCGGCCGACGGCGGCCATGCGCTGGGTCCTCGAGGACGGCTCGTCGCGCGAGGGCCCCTGGGAGGAGCCCCTCGACGCGAAGCGGCCGGCGAACGCGACGTCGGCGCTCTGCCCGGCGTCGAAGCTCGTCTGGGCCGTGCCGACGCAGGAGGGCTTCGCGCTGCAGCTCAACTCGCTCGTGTCCGTGCTCGCGCTCGCGTACCACCTCAAGCGCGTCGCCGTGCTCATGCCGCTCCTCGCGACGGGCCCGCACTACCGCGCGGCCGTCGCGACGCGGCGCATGGCGCCGACGTATCGCATGAGCGCCTTCGTCGACCTGGAGAAGAGCCTCCGCGGCGACGCGTTCCGGGGCGTGCGCTACGTCCACTTCGACGACGTCGCGGCGGACGTGCCCGCGGAGGCGAAGTGCGTGTCCTGCGCGGGCGCGCCGCCGCGGCACGTGCGCTGCGCGCGGGGCTGGGACTTCGGCTGGTGCGACCGGCGCCGGGTCGCGCGGACGCGCAGGGCCAAGTGCGCGGTCCAGTTCGGCGGCGGCCGCTGGGCGCGCGAGTGCGGCTTCTGCGTCTTCTCCGCGGGCTTCACGCCGGGCGTCCAGCGCGCAGAGCCCGCGTGGAAGCGGCTCCGGAGCCGCCTCGTCTTCGCGGAGCGCTTCGAGGCGGGCGCGGCCGCGTGCGCGCGCGCGGTCCTCGGCGGCGCGCGCGGCGGCGCGGCCGTCGACTACGTCGCGTTCCACATGCGCCGCGGCGACAAGAGCCACACGCTCGACAGGCACGGCCTCACCGTCGCCGCCGTCCTCGACAAGGTCGCGGCCATCGCGCGCGGGCGCCGGGTCATCGTCGCGACGGACGACCGGTCGAACGGCACGGTCGCGGCGATCCGCGCGCGCGGCTTCGGCGTCGTCGACGGCGCGACGCTCCGGACGCACGCGCCGGCCGCCGACGACCCGCTCGGCGCCTACCTCGTGGACCTCCTCCTCTGCGTGGGCGCGACGACGTTCGTGGGCACGGCGACGCGCGACAACAAGTCGAAGCAGTTCGAGCTCATCAAGGCGCTGCGCATCGGGCGGGGCTTCGACGTGAAGCGGGACCACCTCCTGCAGAACCTGCCGCCGGCGTAAAAAAGTTGTCGAGGTTCCACCTTGAACTGTACTTGCATGCCAAATATTAATCGCTGCCCCGACCGATGGGGAGCGCGCAAAACAGCTCTACGCCGGCGACCGAGACGGTTCGGGAGCTCTCGAGCGATGTCTGGGAGACGCACGTGGATCCGGCGACGGGGGACCGCTACTTTTTGAAGCCGAGCACGGGCGAGTCGCGCTGGCCGTCGCAGATGGACGACGCGGCGATCATCGCGTCGTCCGGCGCCAAGAGTGTCGCCCTGGCGCCGCAGTCCCCGGCGAAGGAGAAGGCGGCCATCGCGCGGCTGCCGGCGAGCGACGTCGACGGGCTGCAGGCGGCGCTCCGCGCCGAGGGCGTCTGCGTCGTCAAAAACGCCTTCGGCGCCGACGAGATGCGGCGCTTCGCCGACGCCTACGCCGCGCTGCTCGAGGACTGCAAGCGGCGCCTGCCGGACATGACGTGGGAGAAGCGGCGCCACAGCTACCTCGGCCCGTCGGCCCTCTTCGACAAGGAGCTCTACGAGGGCGTCGAGTGGGGCTCGCTCGACGGGAAGGACCAGGTCGTGTGGATGGGCCCCGGCCGCTTCGACTTTGGGCTGGGCATGGACGTGGGTGTGTTCGCGTCCGACGCCTTCCAGCGGCCGCCGGGCGTGCGCGAGCTCCTGGACCGCGAGCTCCGCGAGGACTACCACGCCTACACCGGCGGGCTGCCCTGCGAGTCGGGCGCGAAGCCGCCGGGCCGCTGGCACCGCGACGTCAACAGCCTCTTCGACGACCAGGCCCTGGACGTGAAGCTGCCGCCCTGGTACTTCACCATGCTGGCGCGGCCGCGGCGTCGCTCTCGCGTTTTCGTCACGCGCCGCCGCGCCGCCCGACACCGCGCCGCCGCAGGTGCCGCTCTGCCCGATCCGCGACGACAACGGCCCGACGCAGTTCTGGCTCGGCTCGCACCGGCGGCAGCTCGACGCGCTCCCCGACGACGCGGCCCCGGACGTCGCGGCCGTCGAGGCCGACGTCGGCGACGCGGTCCTCTTCGACGGCAAGGTCCTCCACCGCGGCGGCGCGAAGCGCACGGACGAGGCGCGCCACGTCCTCTACGTCGTCTTCAGGAAGTGCTGGTACACGGACGAGGCCTACCCCGTCGACGCGACGCGCGTCGGCTGCCCGGACGACGGGGCGAAACGCCCCCGCCGGCGCGCGATGCCCGCGGTCCTCGCCGCCGCCGCCGCGCTCGCGCTCGCGCTCGCGTTCGCGGGGCGGCGCGCGGCGAAGTAACGGTCGATTCGCGGAGGACCGACGCGGCCCCGTTTCGCGGTCGCTTCGAGCGTCGACGGTTTTTAGTCGCGCCTTAGACGAGGAAGCCGAGCGTGTCGCCGTTGTTCTTGGCCTTCTTGACGAGCAGGCCCTTGGTCTTGGTCGAGGCGCCGACGAAGATGCAAAACTCGTTGATAGCTTGCGAGTGTAGCGAGATGCCCTTGCCCCGGATCTGGTCGAGGCCCTTGTCGCCGAGGAGGATCTTCCCCGCGTAGACCGCGGGCGAGAAGATGCCGAACTTGGCCATCGAGCCCATGCGCACGGTCAACTCCGAGCCGCCGCGCGGCCTCCGCAGCGGCTGCGCCGGGAGCGCGGCGCGGCGAGGAGAGGTAAACGAGGACGCAACGCCGAGGCAGAGGAGCGCGAGCGTGCGGAGGGAGAACATGGGTGCGAGGGCCGCGCGGCGCGGTGGAGGTGGCGGTGGCGGTAGGGGCGGCGCGGCGGCGGTGGCGGCGGCGCGGCGCGGTGGAGGTCGGCGGCGGCGGTGGCGGCGTAGGTGGCACAAACTTGAGGGGGCCGAGTCGCGCGATCGAAGCCTCAGCCCCCAAAAAAGGGCCAAAACCAGCGTCTTCAGTCGGGCATGCCATCCCAGAACCAGCTCCGTCGGGGCAATCTCGCCGTTCACAGCTCCACGGAGGACTGCGCCTCGGCCCGACGACGTAGCTCGACGCATCGTGCCAATCCCCAGCCCTGGCGGACGGCGCCCGGCTGCCGATTTTGGCCAAAATTGAGGCTTGCCACAGACGACGAGTATGGCGACCCCGGCATCGGAGGTCTTCGTGCAGAACGACAAGGGCACGGAGTACGTCGGCAGCGTGACGTGCTCGTCCATGAGCTTGCCGCCGAAGATCGTCTTCGACGAGTACTCGCGCGACCCCGAGGTGCTCGCGGCGAGCCGCTGGAAGGAGCGGCTCGAGTGGGGCGGCCGGTCCGTCGCGCTCGCGCCCTGCGAGGGCAAGGTGCCCGGCTTCCAGGCCTTCCTCGCGGGGCGGAAGAAGGCGGCCATCGCGACGTGCTGCGACGCGTCCGGCGAGCCCTACGCGGTGCTCGCGCTGCTGCCCGCGCCGCCGTCGGGCTTCGCCGGCGGAGGCCTGCCCGCGGCGTGCTTCGGGTCGCCCGACGGCGGCCGCAAGCGCGCGCGGCCCGAGGAGGACGGCGGCGACGCGGAAGCGCAGGTCCACAAGAAGCTCCGCGTCGACCTCTTCCTCGGCGGCGATCGCCGCGCGGCGCTCGTCGCGGGCCTCCCGCGGTGGACCGGCGACGCGTCGAAGCGCGCGCACGAGGACGCCATGGTCTTCCTCGACGAGCGGGGCGGCAGCGTCTACTTCCAGGACGCGCGGCGCAAGTACAAGTTCTTCTGCGGCGCGGAGGGCCTCGCGCTGCTCGCGGGGCTCCTCGAGCGGACGCGCGTCGTCATGGCGAAGAACGAGGAGCTCCTGGCCCTCATGGACCCGCGGGAGTCGAAGCAGCTGTTGGAAGAAGGCAAGAAGATCTACGGCGAGAAGCCGAGCCTGCGCAAGTTCGACAAGAAGAAGGGCGACGGCCTCAACGTGACGTGGAGCGACGCCGAGTACGCGCACGTGGGCTTGCAGACGCAGTACCTGAAGCTCAAGTCCTTCCAGCGCTTCACGGAGACCTACAACCTCGTGGCGCGGGCCGCGGGCCGCGACGCGACGGCGCGCGACGTCTTCCTGAAGACGCCGGAGCTGCGCGTCGCGTCGCTCGGCGGCGGTCCGGCGTTCGAGGTCGACGCGCTCCGCGAGTACGTGCTCGCGCACGCGGAGGCCGCGCCGGACTTCCGCCTGTACTCCATCGACCTGCAGCCGGGCTGGAAGCCCTACGCGGAGGCGCTCGGCTGCGCCTTCGCGGCGCCGTTCGACGTCTTGGAGGCGTCGCCCGACGACCTCGTCGCGGCCGCGGGCGGCAAGCCCGTGGACGTGCTCCTCGTGTCCTACCTGCTCATCTACTGCACGTCGGACCGCACGGCCGACTTCTTCCACAACCTCCTCGCGCGCAAGCTCGCGAAGGTGCTGTTGATTTCGGAGCGGACGCACGACCAGGACATCGTCAAGCTCCTCGAGGCGCGCGGGCTCGCGGTCATCCCCCTCATGCCCCAGCGCAACGGCAACGACCAGCGCCAGCTCCTCGTCCTCCTCGCCGAGCACCGGCGGCCCCTCAAGGGCGAGGCCGACGCCTACCCGGACCCCGTCTTCCCGAACGTGCCCTTCGCCCGCGGCACCTAACTCGACCGTTCTCGTGTGTAGCGTGTTCTCAACGCCGAGTTCAGCCAACAAAAATCCCCGAACGCGCATACGTCATCGAGGGTCCTAGTTTGCCGAGCGGGTCGGCCGGGGTGAGGCGCGCGCGCCGCGCGGCGGCCGCTCACTTGCAGCAGCCGCTCTTGCCGCCGGAGCCGCCGGATTTGAGCTTCTGGCCCCCGGCCTGCTTGCCGCCCTCCGTCGGGATCCTCGCCGTGACCTCGCGCGCGATCGTCGTGAACGTCTCGGCGACGTTGACGTCGTTCTTCGCGGAGGTCTCGAGGAAGCGAACATTGTACTCCTCGGCGAGCCGTCGGCCCTCGTCCGCGGACACCTGCCGCGCGGACTCGTAGTCGCACTTGTTCGCCACGAGGATGCGATTCACCTGCGGGGGGGCGCGCGTCGCGGGGCCGGGCCGGCGTCGCGGCGTGGGGCGCCGCGCGTCCGCGCCTGGGCGTCGGCGTGGTCCGCGATCTGCGCCATCCAGGAGCGCACGGAGTTGAAGGTGCCCCGGTCCGTGATGTCGTAGACGAGCACGATGCCCTGCGCGCCGCGGAAGTAGGACCGCGTGATCGTCCGGAACTGCTCCTGGCCCGCGGTGTCCCAGATCTGGAGCTTGACGCGCTTCCCGTCGAGGTCCACGGTCTTGATCTTAAAGTCGATGCCGATGGTCGTGATGAACGTCGACGAGAACGTGTCGTTCGCGTAGCGCAGCAGCAGCGACGTCTTTCCCACGGCGGAGTCGCCGATCATCAGCAGCTTGATCTGGAGGTCGTAGGGGCGCGACGACCTAGGACGGGCGCTCCGCGCGCGCGCGGGCCGGGTCGAAAAAAGGAGGGGGCTCGCGGAAAGCCCCGGGACGCCGGAGGCGCGCGACGTCATCCCGCACGCCGCCGCTCCGTCACGGGGGGAGGGACGGTCGGCGCTCCGCGGGTCGAGGGAGGCGCGCAGCGAGGACCGGCGCGACGACGGACGGACTAGAGGACCGGGCGCCGACGACGGGCACGCGCGACGGGCGCCGAGGCGACAGGATTATTTCCTGCGTCGTGGAGAGCGCAGGGCTGCCTCGCGATGCACTTTCGAAATGGTGCAAGAAGCAGCAAATCAAATCACCGGGCAGCCGCCCCACTTTTTGATTCTCGGGGCATGCCCAACCAAGTCCGCAATCATGTCGAGCGCGTTCAATCCCTTTTCGTGGTCGCAGCGCGTCTCCCGCGTCTCCGCGTGCAGTCCAAAACCTGGCAGTCCAAAACCTGGCAGTCCAAAACCTGGCAGTCCAAACACACCGCGCCGCGCAGGTCCCGCAAGCTCGCATGCCTCGCCTTCGTGTCGCTCGCCACGACCATCTTCATGGCGGGCTCCGCGGGCGCCACGACCTGGACGAGCTACTTGTGGAGTAGGAAGGACGAGGACATCACGGTGGAGGTCTCGCTCTGGCACACGTCGTCGACGACGGTGCACACGGGCGACGACGACAACGAGTCGGACTTCGTCATGGTCCGCAACGCGATCGACGACGACTTCGTGAACCTCAAGGCCATCAAGGCCAACCGCGGCACGACGCTCGCGGCCATGATCATCGGCTTCTTCCCCACGGTGTTGTACGCATACGAAGCGGTCACAAACCGGCGCCTCGTCAAGTGCGAGGCCGCGTCGGGCGCCGCGTGGCTCCTCGCGGGGCTCATCGCCTTCGCGGGGAGCGGGTACTGGGAGGCCCGGGCCAAGAACAACCCCTTCATGAAGGAGAACGACGACTACGACGAGGAGATCCCCTGCCACTTCGGCTGCGACCTCGAGTTCATCGCCGCGGCCATGTCCATCGCCGTCGGCGGGTTGATGCTCGCGTACACGCGCGTCGCCGTGGAGAAGAACTACGCCAAGCCCCCGACGACCGACGCGCCGCCCAAGGAGGGCCTCGCCGGGGACACCGCGGTCTAAATTTGATGGAAGTGCACCTTGAAGATCAAACGATCCGAAACGGCTATCGACGAATGTTCACGCATAGGTGACGCCGGACGCTCTGGGCTCCAGAGGAGCTCCGCCGGTTTCTTTCGTCGGCGCGCGCCGACCCCGCGGGTCGCCATGGCCCTGGCGATGATCGGGGGCCTGCGGAGCGCCATCGGGTCGAAGATGGCCCAGCTCAAGGCCGCCGCCGGCGACGCCCAGCGGCGCGACGACGGCTACGTGAGCTTCGGCGACCTCGAGCTCGGGGAGCGCATCGGCGTCGGGGCCTTCGCGTCGGTCTACGCGGCGACGTCCCTGAGCACGCGGCGCAAGTACGCCGTCAAGGTCGTCGCGCTCCGCGGCGGCGGGCGCAACGCGGCCAAGGACGCGGCGCTGCTCCGCGCCGAGGGCCGCATGCTCCGGACGCTGCACCACCCGAGCGTCATCTCCTGCTACGACGTCGTCGACGACCCGGGCGAGCGGTCGTCCATCGTCCTCGAGCTCTGCGAGGGCGGCGAGCTCCTGGAGCGCATCGTCGAGTCCGCGAACCACCACTTCTCCGAGGCCGGCGCGCGCCAGGCCGCGCGGACGCTCCTCAGCGCCGTCGCCCACATCCACGACCACGCCATCTGCCACTGCGACCTCAAGCCCGAGAACCTGCTCCTCAAGTCGAAGAGCACGGACTACGACTGCAAGGTCGCGGATTTCGGGCTCGCCAAGGTCCTCAAGGGCCCGAACGCGCTGGGCCTCGCGTCCATCCAGGGCACGGACGAGTACATGGCGCCCGAGGTCTTGGCCCTCGAGCGCACCAAGGGCGCGCCGCGCTACGGCCTCAAGGCCGACGCCTGGGCCTGCGGCGCGATCGTCCACGCGCTCCTCTTCGGCTACCTGCCCTGGCCCACGAGCGACCGCAAAACCATGGTCGACGCCATCCTCGCGCCCGAGGCCCTCGAGTTCTCCAGCGACGAGCGCACCAAGGTCTCCGCCGAGGCCCTCCACCTCGTCGCGGGCCTCCTCGACCGCGACCCGACGCGGCGCCTCGGCGCGCGGGACGCGCTCGCGACGGCGTGGTTCGACCTCGACGCCGCGCCGCTCAAGGCGCGGCGCCTCGTCGGGTCGACGAACAACCTGCGCGAGGCCCTGGACATTCGCAAGTGGCGCACGCTCGGGGGCCTGCTGCCGCGCGCCGAGTCGCTCGACGAGATCACCTTCGAGGTCGAGGCCGCGTCGTCGCGCGGCTCCGAGGACGTGGGCCCGGCGGCGCGGTCGCCGCCGAAGACGGCCCTCGTCGGCCGCTCCGAGCTCCAGTCCTTCCGCGACTCGCGCCGCGCGTCGGACGCGGCCGCGGCGGCCGCCGCGCGGCGGCCGTCGTTCCGCGGCGAGGTCAGCCTCCGCCAGCAGGTCCTCGGCGCCGCGGCGCGCGCGTCGTCGCGGCCCCTCGACGCCGCGTCGTCGACGTCGTCGACGAACTCCGCGCGGCGCAAGGTGTCGTTCCGCGACGACGCGCGGCGACCGTCGCGCGGCGACGACGGCGCGGCCGCGCCCGCGGCCGGCGCCGGCGGCGACCCCGCGGCCGGCGGCGACCTCGCGGCCCGCGACTCCTGGGAGCGCGAGGACGACGACGCCGCCGCGCGCGCCGCGGCGCCCGCGCCGCGGCCCCGGCCCGGGCGGCGGCAGCGCGCGACCGTCATCGTGCCCTGGCTCGGCCACCTCCAGACCGGCGGGCCCGCCCCGAAGCTCCACCTCGACATGTCCGGCATCAAGCCGTCGCCGCCGTCGAGCCCCGCGGACCGGCCGCCGCCGGACCACCGCCGGCTCTGGCGCAAGGGCGGCGGCGGCTCCACGCCGCCGGGCAGCCCCAACGACGCGCCGCCGCCGGACCACGCCAAGAAGCACCTCTCGAGCCCCGACTCCGTCACGGAGAGCGACGCGGGCAGCGAACCCCGGAGCGCGTAACGTTACTTTTCGAGTGGGGCGGCTGGGGAGGGGGGGATAGTTCGTGGGAACTTTAGTCTGTGGGAACTTTAGATTGAAGTTTAAAGTCGCCAAGGCCAAGTACGACTCGCCCGCGAGCAAGCGCAGCATCCCGGGCTCGGGCGACGACGCGGCGTAAAGACTTAGGCTATGCTCGCGCGTCGAGGCCCGCGAGCAACTCTATGGCTCCCTCGTGGCCCTTGGCAGCGGCGCGCTCGAACCAGTATCTGGCTTTGCCGAGGTCGACTTCCGTGCCTTCTCCGTCCCTGTAACACATGCCAAGGTTGAGCTCTCCCATGGTATAGCCTTGATCAGCCGCGAGCGCGTAGTACCGGAACGCTTCTTCGAATTTCTTCGCAGAATAAAGTAAAATCCCTACCTTGTTTTGTCCGAACGCGTCGCCCCGATCTGCGGCCGTGCGAAACAGCTGCATCGCCTTCTTCTTATCCAGCTTGACGCCACTTCCATTCTCGTGAAAAAAACCAAGTCGTACCATAGCGTCCACGTCCCCGAGCTCCACGGCGCGCTTCCAAATTTTTGCGGCTTTCTTGTCGGATTTCACGAGGCCCAATCCACCGAAATGGTACGCACTTCCCAAAGCCGTAATCGCTTCCGGCACCTCGTTCTCCACATGGCGGCGAAGAAGCGCGAGTTCTTCCGCGGGATCATTTGGGCACGGTAGACGACAGAGGGGACACGCGTCGAAGCCGATCTTGTCCTGGCACGATCGGCAGACCCTCCTGCAGCAGCAGGTGCGAAACACGAGCGGAGTATTCACGTCCCACTCCTCGAGGCAGATCGGGCACCGCGACCCAAACCGCGCCGACGCCGGCTCGGGCTCCGGGTTCGCCTCGCGCCGCGAGCGGGCCGCCTCGTGTTCCGCCGCGATGCGCGCGCGGACCTCGTCGGCGTGCGACCGCGGCGCGGGGCCGTAGAACACGTCCCGCGGCGGCGACGGTGGGGGCGTCGGCGCCTCGGCCCGCGCCGCCTCCGCGGCCTGGATCTTCTTGCAGACCTTCCGATGGCCCCGGTCGCGCCAGTCGATGCGTTGGCAGTCCGTCGAACAGTAGGCCGTCGTGCCGCAACCTTTACAGGGCCGGGCATCCTTCTTCCCGCAAATCGTGCATATGTTGAGCGCCAGCTTCGTACGGGTTTTTCGCGCCTCGTACTCTCGCTTCTTCTTGATCAATTCCGGGTCCATGGCCTCTGACGCGCGTCCTCTCGCTCCTCAGGCGCAAAGGCAAAATCGCTCAAAATCTTACCCAGGCCTAAGCCCACCCCTACTTGAGTAGAGCATCGCGTTCATGTCGATCTCCGTGCCCTCGGCGGCGGCATCGTCGTCCTTGCGCCAGGCGGGCTTGGCGTTGAGGAATGCGAGGCACCAGACCGCGAAGGTCGGCGCGGAGCGGAACGCGGCGACGACGACGCCAAGGCCAAGCACGACTCGCCCGCGCAACTTAGACGGCGCCGCGTGCCTCTGCTATGTTGTCCCTCACCGCGCCCGGCCACGCGCGTGGACCCTTAAGCCGCGCTAGTCCTCGATCTCGACGAGCGACGACCCCAGGTCCGCGAGCTTGGCGCGCGCGTCGTCGTAGCCCTTGCCCGCGGCGTTCGCGAGGAGGCGCTTCGCCTCGCGCGTGTCCTGCGGGACGCCGCCGGCGCCGTCGAGGTGGAGGTCCGCGAGGTGGTACTCGGCCTCGGCGTAGCCGCGGCCCGCGGCGTCGCGGACGAGCGCGACGGCCTCGGGCGTCGGGCCGTCGCTCGCGATGGACAGCGACAGGAAGAGCACGGTCTCGGCGTTGCACTTCGTGCGGACGTCGTGGTCCTGGGCCGCGGCGCGGCGCCAGAAGGCCAGGGCCTTGGCCTTGTTCTGCCTGACGCCGTCGCCGTCGTCGTAGGCGTACGCGAGCGAGAAGCACGCGTCCGCGTCGCCGAGCTCCGCGGCGCGCTTGTAGAGCTTCGCGGCCTTCTTGAGGTTGACGGCGATCTCCCAGTTGCCGGCCTGGTACGCCCGGGCGAGGTGGCGGATGGCGACGGCGTCCTCGCGCTCGACGTTCCGCCGGACCATCGCGAGCTCCTCGGCCATCGTCGTCGGCTGCGCCGCGAGGCAGAGCGGGCACTTGGCCGTGCGCGACACCAATTCGTCGTGGCAGGCCATGCAGATCGTGCGGGAGCAGCACGGCCGGTAGCCGTCGTTCTCGTTCACGTCCCACGCCTTGAGGCACACGGGGCACGCGCCGGCGCGCTCGTAGGACACGGCCGCGGGCTCGGGCGCGGCGGCCGCCGCCGGCGCCTCGGCCGCGCGCGCGCGCGCGGCCCGGAGCCGCTCGCGCTCCGCGACCGCGCGACCGCGACCCGTCGTCTCGCCGCCGGGCGGCGCGGCGGCGAGCGGTTCGGCGAGCGGCGCCGCGTCGTCGGCGTCGTCGTCGGAGGGGACGCTCGCCGTCGGGCGCGGGTCGACGACGCCCGGGGGACGCTCGGCGACGAACCGGGGCGCGGGCGCCGCGCCGTCGTCCCCGAGGCGGCGGCGGCGGCGGTCCGCGAGCGAGGGGCCCTCGGCCGCCGGCGCGCGGGCGCTCGGGGCGAAGTAGGCCGAGAAGGCCGACGTCGCCGCGGCGCCGAGCGCGGGGGGCGCGTCGACCGCGGGGGGCGCGTCGACCGCGGGGGGCGCGTCGACCGCGTCCTCGACGGCGACGGCGGCCTCGGGGTCCGCGGCCGGCGGGTCGGCCGTCTCGGCGATCGCGGCGGCGGCCTTGTTGCCGCGGACGAAAAACACTTCGCCCGTTTCCAGGTCTTCTTCGTAGTAGCCGTCCTCAGCGGGAGGCGGGGTCGACGGAGTCGGCGGTGTTGGCGGAGCTGGAGGAGGTGGCGGCGGAGGCGGCGGTGGTGGTGGTGGCTCTGTCATGGTCGTGGGTTTGTGACTCTGTACGACGCGTGTGTCGATGGACCAGGTGTGTCGGAAATCGCCGCGGCGCCGGTCTCGATGGCCTCCCTTTAGAGGCTTTGGTCGAAATCGGCGAGTGTCCACAAGCGCCCAGCCAGACCCAGCGGTGCCACCTGCAGGCGATGTCGTCCTCGGGCAGGCTTGAAAAGGACTTCTTCGTCTATCGCGATGGTGTTCCTAAGAAGGCTCGACCCGCATCTTTTTTTTACGCTCTCGATCAGCGCCCGATATTAGAGAAGAAAGGCCTCTCCCTCGGCCACATTGGCGCGTCGCGGCGTCCGACAATTGACGGCTGTCCTCGGGCGTGACGCCTCCAATTCTCGCAGGTCGAGTACTTGGCCAGGCGTGGGGCACTGTGGCTCCCGACTATAAGGCGGAACTCGAAGAACGTGCCGGCGAGGACAAGCGTCGCTACGATGCCGAGATGAACTTCGCCGCGCAGTCTGCATCGCATCTTGACTCGCCGCTCTCTTGGTTACACCCGTCCATCGGCCCGCGGACCAACGAGGGTGACGGAATTTGGAGCGTGGATGCTGCCGATGACGCTCGGCTTGATCTCCTGCCCCGACGACGCGACAATCCCGACCCGGGATGTTTTTTCCCTAAGCCCAGCGCTTTCTTCACAGTTGGTCTGCCGAGTTGCACCGTGAAAAGCGGCGATAAATGTTACTATGAGGTCACGATCTTGGCCACCTCCGAAAACTCGCAATTTGGATGGGCGCGCCGGGGCTTCGAGGTGGGCTCAGAAAATGGTTGCGGCGATGATGCCTACTCCTACGCCTGCGACGGCCATCGGCGCAAGAAGTGGCACCAGGCAACAGCTCGAGACTGGAACCCGGACGCATCGTGGAAAGTGGGCGACGTCATCGGCTGTATGCTCGACCTCGACTCCCGCGAGATTTGCTTCTCCGTCAACGGCGCCTACGACGAGCCCGCGTTCCGCGACATCTCCGTCGGGAGCGCCTACTTCCCCGCGCTCACGATGGGCACTGGTATGGTCGCGATCAACGTCGGCGCGCGCGCCTTCAAGCACCGGCCGGACGGCTATCGCGCGGTCGACCCGCCGCCGCTGCTGCCCGATTCGATGCTTGGTTGCCTGTCTGATTGTTTCCCGACCTTGAATGGTCCAACGCCGGCTCCGAAGCCGCTCACCGGCGCGGCCGCGCTTTTGGAGACGCTGGACAAGTTCAAGGCGAAGAACGGCGGGGTCGACGACCCGTATTACGCAGCCATGCGCAGTGCGCTCGAGGAGCTGGAAATCGGGAACGCGAGGAGGGGTCGTAATCCAGCTGTCCAGATTACTATTTGGTACTAATTGTGTTTTCGTGCTTCCTTCGAAACACGACGTCCGCGGCCGTGGACGCGTCGTCGAAGCTCCAGACGAGGAAGCCCCGCGTGAGCAGCCGCCGGTGGCGCCGCACGCCGACGACGGCGTCGGCGAGGCGCTCGCCCGCGCGGATGAACCGCGCGCGCGGGTGGAGCGCCGCCGCGGCGCGCCACTCCGCGTCCCAGGCCGCGAGGAAGTCGTGGACGGCGTTGCCCGGGACGCAGTCGTGGATGAAGGACTTGGGGAGCACGGCCCGCAGGTCGAGGGGCGTAAAACCGTCGCGCAAAGCCGCCTTGGACGCGAAAAATATCAGCGCGTCGTACTTTGGAGTGCCGTCGCTCCGCCGCTTGAGCACGTTCACGGCGTGGAGCCGGCCGAAGCGGTCGCAGGTGCCCTCGACGACGACGGCGTCGGCCGTCGGCAGCGCGGACACGAGCGCCGCGTGGGCCCGGTCCGCCTCGGCGGGCGAGTAGTCCTGGCGGAGCACGTTCATCGCCCGCACGACCCGCGCGGCGGGCGGCCCGTCGGCCCGGGCGAGCGAGCCCCGCACGTCGAAGCCGCCGCGGTGGAAGGTCACGCCCGCGGCGCCCGGCGCGTCCCGCGCGACGCGCACGCGCTCCGCGGACTGCTCGAGGCCCACGGCCGGCAGCGCGGCCGCGCGGTCCCGGCCGCTCGGCAGGAACGCGCGGAACTGGCGCGCGCTCTCGAGCGTCGTCGTCGGGCTCGCGCCGTAGCCCACGTCGACGAAGGCCGACCCGTCGAGCGCGCGCGAGTCGATGGCCGACCGGTAGAGCGTGAGCACCGCGCGGTCGACGGGCCGCAGGCGGCACCGCGCCGTCTTGCCCTTCGTCTCGAGCGACTTGGGCGCCGTCGCTTGGTGCCATTTGAGAGCGGCTGCCGTCGTGAGGAGCGCGACGAGGCTGCGCAGGCGACGCGCCATTGCGTGTTGCACGTCTGCGGTGCGGTGAGCTGTTGCACACGCAGATGATGCGTATGAAGTGTGTTTGAGCTCCTCACGCGCTACGACTGCGGCGCGTCGCAGTGTCAACGGTTGGTACCGGTTCTAAACGTCTTCACGCGTTGCGAATACAGCGTTCACGCGCAGCGAACTCTGCTCACGCACCATCATCGATGATGTCAACAGGGGCAAACGAGACTGCATCATGTTCCCGCGGCAAAAGAGGGCGGTGACATGGCCTCCAAAATGGTCGCCTTGCTGGCGCTCATGACCCAAGCCACGGCGTTCACGGCCCCGTTCTTCGACACGTCCGGCCGGCTGCAGCGCACGACGGCGCCGCCGGCGCCCGACCCCGCCGCGGAGACGAGGTATGTGCCCATCTACAAGGGCGAGGTGCTCATGGACGACGCCGGCGCGAAGCTGCTGGAGGAATCGGCCGCGGCGCCCTACGCGGCCCAGGACGGCTGCGTCGTCGCCTGGCTCGGGTCCGCGACGGAGGGCGCGCTCGCGCCGGCCGCGCCGCGGAACTACTGGCTCCTCGAGCTCTCGCATCTCGAGGACAAGCCCGAGCACCTCGGCGAGTGGGCGCCCCTGCGCAACGCCGGCGGCGTCGGCGGCCGCGGCGTGCTGAGCTCGAGCCCCGTGCGCGTCGCCGACGACGTCGCCGCGCTCCTGGGCACCGCGCGGGGCCTCGCGGACTGGCACGCGCACAACGGCTACTGCGCCTCGTGCGGCGGTCCGACGAAGCCCGCGCGCCACGGGCGGAACCGCCAGTGCGTCGACTGCGACACGCGCGTGCGGCCGCGCCTCGACCCGTCGGTCATCGTGCTCGTGACGAACGAGCGGCGCGACCGGTGCCTGCTGGGCCGCGCGAAGGGCTGGGCGCCGGGCCGGTGGTCGACGCTCGCGGGCTTCGTGGAGTTCGGCGAGTCGCTGGAGGAGTGCGTCGTCCGGGAGATCGCGGAGGAGGCGGGCGTGGCGCCGGACCGCGCGTCCCTGCGGCAGGTCGCGAGCCAGCCCTGGCTCTTCCCGCGGTCGCTCATGGTCGGCTACGAGGCCGTCGTCGACGACGCCATACCCCTCGCGCGCCAGGAGGACGAACTCGCGGGGCTGGCCTGGTTCGACAGGGACTACGTGCGCAAGCAGGTCGCGCTCCAGGGCGACGACGACGCGCCGGCGACGCCGGGCGACTTCCACGTGCCGAGCCGCGTGTCGCTCGCGCGGACGCTACTCGACGGCTGGCTCGACGACGCCGCCGCCGCCGCGCCGGCCGCCGCCGCCGCCGCGCCGGCCGGGGCGCCGGCCGGGGCGCCGGCGACCGTCGAGGCCGCGCGCGCGGCGGCCGTCGCGGCGACGGAGGCCGCGGGCGCGGACTCGGCCGAGGCGCGGTCCGCGTGGGATTTGGTCGACGACCTCGAGAAGCAACCGGCGAGTTTCGCCTCCCTCGAGGAGGAGTGCGCCATCGACGACGCCGACGAGAAGTGCCGCAAGCTCGGGCGCGAGCTCGCGGAGCTCGACGCGCTCATCGCGCAGGGGCCGGGCAAGTCGCGCGTCCGCGAGGCCGCGAAGAACCTCCTCCGCGAGATCGAGTCGGGCTACGACGACCAGATCTTCAAGAAGTAACTCGGCGTTCGTGTGTGGTTTAGCGAGCGTATTTAGTGCAAGGGCGACGTTACGGCGTCCTCCGGCGGCGCCGGGGCCTCGCCGACGTCGACGTCCGCCGGCGCCGCCTCGTCGTCGCCGTCGTCGTCGTCGTACTCGTCGATGATGGCGGCGACGGTGGCGAGCTGGGCCTCGGAGAGCTCGGCCTCGAAGTCGGCGAGGAGGTCCATGAGCTCCTCGTGCGAGAGCGACCGGAGGTCGTCGTCGCCGAGCGCGCGGAGGTGGTCCAGGATGTCCGCGTCGGCCGCGCGGCCCCGGCCCGTGACGCGCTGGGGCGACGTGAAGAGCTCGCGCGCCCAGCCGCTGCGGTGGATGACGCTGTCGCCGCGCTTGCCCGCGGCCGCCGGCGCGACGGCCGTCTCGGGGATCGCGGCGGGCCGTTTCGGGGCGCCGCCCGTCGACTCGAAGACCTCCTCGGCGCCGCGCGGGACGACGACGGGCCGCTTCCTCGGGGGGTTCCGCGCGGCGGCGGCGTCGCCGGGCCCGTGGAGCGCGTCGAGGCGCCGCTCCATCTCGGCGACGACGAACTCCGGCGACGCCTCGAGGACCAGCGGCAGGCACTCGGCCTTGTTTTCCGTCGCGTTGTCGCAGAGCTTGCGCAGCGGCGTGCGGCCGGCGCCGTCGCGGACCTCCGTCGCCGCGGCGTTGGCTCGGAGCAGCTCCGCGAGGAGGGCCGTGTCGACGCGCGCGTTCGCGCAGAGGCAGTGGAGCGGCGTGCCGAGCTCCAGATGGACGCGGCGCGCGTTCTCGGGGCAGCCCGCGAGGAGCAGCCGCAGCAGCTCGGGCGTCACGGAGCTGTTCTCGCAGAGCGCGTGCAGGGGCGTCAGGCCCCGCGCGTCCGCGACGTCGGCGTCGTGGGCCTCGAGGCAGAGGGCGAGGTAGTCCGTCGTCAGCGGCTCCGTGCGGCAGCACTCGAAGAGCCGCGACTCCGCCGGCGTCGCCTTGACGGGATCCCGCCGGCTCCCGGTGCGCACGGCGCCGTCGCGCACGCACCGCGAGAACGCCGGACCCATGGTTCGTTTCGAGCGTCTATTCGTCGAACTTCTCGGCGTCCATCGTGGATCTGGGAACGGGCGCTTCAATTTTGACTGCACTTAAAAAGATCGCAAACAGCATCGGGCTGCATCTCGGTGGTGTATACTTGGCTCCCCGAAAGATGGCCTCCTTCGCGGAGTGGGTCCGCGCTCGAGATGCGAATGCGAGCGAGGCGCCGAGTTCGGGACCGCCGGCGGCCCTCCGCGTCGCCGCGAGGCTTTCGGAGTTCGAGGTCGACGGCGCGACGGAGACGTCGAAGCAGTTCAACTGGCTCGTCGACACGCTCGTGCGCGAGGAGGCGGAGCGCGCGAGCGTGCGGCGCTTCAAGTTCGAGGCGGACCAGAAGCGGGCGCTGCTGGCGCGGCTCCTGGCGCGCTACTGCTGCCGCGCCGTCGTCGGCGCGGAGTGCACCATCGCGCGGACCGACGGCGGCAAGCCCCACGCGTACCCCGTGCCCGCGGCCGCGGCGGCCGCCGCGCCGAACTTCAACTTCAACGTGTCCCACGAGGGCGACTACGTCGTCGCCGCGACGGAGCCCCGGGCGCTCTGCGGCGCCGACGTCTGCAGCGCGGACCACCTCTGCCGCGCCGGACCGCCGACGCGCGACCAGCTGCGGAACCTCGCGGACGCCTTCGCCGCCGACGAGTGGGCGGCCGTCGACGCCATCGACGACGCGGCGCTGCGCTTCAACGCCTTCAAGGTCCTCTGGAGCTGCAAGGAGGCCGTCGTCAAGGCGCGCGGCGACGGCATCGTCTTCGACCTGAACCGCGTGTCGTTCCTCGCGGACGACCCGCCGGGCAACGCGCCGCCGCTGCGCCACGTCGCGCCCATGGGCTACCCCTTCCGCAGCGCCCTCGTCAAGTTCGACGGCGTCCCGGACCGCCGCTGGCGCGTCGACGTCGACGTCCTCGACGCCGCGCACGTCGCGTCCGTGGCCCGCGGGCCCGTGGCGGCCATGAAGGACAAGGCGGGCCGCTTCCGGTCGACGATGCGGGACCCGGCCCGCGGCGCCGAGGACAGCGGCGCCTGGCGCGCGGAGCTCGCGGAGCCGCGGCCGCCCTTCACCGTTCTCACCGTCGCGGACCTCGTCCCGCCGCGGCGCCGGGCCGAGTACGACGCGCTCTGCGGCGCGCCCGCGCGCGTGACGCCCTGTTAGAATACGCGCGGTCGACCAGGGGGGCATGGCTTCAACATTCGCCGCAAGGACCTCGGTTAACCTCGGTCCGGTGAGCTTTTGTCGAGGCAGCCCGCACCGTCCATCGTCCGCCGCCGCGCCGCCGCCGCGCCGCCGCGGCATGGCGGCGTGCGCGATGCGCGCCTGGGTGCTGGCGAGCTCCGCGGCGACGGCCTGCGTGCTCCACGGCACGGACAGCGGCGTCTGCGACTTTCGATTGGACCCAAAGTTCAGCGACGCGGCCAACGGCTGGACGCTGCGGGACACGGCGGCCTACCGGCAGTACCACCTGCCCAAGTGCCAGCGCTACGTCAAGTACCCGGCCTGCGTGCCCGAGATGGTGAAGGTGAACGACACGGGCCCGGAGCGGGACCTGTGGGAGTACGCGGGCCGCATCGAGCCCGACGTCGAGCACCCGCTGGGCCGCTTCTGGAACCACACGATCCGCAACAAGGACGCCTGGGTCTTCGAGAAGACGGAGCAGATCATCGACGAGCGGCTGGGCAACGAGACGTCGAGCGCGCTCATGGCGCGGCAGGAGAACCACTTCGGCGAGGGCACGTGCGAGGGCAAGGACTGGGAGGAGCGCTGCAAGGACTACCCCGTCTGCGCCGCCGGGACCCACAGCGGCTGCGTCGGCTACCCGATCCAGCCGCGCATGGTCATGAACCAGGACTGCCAGAAGGCCTTCGAGGCCTACTTCTGCTTCATCAACTTCCCGCGGTGCTACTGGGACGACACGACGAACGAGATGAAGTCCGTCGCCCTCTGCCGCACGGCCTGCAAGAACTTCTTCAAGGCCTGCAACTACGACAAGTCGCTCTGGCGCTGCGGCCGCACGGAGTTCTTCAACGGCAACTTCGCGGAACGGCTCGAGGACTACGGCCGCTACATGCGCGACTTCTTCCCGGGCCAGCCCTTCCGCAACTCCTTCAAGGACCGGGGCTATCGGAACATCCACGGCCGCTGCACGCCGGGCCTCCCCGACGCCGCGGCCGCGACGTCGCCGAAGCGCGCCGCGGCCCTGGCCCTCGCCGCGGCGGCCTACCTCCTCCGACAGTAAGAGGGACGCTTGGGGCTCGGCGGTGACGGGGTCTCCGGGCTCTTAGCCCAGCATCCAGCTCGAGCGAGCGCTAGCATCCCTACAAATATGTGAGGTTCACTTGAAAACTACAACAAGCAAAAGAAGTAATCGTTGAGATTATGGCAGCGCGCCCGCCGATGCTTTGGTCAGAAAGCGTTTAGACGATGGGCAGCCCCGAGGGGCGGTGGCGCGAGAGCGGCGGCGGCATCGGGCAGATGCTGGCGGCGCGGGCCCAGGGGCTGAAAATCCCCGAGGGCGACGCGCCGCCGACGCCCGAGGGGTCGCCCCAGGCGTCGCTGGCCCGGGCGCCGCGGCCCCGGAGCGCCGGGCTCCGGCGCGCGGCGCCGCCGGGCGACCGGCGGTCGCCGGCGGCGCGGCCGGCGAGCGCGGCGGCCGCGCGCGCGTCGCCCGCGCGGCAGACGTACGGGCCGCCGGCGTCGTCCGGCGGCGGCGCGCGGCCCGCGTCCGCGCCGGCGAGGCGGCGCGCCGGCGGCCACCTGCTGCGGCGCCAGCTGGAGAACGCGCTCCTCGAGGACGAGCTCTTCACCATGAACGACCGCCTCACGTTCAGCCGGACGCGGAAGGACGACATCATCGACATCCACCGGAGCCACAAGCAGCGCCTCGGCGGCGTGATCTCGTCCGTGGACCAGTTCCCGAGCCCGGACTGCTGGGAGTACAAGAAGTACCGCAACGACCTGCGGCGCATCATCCTCGGGCGCGGCGGGCTGACGCCGTACACCGTGCGCAAGGAGCAGAAGCCGACCCTCGTCGAGGACCTCAAGAAGGCCCACCACGTCCACTGCCGCCGCGTGCGCCAGGCCGCGAGCCGCATCGACTCCGCGCTGTCCGCGGGCTGCGAGTCGACGCGCGCGCGGAACAAGCAGCGCAACGCGCGCGAGGCCGCGGGGCCCGTCGCCGTGCTCCTCGACAAGCTCGAGACGGCGCGCCGCGACCGCGAGGCCGCGGACAAGCGGCGCCGCGACGCGGACCGCGACATCGCGACCATGCCCCTCTTCGGCGGCCTCGTGGGCTCGGGCCGCAAGGCGCCGCCGAAGCAGCCGCCGAAGCCCCGGCCGGACGCGGGCCCGCCGTCGTCGCGCGCGTCGCCCGTGCGGCCCCGCTCCGCCCAGGAGCGCCACATGCTCGCCTACGAGCGCCGGAGCGACGTCATCCTCTACGGCAAGGTCGTCCACAACCCGACGGTCCTGCCCCGGCGCCTCCGCGACACGGAGAAGGTCCAGCACAAGCTCGAGCGGGAGATGGCCGCCGTCCACGCCGCGCGCGCGGCCCAGGTCGCCAGCTAAGGGCCTCGGCGGGGTCGGAGCCGCGTCCGGGAGCCTCGAGCGAAGTCTCGAGCGAGGCCTCGAGCCGTACGTGCACTTCAAGCACTTCTTCATCTTTAACCCGAGGGCAGCCCCCAGCTCACCGCGGCCTTCGCCTGGATCCGCGGCGGCGCCATGACGGCCATCAACGCGGCGCTCCAGTCGTTCAACGCGGCGTGCCCGAACCCGAACCGCGCGACCCTCGAGCAGTTCGAGGCGCTCGTGGACACGGTGTGCGCGGAGGCGACCAAGGAGGAGGCCATCGGGAACTTCGAGTACATCCAGGCGGCCCACGCCTGCGTGCTGTCGACGCTCGACGAGGCCGGCGACCTGCGCGAGCAACACCCCGACGGCTGGCGGCGCCTGAAGGCGCGCGTGCTGAGCGTCGAGGGTTCACTCGAATACCGCAAGGCCGCCCTCCTCATACAGACGCTCGAGGGCGACATGGACGCCGACTCCTACAAGGCCTTCAAGGTCTGCGCGGACTTCGCGGTCGTGCGCTACCGCGAGGTCGCCGAGCTCCAGCGGGCGCTGGGCGAGCGGGACCTCCTCGCGCGGTCCCTCAAGGTCCTCGGCGAGGCCTGCCTCCTCGCGCCCGCGCGCCGCGGCGACGCCGCGCCCGCGCTCGAGGAGGCGCTCGAGCTCTTCAAGGCGCTGCCCGGCGACCACGCGGCGGACGTGGGCGCCATCGAGGGCCACCTCTCGAAGCTCCGGGCCCCGCCGCCGCCGCCGGCGGCCGTCGAACAGGCCGCGAAGGCGCCGTCGCCGGGCGAGAAGAAGAAGAAGGGCAAGAAGAAGAAGGACGCCAAGGAGCCCGACGCGGCGGCGGCGGGCGCCGCGTTCCTCGCGGCGACGGAGTTCGTCGTCGTCGTCGTCGGCGACGCGGAGTGCGCCGAGGGCGCCTGGGACATGGCCGCCGTCCGCGCGTCCGAGGCCGCGCCCGGCGCGGAGCCGGGCGGCTTCCGCGTCGGCGGGGCCTGCACGCCGCCCCTGCCCCTCGCCGGCCGCGCCGACGACGCGAGCATCTACCTCGTCGCGCTCCACCGGCCCCGCGCGACGCCGCCGCGCGATTGGCGGGTGCTCGCGCACGCGGGGCATCGCGTGACCGTCGCGCAGCTCCGGGCCCAGGCGCCGATGACGCCCGTGCGCAGCGGCTGCTCCGAGCCCGAGCACCCGGTCTGCTTCGGCGTCGGCGACGGGGCCCAGGGCCGCTGCGTCCAGTTCGCGTCCTTCTCCTTCGACGACGCGATCCTCGCGCTCGCGTCCGAGGAGGTCGCCGGCTCCGCGGCCGACGACGCGGGCTCCGCGGTCTGGCGCGTCCTCGCCGCGAATCCTATCGCAGAGTTCTGCGCGCGGAGCCTCGTCCGCGACCTCAAGGACGCGGAGCGCGCGGACGCGGCGGAGGCCTAACGTCGTTCAACGTGACCGTCAACGTAGTTCGCTGACGATTGTGGCTACGATGGCCGAATCATCGACGTAAAGCGACGCTGCCCTCACGGACGCGGAGCGCGCGGACGCGGCGGTGGCCTCACGTCGTTCACTTGATCGTCAACGTAGGGATCCCTAGTTCGTTGACGATTGTGCCACATTATAATATTACGATGGCACGATCATCGACGTAAAGCGAGGCTGCCCTTGGCATCGGCCTCCCGGCGAGGCCTCACTCTCGTCGGCGATCTCTGTCGCTGCCCACATGGACGCCGAGCTCCCGGCGCGGAAGACCGTGCGCTTCACGGGCCTGCCGCCGACCCCGCTCGCCGCCACGTCCACGTCGTCCGACGGCGGCAGCGGCACGACGGCCTCCGGCGCGTCGCGGGGCCTGCGCAAGGCGTCGAGCCTGCGCGGCGCGGCGCTCGCGCGCTTCAGCCCCGAGGGCTTCCTCGGGTCGCCCGGCGAGCTCCGCGGGAGCAGCACGACGGGGAGCGGCGCGTCGGACAAGAAGTCCAAGGGGTCGCTCTACGTCCACGCGGCGACGGTGCCGGTGGAGAACGTGGCCGTGAGCCGGACCCTCTTCTTCCGGCGCGAGTCGCAGCGCGAGCGCGCCGGCTCCGAGGCGAAGCGGCGGCTCCTGGCGCTCAAGGGCCAGCGCACGGACTGGCGCTTCTCGTCGAGCAGCCGCGAGTCGACGGGCCTCTACGCGCAGGATTTCCTGCTCGAGCAGGCGTCCTTCAACGGGCTGTCGCGCTGCGTGCTCGCGTGCTCGGGCCTCTGGCGGTTCCGCACCATAGCGACGGAGTCGGCGTCGAACCTGCCCGCGGAGAAGGCGCGCGAGGCCCGCGCGAAGCGCAGGGCCGCGGCCTACGAGGCCGTCTTCTACGTCGCCTACGCGACCTGCGGCTGCGCGTGCCTCGGCAACGCCGTCCCGGAGGCGGCGTCCCGTCTTTTAGCGCAGAAAAAACAAGACCCCCCCCCCCCCCCCCGCGCGCGCAGGTCCTCGGCGGCGCGGCGCCGTACCACAGCCTCCCGGCGAGCTTCACGATGGCCTACTTCCACGTGCCCTCGTGCCTCGGCTTCCGCTTCTGGCGGCGCATGCTCAACGACCCCGTGTCCTCGGGGCTGGTGGAGAACCTCGTCGAGCTCGACAACGCGGTCGTCGGCGAGGCGCTCAAGGCGACGAAGCGGGGCCTCGTCGTCGTCTGCGCGGCGCAGGTCGCCGCCGTCGCGCTGGTCCTCGGCGCCTGGGCCCTGCCCGCGGCGCCGCTGCCGGGCGGCTTCGGGGCCGTGGCGCCCCACGCGAACGGCGGGCTCGCGTTCGTCCGCGCGCACGGGTTGGTCATGTGGTCCCTCTTCGCGCTCGTGATCTCGTCGACGATCGGCCGGTACCGGCGTCCCGCGGCCGCGACGATGTTCGAGAGATTTGGGGTGGGAAACCGACGAGCCATCGTCACCGCCGCGCTCGGTAGGCCAGTACGCGCTCTTCGCCTTCTACAGCTACCTCCACCTCATCGAGGTCGCGCTCTGCGGCGAGCGCGTGCTGAGCCACCTCTCGAACCACTACGAGGCGCTCGACGGCGCGGACGACGGCGACGGCGTCGCGTCGCCGGGCGGCGCGCCGGACTCGCCGCGCGGCGGCGACGGCGGCGGCCTCGTCGTGCCCGAGCGCAACGCCGCGGAGCTCTTCGACTCGCTGCTCGAGGACGTGGCGGCGGAGTGCAAGATCGCGCAGAAGAAGCTCAAGACGAGCTGCGACCTCTGGAGCAACATCAAGATGCACTACTTCGTCTTCGCGCTCGCGCAGCTGCTGGTCGTGCTGAACCACGCGAAGCTCCACACGACGGGCGCGCTCCGGGGCGTGGGCTACCCCTACCACTGGTACCTCCAGGACGCCGTCTTCCTCGCGTCGGGCACGGCCATCGTCGTCGTGACCGTCTTCGCGTCGTCCAAGGTCACGTCCAAATGCGCGGAGATCAAGGCCGCGGCGCGCGGCGTCGCGGACGCGCGCGACACGAAGACGAACGCGGCGGCCGTGTCCGCCGTCATCGACCACCACCTCCACGGGGCGACGGTCTGGGGCGAGACCATCAACCAGCAGAAGATCATCATGATCATGTGGGGCTTCCTCATGGTCGCGCTCAACGCGATCATCGAGCTCCTCGGCGCGAACTACAACGTCCGCTCCGACGACCGCGCCGTGTCCTTCGACGCGTAAATTAGCTTGGAATTCGATACCGGCGCGCATCGGGGGAGGCGGGGGTGAGCGGTCGGGACTGTCGCGGTAAGGGCTCGCGCGTCGAAGTCGACGATGCCGTCTCGCAGCTTGGAGTTGAAGCCCGCTTCGAGGAAGCTCAATGGCGCTTGCATTGATGCGCTGTTTCGTCGCGCTGGCGGCGGCGGCCTCGGCCTTCGGCCCGCGCGCGTCGTACGCGTCGCGGTCGACCGTGCGCATGGGGATGGGCAACTCCTTCGGGCGCCTCTTCCGCATCTCGACCTGGGGCGAGTCGCACGGCGGCGGCGTGGGCGTCGTCGTCGACGGGTGCCCGCCGCGCGTGCCCCTGAGCGAGGTGCCGATCCAGTTCGAGCTGGACCGGCGGCGCCCGGGCCAGAGCCGGCTGACGACGCCGCGCAACGAGAGCGACCAGGTCGAGATCCTCAGCGGCGTCGACAAGGAGAGCGGCGTGACGCTCGGCACGCCCATCGCGATGCTCGTGCGGAACAAGGACCAGCGGTCCCAGGACTACAAGGGCGGCATGACCCAGGCCTACCGCCCGTCCCACGCCGACGCGACCTACGACGCCAAGTACGGCGTCCGCGCCGTCGCCGGCGGCGGCCGGAGCAGCGCGCGCGAGACGATCGGCCGCGTCGCGGGCGGCGCCGTCGCCCGCGAGGTGCTGCGCCTCTACGCGGGCGTCGAGGTCGTGGGCTACGTGAGCAAGGTCCAGGACGTGGGCATGCCCGACGACTTCGACGTCGACGCGGTCACGATCGACGACGTCGAGGCGTCCATGGTCCGGTGCCCGCACCCCGAGTCCGCGGAGCGCATGATCGCGCGCATCGACGAGATCCGCCGCAAGGGCAACTCCATCGGCGGCGTCGTCACCTGCGTCGCCCAGAACGTGCCCGCGGGCCTCGGCTCGCCCGTCTTCGACAAGCTCGAGGCCGAGCTCGCCAAGGCCTGCATGAGCCTCCCCGCGTCCAAGGGCTTCGAGGTCGGCAGCGGCTTCGACGGCACACTCCTCGCGGGCAAGGACCACAACGACGAGTTCTACGTCGACGCCGACGGCCGCACGCGGACGCGGTCGAACCGGTCGGGCGGCATCCAGGGCGGCATCAGCAACGGCGAGACCATCGTCGTCCGCGTCGCCTTCAAGCCCACGTCGACCATCGGCCAGCTCCAGGCGACGGTGACGCGCGACGGCGAGGAGGTCGAGCTCCGCGGCAAGGGCCGCCACGACCCCTGCGTGCTCCCGCGCGCCGCGCCCATGGTCGAGTCCATGGTCGCGCTCACGCTCATGGACGCGCTCATGCAGCAGAAGGCCCAGTGCGAGCTCCTCGACTTCGAGGCCGACGGCGGCTTCAACCCCCTCGGATCCAAGCCCGTCCACGACCTCGGCGTCGTGCCCGCGAGCGCCTAGGAAGGCGCTACCCCCCCCCCCCCCCCTTCGAGATCCCCCGCCTAAGCATCCGCCTCGAATATGACGTCGCCGTCACGAGTCGGGAGACTTCTTCGGAACTTGCATTAGCCGCTCGCGTCGTCCCCCCGGAGCGCGAGCATCTTCGCGCGCGCGTCCGCGGAGAGCGCGCTGGGCGCGTCGTCGCCGCTCGACTCGTCGCTGCGCTCGTGGATCGCGTCGAGGTCTTCCCGGGGGGAGGCCCGGCCCAACTCCGGCGCCGCGACCGGCGCCGGCGCGGCCGGCGCGGCCGGCGCGGCCTCGGCGTCGTCCGAAAATTCCCGCGGTCGCCCCGGGTCCGTCGATCGCGGCGGATGGAGGCGCGTCTCCACGGCCTCCTCCAATCGCTCGCCGACGAACTCGCGCATGGACAGCCAATAGTGCTCGCGGTCCTGCTCCGGGTGCGCCGCGCGCCACAGGAAGGACGAATCGAGGCGCTCCGCGACGCGGGCCTTGCGATGGAGGCTGAGCTGGTGCCAGGTCACGTCGCGGTGGGACCGGTGCCAGAGCTCGTCGGCGTCCGTGCGCACGCGGCTCATGCCCGTGGGTAGGGAACTGTGCGCCGAATTCCGCTGCTCCGAGACGCGCCGCGCCAGCGCGCCGCTGTTCTCGAGCGCCCGCTTCCTCGCGGCGACGGCGACGCCGCTCCGCAGCTTCGTGGACGCGGGCTTCAGCGGTTCGGCGATGCGCGGCGCCGCCTCGACCTGGGCCGCCGCCTCCGATCGGAGATCCCGCTTGTTGCCGGCGTCGAGCGCGTTGAACCACCGTCGCTTCCCCTTCTTGTCCGCGAGCTTGGGCGCGGGCCGCGGGTCGTCGCGCCGCGAGAAGAGGGACGCCTCGCCGGGCCGCGACCCGTGGAGCCGCGGCACGGGCTTCGTCTTCGCCCAGGTGTACCAGTCGCCGCTCCGCAGGTCCGTGCCCCCGATGACGATGCGGCGCTTCGATTCTTCCATGCGCTGGGTGGTTTTGAGGTCGATGTACGGCCAGATCTTCTCCTCGGGCTTCTTCCCCTTGAGGAACGCCTTCTTCGCCTTGAGCACGACGCGGGCCAGGGCCCAGTCCGCCATGCTTGCCCGCGCTCAGCCCGCGCGGCGCGCAGCCCGCGCGGCGCAACCCCAAAAAATGCCCGAAGTGCCTTCAAATTGAAGATTAACGGAAGGGCTACAGATCTGGATGGGCTACAGCGGCGCGACTGGCGCGAGCATGTCCGCGGCCTGGCTCGCAGAAGAAAAGGCCCGCATTGCCGCGTCGCCGGCGCCGGCCTGGTACGACGAGGGCCTCGGCCCCGAGTTCGCCGCGGACGCGGCGAGCCCGAGCCTCGTCTTCGATGACGTCTACGCCGGCATGCTCGACGAGTTCTTCCTCGGCGTCGACCCCAACGGCATGTGCACGCCGACGGACGAGGGCATGCGCGTCGCGCCGGAGATCCGCGGCGGCGACGCCCACAGCGGCATGACGCTGCTCCATTTCGCCGCGTCCTGCGCCGACGTGCCCTACATGAAGGCGCTGCTGCGCGCGGGCGCGACGCTCGACTTCGGCTACGACAAGGAGCTGGGCACGCCGCTCCACGTCATCTGCAAGCAGTTCCTCGCCGAGGGCGACGCGCTCGGCGCGCGGTCGCGGATCGCGGCCATCCGGTTCCTGCTGGACGTCGGCGCGGACCCCGGGAAGAGCTGCGCCGTCGAACCGCTCCTGAAATTGGTGCTCCGGGACCGCGACGCGACGCGCGGCCTGGAGCTGGCCGCGCTGCTCTTCGCCGCGCCCGAGGGCGCGGCGCTGCTCGCCGAGGCGCCGGCCTACGCCTCCTTCGCGCGCGGCGGCAAGACGCGGAAGGCGTTTTTGACGGCCGCGAAGCGGGCCAAGGGCGCGCCGCGGAACGTCCTCGCGTGCGCCTGCGGCAGCGGCCGGCCCTTCGACGCCTGCCACGGCGCCGCGAACGGCGTGCCCCTCCACGCGCGGCAGCCCTGCCCCTGCGCGGACAACAAGCGGCGCGCGAGGGACGGCGCGGCCCGCGCGTACGGCGCGTGCTGCTCCGCGCGGGAGGTCTACCTCCGCGAGACGCTCCGCGCCATCATCCCGCCGCCGAGCGCCCCCCTCCAGCGGGCGATCGAGAGCCTGGCCCTCGCCGCGGACGACGCGCCGCCGCCGGCGACGCCGCTCGCGGACGCGCCCGCGGCGGCGCTCCCGCCGTCGCCGCCGCTCGCCGCGTAAGATGCGGTTACCGGCCGAAGGAGATGGCGCGCGAGAGGATGGCCGTGAGCTCGTCCTCGCGGGCCTGCTCGTCCCGCGGCGCGTGCCGCAGGTCCGCGCCGACGCCCGAGAGCATGGCGACGAGCTCGTCCTCCTTGTCGCGGTCGTCGTCGTCGTCGGCGCCGCGGGGCCGCCGCGCGAAGGTGCCCTCGGACTGGGAGTGGCGGTTGCGCCGGCGCAGGCCCCGGTGCTTCGGCGACGGGTCCTTGGCCCGGGGCTTGCGCTTCGGGCTCAGCGCGGCGTTCGACGAGATGGACCGGAGCGCCGTGCCCGCCTTCTTCCGGCCGCCCCGGTAGGGCTTCGCCGGCGACGCGCGCGGGGCCTCGGCCGCGGGCTCGATGGGCGCGTCCTCGATGGCGCCGGAGAAGGTGTGGTGCGCGCGGAAGTCGGGGAGCTCGACGCCCGCGCGCCGCTCGCCCGCGGACGCGGGCCGCGGCGGCCGCGACGGCGCCGACGAGCCCCAGGTCGGCAGCAGGAGGCCGTCGTCGACGAAGGGGTCCACGGGCACGGGCACGTCGACGGCGAGGTCCGGCGCGCGGCGCCGCCGCGCGTCGTCGTCGCGCGCGGCGACGGCGGCGGCCGAGTCGTCCGTGGGCCGGTAGGCGCCGGGCGCCGTGTTCAGCTGCTCGCGGAGCGTCGCGTTCTCCTCGCGGAGCCGCGCGACCTCCTCCTGGAGCTGCTCCACGAGGTTCTGGTGCTTGTTGACCTGGACCTTGGGGAGGTTCTTGATGCCGCGGACGCGCGCCGCGAAGTCGAGCGTCCGCAGCGTCTCGTTGACGGCGCTGCCCGACGCCGACGACACGCAGCCGAACATCAGCGTCTTGCAGGACCCGCCGAGGGACGAGATGAGGAGCTTCGTCAGCGCCGAGTCGCGGTAGGGCACGTTGGGCGCCTTCGCGGACCGGTGCATGAGCTCCAGACCCCGGATGACCTTCCCGAGCGTGTAGAGCGACTTGTTGATGTGGCCCGCGTCCTTGACCATGGACGCGCCCGCGGATTTCGTCTCCTTGAGCCGCTCGGAGCCCGCGAGGTCCACGAAGGTCACGGAGCCGTACGTCGTCGGCGCCGCGCGGCCGCCGCCGCGCGGCGGGCTCTCCGCGTCGACGTACAAAGTGATGAGCGCGTGGCTCCGCGACGACCGCTCGTTGAGCTGGTGGCTCCCGACCTTGCGGTTCGCCAGGGCCTGGGCGACGACCGCGCACGCGCGCTGCGGCGTCGCGCAGCCCGCCACCCGCAACCCCTCCACGAAGAAGCCGTACTGCGGGTGCTCGCGCACGTTCAGGGCCTTGCGCTTCGACGGGTGCGTCAACAGATCCGTCACGGACTCGCGGTAGACCTCGACGCAGGTCACGCGGACCCGGAACTTCTTCTCCGTGTCCTCGGCCATGCGCGCGAAGAGGTGGCGCACGCTCCGCGGCAGCAGGCCGTCGTGGCTCCCGCTCGCCGCGCCGCCGCCGAAATTATCGAAGGCGCCGCCGCCGCGCCGGCCCCCGCCGAAGCTACCGCCGCCCCCGACCATCGTGTACGTCTTGCCGGCTCCGGTCTGTCCGTACGCAAAGGCCGTGGACCGGAAGCCCCGGAGCACGGCGTCGAGGAGGCCGATGAGGCCCGAGCCCTCGAAGAACTCGAGCTGGTTCGCGCCGTCGTCGAAGGCGCGGTCGCAGCGGCAGATCATCGGCGCCGCGCCCTCGCTCTTGATCTCCAGCGCGTGCTCGCCGTGGCGCCGCACGCTCTTCTCGCAGCCGCCCTTCCGCTCGCGCTGCGACAGCGGCCGCACGCGCAGGATCACGCCGATGTGCTCCGGCGCCGGCTCGTCCGCCTTCGGGGGCCGGGCCCGGCCCTTGCGGCCGCCGCTGCCCATGCCCAGCCCGGCGCGCCAACGAACAGGTCGCTTGTGCCTTTGTCCACACGCTGCAGTCGCGGCGAAGTATGGTGTGACTCCGTCCTACCTGCTGTAATGTTGCTGTTGCTCCGGCGCGCCGTCGCGCGGCCGCCGCGTTTCGCGCGGGCGCAGAGCTCGGTCGTCGCGTCGCCGCACGTCGAGTGGCGGAGCGCGGCGGACCTGCGGGCGCCGGAGGAGTGGTACCCCAAGGCCCGCCTGTCGCGGCGGCGCGTCATCTACCACGGGGGCCCAACGAACTCGGGCAAGACCTACCACGCGCTGGAGGCGCTCAAGCGCGCCGACGCCGACGGGGGCGGCGGCGTCTACGCGGGCCCGCTCCGGCTCCTGGCGCTCGAGGTCTACGAGCGGCTGAACGCGGCGGGCTGCTACTGCAGCCTCTTCACGGGCCAGGAGCGGCGCGAGGTGCCCTTCGCGACGCACGCGTCCTGCACCATCGAGATGGTGCCCGTGGGCCGACGCTGGGACGTGGCCGTCGTCGACGAGATCCAGATGATCGGGTCGCCCGACCGGGGCCACGCGTGGACGCGCGCGCTCCACGGGTTGGACGCGCGCGAGATCCACGTCTGCGGCGCGCTGGACGCGGCGGCCCTCGTGGAGCGGCTCTGCGGCATCACGGGCGACGCCTTCGAGCTCAAGGAGTACGAGCGGCTCACGCCGCTGACGACGGAGCGCGCGCACCTCGACGGGTGGACGGGCGTGAAGAAGGGCGACTGCGTCGTGACCTTCAGCCGCGACGACATCCACCGCGTGCGCCGGGAGATCGAGACGGCCAACGAGGACATGAAGTGCTGCGTCGTCTACGGGCAGCTGCCGCCGGAGACGCGCGCGCAGCAGGCGCGGCTCTTCAACGACGAGGCGAGCGGCTACGACGTGCTCGTCGCGTCGGACGCCGTGGGCATGGGCCTGAACCTGAACATCGGCCGCGTGCTCTTCCGCCAGATCTTGAAGTACTCGGGCGAGCTCAGCGACGAGGCTTTGGACGGCGTCGACGAGGCGTACCGAGAAGACTCTAGAAAGACGCGGCTGTCGCCCGTCGAGCACCAGCTCGTGAAGCAGATCGCGGGCCGCGCGGGCCGCATGGCGACGGCCTTCTCGTCCGGCGGCGGCGGCGTGACGGCCATGGACGCGCGGGACCTCTCGTACGTCCGCGCGGCGCTCGCGGCGCCGAACGACGCCGTGTCCCGGGCGGGCCTCTTCCCGCCGGCGGAGATCCTCGCGCTCTTCGCCGCGGAGCTCGGCGACGCGGACATGGGGCTCGGCGACGTCGTCGCGGCCTTCGTCGAGGCCTGCGACATCGACGAGTCGCTCTACTACGTCTGCGGGCAGGACGAGGTCGCCAAGGTCGTCAAGAAGCTCGACGACGACATCCGCCTCGACCTCGCCGACATGCTCCTCTTCTGCACGGCGCCCTGCAACCTCAACGACCGCTTCGCCGTGTCCATGCTCAACGCGTACGCGCGCGCGCGCGCCGGCGGCGGCCGCTGCGGGCCGAACGTGCGCCTCCCCAAGGGCCGGCCGTCGAAGCTCAGCGACCTCCACGACCTCTGCTCGAAGCACAACGTGCTCGACCTCTACCTCTGGCTCGCCTTCCGCTTCCCGGAGACGTTCCCCGACTCCGCGGCCGCGACGGCGCAGAAGCAGCGGTGCATCGCGCTGATCGCCGCGACGCTCGAGAGCCGCACGCTGGAGCTCCCCGCGAAGAAGGGAGCCGACGACGCCGAGAAGACGACGAGGGCGAAGAAGAAGGGCCCCGCGCGGAAGCGCGCGCCGACGAACGCGAAGCGGCGGCGGCCCGGGCGGGCCAAGCCGAAGCGATAACACACGACAGGTTTTTACATAAAGGGGGGGAGGTCTATTCACAGGGTCGGGTGCACCGGGAACGGGTAGGACCCGTCGATGCAGACGAAGGCGCGGTCGTCGCCGAGGAGCGCGACCTGCAACCGCCAGCCGCGGTAGCCGAGGTCCTTGAGCGGCAACGCGCACGACACGCAGAGCTTCCAGAGGTCCGACGACAGCGGGAGCCGGTGGCCCACGTTGAGGAGGAAGGCGACGTCCTTGCGGCAGCGCGCGAGGAGCGCGTTCTTCGCGTAGTTGCCCGGCCGGTCGTCGCCCTCGTCCGCGGTCTCCGGCGGGAACCACGCGCTGAAGCCGCACCGGAGCGCGACGGAGCTCGCGTGGCGCCGGAACCGCTCGAGGACGACGTCCTCGTCCTCCGACTCGGCGGCGTCGAAGGACCCGGACCGCGTCCGCAGGTCGTGGACGCTATCCGCCGCCGCGGCGCACTTTTGTTCCAGGACCAGGAGCTGCTTGTACTCGGCGCTCACGTCGACGCCCCCGGCCACGAGCCGCCCGTCGAAGCCGTAGGGGCTCGCGCGGGCGGCGCTCGACGCTCTCCACGGTTTGAACATGGCCCGCCACTGCTTGAGGGACTCGCTTCTCGCGGCGGCCATCGGCCCTTCGACGCCTGGCGCGGCTGGCAGACCTGGGTGCGCTTCACGGGCGAGGCGCGGGCGACGGCGGCGCGCCTGGGCAGGCGCCGCGAAGGATTGAGTTGCTCCAGATTTAGTGGCAACACTCGCAACGGCAAGATGCCTTGTTGTTGCACCGATAGACCGATCGACTGGAGCCGTTGCACAGCGGTGGTGTGGCATCCGTTGCCGAGCTCCGGAGCATGATTAAAGGAGCGGACGACCGCCGGCGGCGGCTCGCGGCGTGCGGGGCCGTCTGAGACGCGCGCTCCGCGGACGACCGCCGCGGCGGCGACGCTGCCGTCGCTGCACGTCATCAGGGGCCCACCGGAGATGGGCGGGGCGCGCCGCACCGTGGAACACCGAGCGCGCTTACCGATCCCCCCTAGTCGCTCATCATCATGTTGACGTACTCGCTGTAGTTGATGAGGCCCGACCGGTCGGGCTCGAGCTGGCTGACGAGGTCATGGGCCTGCTCGTCCGTGAGCTTGTCCGTGCCGTCGTTGGTCAGGGCGCGGATGAGCACGTCGACCTTGATGTGGCCCGAGGGCGCGTCGCCCTCGAAGACCTTGAACGCGTTCTTGACCTGGTCGGCCGTGTACGTCGCCGAGACCTTTCGGCTCATGACGGCGACGAACTCCTCGAAGTCGATCTCGCCGTTGTTGTCCTGGTCGATCTCGTGGATCATCAGGTCGATCTCCTCGGGCGTCGCGTCGATGCCCAGCGTGTCCATGAGCTCGCCGAGCTCCTCCTTCGTGATGGTCCCGCCGCCGTCGCGGTCGACGAGGTTGAAAATCTCCCGGAACTCGGCGAGCTCCTCGTTGCTCAGGTTGTGGGCCATGGGTCCGGCCCCGGCGCCTCGGACGCCGGCGACGGGCTGCGAACGCTGCCGAACGGGCGCACCGGCGTGCGGGGCAGCGTCTTCGCGGCGGTGCCGGATACGGGTGGGGCAACCAGAGGACATATAGGCCGACTTTGCCGATCGAGATTATGGCTCGAGCGTGCGAGGTGTAGCTTGCTCTAAGCTTGCAGAGCGCTGCAGCCATGGCGTCGCGCTTGGCGCGCATCGCGTCCAAGGCCGACGCGGCCCTGGACGGGCGCTACGACTCCACGTCCTCGGAGGAGGAGGAGGAGATGCGCGCCGTGCCGCGCGGGTGCCTCGGCAAGGTCGGCGCGGCCATGGTCGCGAGCGCCAAGGCCGGCGAGGACGAGTACGCGCGGCCCGACGGCGAGCGCTCCTCCGTCGTGGACCAGGCCCAGTTCCGGAACCTGCAGGTCGGCGTCGGCTACCGCGCATCGTTCGTCGTCCGCCAGCCCGGGTCCGAGCCGCCGCCGGCGCCCGCGGCGAAGCGGCGGCGCGAGCCCGAGGCGCCCGCCGCGCCGCCGAAGAAGGCGAAGAAGGAGAAAAAAGAGAAGAAGAAGAAGAAGCACAAGAAGAAGGATAAGAAGAAGCACAAGAAGAAGAAGGGCGCGTCGTCCTCGAGCAGCGACGACGACGACGACGACGCCGCCGCGGCCGCCGCCGCCGCCGCCGTCGACGCCGACGGGCCCATCGACGGCGAGGCGCCGCGGAAGCTCGCGCTCTTCGAGGCGCTGCTCCTCGACAGGTGCGCCGCGCTCGACGCGGCCGAGGAGCGGCGGCGCGCGGCCCCAAAGGGCGCGTCGTCGCTCGCCGACGCGGGGAGCGCGCTGCTCGACATGTAACTCCCGGGCGCCCTAGTAGGTCCGCTCGTGGACGAAGAGGAAGCCGTCCTCCGTGCGCGTGACGCGGAGCGCGTCGGAGACGTAGGTCGAGATGAGGCTGACGGTGTGGGCGTTGGGCGTGAGCTTGAGGGCGTCGGAGACGGCGTCGAAGGCGTTCTGCGTCGGGAAGGCGACGTCGCTGAGGAAGCCGAGGCCCGGGAGGGACGCGATCGTCGAGTCCTTGACCTCCGTCTTCTCCAACGTGAGCCGGAGCCCCGTGGCCGTGGGCGCGCACGTCGCCGTCGACGTCATCACCGAGCGGCCCACGGGCGGCAGGTTCGGCAGGGGCTCGATGGCCAGATCCACCTCGGAGACGAGCGAGCTGCCCGTGATCGTCTGCGTGGCCTCGCCCACGGTGTAGAAGAGGCCGAGCGCGTCCGTCACGGCGTAGATGCCGTCGGCCAGACCGTCGCTCTTGGCGCCGGGCACGGGCGTCGGCGAGTTCTTGCCGTCGAGGAGGCGCGAGAAGCCCCAGAAGAAGGGCGACGACCGGTAGATGCCCGGCTCCGACGAGTAGACGAGGCTCCACGTGCCCTCGAGCTCGTAGGGCTCGAAGGGCGGCGCCAACGCCTCGAGGTCGCCGACGAGGGCCGCGACCTCATTTCGGTCCGCCGCCGACGCGGTCGCGCCGCGCTCGAGGCCCAGGCACCGGTCGAGCAGCGCGCGCTCCGCGTCGTACGCCGCCTCCGGGTCGACGACCGCGGCCGGCGCCGCGGCCGCGTCCTGGACGTCGCTCGGCCAGTCGCCCTCGGCGGGGCCGGCGCCCGCGGGCGGCGCGCTGCCGCCGGCGTCCTCGACGTCGCTCGGCGCGTCGACGTCGGCGACTTCCGGCTCGAAGGCCGCCGCGGGCTCGTCGGGCAGCGTCGAGTCGCTGGGGTAGTCGTCGCCGTCCTCCTCCATGGAGAAGCGCCGCAGCGACCGGAGCGGCGACGCGCCGCGGCGGACGACATTGACGAAGGCCTGGCAGGCCGCCGCGAGCCACAGCAAGCGGCGCATCACCATTGTTGATGCGCTCTCGATCTCGAGGACCGGCGCCGCGGCCTCCCGGGCGCCCGTGGCAGTGGCAGAGGACCGCCGCCGTCGACGCGGGACACCGAGTCGTTTCGGCGGACGCGGACGTCGTCCTGTCGTCGTCACACAGTTTTCTCCAAAACCGCAGAGCCGTCACGTCCGCGCGGCGCCGTGCGCCGTTTTTTGCCACTAAAAGAGCATGTTCAGCCGCGACTCGCGCCGCCGCAACAAGGAGGCCTTCCTCCAGAAGATCGGGGCCCACGCCAAGGGCGACGACGAGCGGTTCCTGCGCAAGGTGCAGCAGCACGGCGACCTCGAGCAGCGCGTCTACGACGCGCAGCGCGCCGTCTACGACTACTCGTGCGCGGTCCACGCGCTCGCGGCCGCGGGCTGCCGCGTCGCCGCGGCCCTCGAGGCGCTGGGCGACACGTCCGACGACGCGGCGACGCACCGCGAGCTCGCGGCCTACGTGTCGCGCGCGGCGGACGGAAGGGACGTCGGCGGCCCGGCCGCGCTGCACGCGTTCCGCGAGATGGTCGACGAGCCGCTCGCGGCCGCGGGCCGCAACGCGACGGCCGTGGACCTCGTGACGAAGCGCCGGGACTGCCGCCTGGACCGCGACAGCTTCGCGACGCGGAAGCTCGACGACCGCCTCGACGAGGCGAACTGCAAGCTCGACGGTCTGACGGGGGCGTGCGAGGCCGAGTTCGACGCCTTCCGGGGCCGCGTCGGCGCCGCGGTGACGCGCGTCCTGGGCGCGCTGGGCGGCGTCGAGTGCGCCTGGGCCTGCGGCGTCGCGGGGCCCGCGACGGCCGCGTGCGAGGACGTCGCGGACCGCGGGTCGCCCGCGCTCAAGACGTTCTCGTCCGCGGCGCTCGCGCGCGTCGCCGCGCACCGCCGCGACCTCGCGCGGGCGCGCGACGCCGAGGCGACGCGGCTCGCCGAGGAGACGGCCGCGGCCGCGGAGGCCGCGGGCCTCGAGGCCGCGGCCGCGGCCGCGCCGCCGCCGGAGCCCGCGACGCCGCCCGCGGCGTCGCCGCCGAAGCGCCGCGACTCCGTCAAGATGCCCACGGGCCGCGCCGAGGCGCCGCCCCTGCCCACGGGCGACCGCCCCGCGCCGCGGCTCCCCGCGCGGCCGACGCCCGCGGAGCCGCCCGTGGAAATCGTCTCCGCGCTCCACGCCTACGCGGGCCAGCGCTCGGGGGACCTGTCCTTCGCCGCGGGCGACCGCATCACCGTCGTCTCCAAGAAGGCCGACGGCTGGTGGATCGGCTTCGTCGACGACCCCAGCGCGAAGGGCGAGTTCCCGAGCAACTACGTCGCGCCGCCGCCGCCGCCGTGAGCCTCCTTTTGTTAATTGAAAATCTACGCCGCCCCGTGAGCCGTACGTGTTAATTTCTAGCTTCCGCCCGGCGGCGCCCAGTGCGCCGCGACCTCGGCGAGGACCTCGTGCGGCAACGCGTCGCCGAAGCACTTGCCGAGGATCGACACGAGCACGCCGCGGTGGTGGCGGACGAAGCCCGCCCAGTCGTCGGCGACGCGGACGAAGCGCTTGGCGAGGGAAAGCGTGGCGGTTTTGCGTACGGGTGAAGTCGGGACCTCTACTTTCTGAACGAACTCTTTCGGGAGAATTGCACCGGCTCGAAGCAGGTCGAGGAGGATTCCGCGTCGTCCAAGGATCACCGCCATGCCGACAGGCGAATGCTTGAATTGATCGAAGCTCGAGCCCGGCGCGTACCAAAAATTGACATCTGCGCCTGCCTCGAGCAGCGCGGCGACCGCAGTAGAGATTCCCCGATTCGTCGCGTAATCCAAAACCGAATTATTGTTGCCGTACCGAATGTTCACGTCAGCTCCGGCGGCTATTAGAAAGTTGACAAATCTCATATTCACTTCTATCTGTTGGGTTTTTGTACAAAGGGCGATATAGAGTAATGGCAGACTTAGATCAGATATTATCACATGGTCGATATCAGCGCCTGCATCCACTAGTTTTCTAAGAGCATCTAGATCACCATCATAAACAGCGTCCCAAAGAAGGTCGTCGATCTCCTTAGAATTTGGCATGGGGGGTTTGGTACGCACACGGCGCGCCGCCGCTCTGCGGGTTTGGGCACCGCGCCGCCGCTCTACTACTGAATCGCTCAAAAATTGCCACTGGTCCAAGCTCCTGTTTCGATGGCCCCGTCGACAAAAATGGCCGACCCCGTCGACGAAATTCCCGAGGAAACACCCACGCCCGACATCGAGACCCTCAGTTGGTGGTGGACGACGGTCGAGAAACCAAAAAGACCGAAGAAAATGATCAGGCCCTTGGAGCACAAGGGGTTTATCAAGCGGCCCCGCGAGGCCGAGGCCGAGGCCGAACACGAGGCCGACGCGCCGGCGCCGAAGCCGAAGCCCCTGAACGTCGCGAACGTCCCCCTCCCGCCGATCCCCAAGGCCGCGGACGTCGAGCGGCTCCCGCCGCAGCTCCGCGCCGCGGTGCGCCAGATGCCGCTCCACCGGGCGTCGTACCGCGAGGAGAAGTTCAAGCTCCTCGTCCTGCGCGAGGCCTGGAACGTCGAGCTCCACGGCCTCGTCATGCTCTACCACGCCGTGCGGCACCGCGACGTCGCCGCCGTGGGCATCCTCACGCGCGCGGGCGCGAAGGAGACGGCCTCGCTCGTCGAGGAGCGGGGCGTGTCCGCGATCACGCTCGCCATGGACATCGGCGAGTCGGGCCTCGTGAAGACGCTCTACGCGAACGGCCTCGGCGGCCGCGACCTCGCGCGGCGCCGGGGCGGCGACCTCTACCGGTCGGACAGCCCCGAGCGGCTCCCGGAGCTCGGGGGCTTCGTCGGCGCGCCCGCGCGCGCCGCGCGCGCGCTCGGCCGCGCGCTCCGGCGGCGCCGCGCGCCGGCCCAGGCCGGCGGCGACGTCGCCGCGCTCTGGGCCCAGCTCGAGCGCGACCTGCCCGTCATCAACACGAAGGCGCACGTCGACCTGTTCCGCGTGCGGCTCCGCGAGTTCGCGCTCGCCTTCGGCCCGCCGGGCAAGGTCGCCGCGGACGCGCCGGGCTTCGCGCTCCGGGGCCCCCGGGGCCGGTGCCTGCTCTACCTGGCCGTCGCGCGCGACGACGTCCTCGGCGCGTCGCTCATCCTCCAGACCGCGCGCATCTTCCGCCTCGACGACGGCCGCGAGGCGCCGCTCCGCGACGCCGTCCACCCGGACCACGCGACGACGGCCGCGGGCCTCGCGCGGCGCCGCGGCCACGACGAGCTCGTCAAGCTGCTCGCGGTCCAGAAGCACGCGGACCTCGTGCCGTCGCGGCGCAAGAAGGCGTACCGGGTGCGCGCTTACGACTACGCGACGTGCGCGGACCACGAGGTGCTCGCGCCCGAGACCGTGCGCTGGCTCAACGCGGACCTGAAGGCCGACTTCCTCGAGAAAAACCCGGCGCTCGTGAAGAAGCGGACGTCCGGCGTCAGTGCGAAGCTCCTCAAGAGCCTGCCCACCTTCCAGACGTCCCCGAAGCCGGCGCCCCGGAAGCTCTCCGACATCCTCGCGCCGGCGCCCGACGTGTGGACGCGGCCCGTCGCCGCCATGTCCGCGCCCCCCGCGGCCTCGCGGGACTCGACGCCCGCGGCGTCGCCGGCCGCGTCGCCCGCGATCATGGCGCGCGAGCTGCCCAGCTACGGCGCCGCGCGGCGCGCGCCCCTCTCGGCCTACTAGACATAACACGTACGCGCGCGGCTTCGGAACAGACAGTGAAACGCGCGCGCCGAGAACGATGGGCGATAAGACGAGACACCCGTGGTTTGTCGTTTATCGGCGCGCCGCTCCTAGAAGCAGGAGAGCTGGGACCAGTCGAAGACGCAGGACGCGTCGTCGTCCGGCGGCTCGACGCGGGCCTCGGCGGCGACGACGCCGCCCTCGCCGTCGTCGTCGACGACGAGGGCGAAGCAGCTCGGGTCCCAGCAGGCCGGGTACTCGTCCTCCTCCTCGCCGTCGCCGGTGACGAGCTGCGCGTCCACGGGGCTCCGGGGGCACGTCCGCCGGCCCCCGGCGCGCGGCGGCGAGCCGTCGCGCGCCGCGCCGCGGGCCGGCGACGGGCCCCGGCGCGCGCCCTTCTCCGCGAGGCCCGTCTTCTGCTTGTAGATCTCGAGGATCTTGGACATGGGCGTGCCGCGCGGCGCGCGGAGGAGCACGACCTCGCCCGTCGAGCGGTTGTGCGCGCGGACCGTCATCATGCCCCCCTTGGGCCCGCCGCCCGTGGGCGGCGGCTCGTCCGTGGAGTCGCCGTGGTCCACCGTCGGCGCCTCGTCGCCGCCGTCGTCGTCCGTGTCCGACGCGTAGGACTCGCTCGCGCCCTCGCCCTCGTCGGTCCAGTGGGGGTCGCCCTCCTCGTCGTCGTCGGGGACGGGCACGGGGACGGCCTTGGTCTCCAGGGCGCTCATCGATATGTGGGTGTTGCGTCGAGTCCCGGCGCTGCCTCTCGGCTTTTGGCGGCAGGATGGGGCAGCCCTCGTCGCGTGTTTTTTGACGTGTGAGAGGGTCGATGGTACCGCGGTACCGAAGCCGAGGATTTCATTGCATTGAACCTCGAGAGTCCGTCGCGTCGACGCCGCCTCGCACGGCGTGCACGAGCGCATCCGGCGACCGTCACGTAGCGTCGCGACCGCGCGCCTTCGCGCTTGCGACACAACAAAAGCGACCATGGGCGCGCCGAAGAACGCGCTGCAGCTGCCGATGAAGCTGGAGGACTACAAGCCCGTGTCCTACGCGACGACGGCCTGCCTCTTCGCCATCGCCATCGCCGGCTGGGTCGCGACGTGGTGCGCGCAGATGGCCTTCACCTACAGCGTCGGGCTGACCATGAGCAAGAAGCGCCTCGAGTTCTGGAACGGCTACATCTTCCGGCTCCTCGCGGCGGCGCCCGTCGCGAACCTCACGCCCGGCGTGACCGTGACCAAGACGCGGACCTCCTGGACGCCGACCAAGGCCATGACGGACGGCAAAAGCCCCGTCATGGTCATCTGCAACCACCGCTCCTACATGGACCCCTTCGCGCTCGCGTCCGCGCTCCTCCCGCTCGAGACCAAGTACGTCGCGAAGAGCGACCTCTTCAAGGTGCCCTTTGGGGGCTGGGCGATGAAGAACGCGGGCGACCTCGCCGTGCGCTTCGACGCGAACAAGAACGCGGGCTGGGGCACGGTCAAGGGGAGCACGGGCCAGCTCCTCGCGCAGGCGGCCGCGCACTTCGAGGCGGGCAACTCCGTGTGCATCTTCCCCGAGGGCGCGCGCATGGGCATCAGCGACGAGAAGTGCCTCGAGGCCAAGGCCCACCCGTCCAAGCTCATGCTCTTCAAGCCCGCCTTCTTCGACCTCTGCAAGAAGCAGGGCGTGCCCGTCGTGCCCGTGTCCATGATGGGCACGGACGAGGTCTGGCCCTGCGGCGCCATGTCCATGCGGCCGGGGAACATCGTCGTCCACGTCGGCGAGCCCCTCAAGGGCGAGGACTACGAGTCCGACCAGGCCTTCTGCGACGCCGCGCGCATGGCCGTCGGCAACGGCTACCTCGACCTCGTCAAGGCCGCCTAACTTCTTCCCCGAGCTCAGGTCATGAATGATGCGAACCTTCTTCGATACTGTACCGTCAAGGTTGTGCTTTGGGACCGCAGCTAGGGGACTCGTGTACGCCTAGGGGCACGCGCCCTAAGGAAGCGGGTTCCCGTTGCCCCCGAGGCGCCGAACCGCGGCGGGCCGGCCGCACTTGGCCGGCGCCGCCGGCGGGAGCCGCGCCTCGAGGGTCCGGGCCAGCTCGACGGCGAACGCGTAGACCGCGGCGTCCGGGCCGTTCGCGGCGACGAGCCGCCGCGTCTGGTCCGCGTCGAAGACGATGGACTCGTCGCCCTTGCCGAAGGACTGGCGCATCTCGTCCCGCGGCGGCTCGCACCAGCCGAGGCGCCGGAAGAGCTGCTGGAACGACGCGTCGAGCGTCTCGAGGATGAGGACCGCGTCGAAGGCCGCGAGCGCGTCCATGGCCGCCGCGGCGTGGCGCGCCGTGACGCCGCCGGGCCCGACGCCGGCGTAGACGTCGGCGCCGAGCAGGGACCGCACGTAGAAGTTGTCGACGACGGCCGTGCCCTCGCGCACGAGCATGTCTCTGTCGAACGACGGCGCCGAGAGCCAGCCCAGGGCCTTGGCGCTCGGGATGCGCTCGAAGCGGCAGTGGCTCACGATGCGCTTGATGGGGTCCCGGAGCACGGTGACGAAGAAGAAGTCGCGCCGGCACTTGAGGGCCGTGCCCGCGTCGAGCCAGCGCTCGACGGCGACGAAGTCGACGGCCGTCTTCGCGGCCCACCGCTTGCGCCCCGCGCAGTCGCCGTCGAGCTGCCCGTTGGCGTAGCCCGCGACGCCGTCGAGGAGCGTCCGCGGGCCGTCGCCGGCCATGTTGCAGTTCCGCTTCGCGGCGCGGAGCTTGTTCGACATCCGCGCGACGTGGCAGACCGTCGTGCCGCCGGCCTTGTGCAGGTGCAGGAAGTAGGGCAGCCGCGCGTCCGTGGCCGGGAACGTGCGCGCTCCGACGGCGGCGAGGAGCGCCCGGCCGTGGGCCTCGAGGTCCGTGCCGTTCCGCGCGGCGGGCGGTTTCGGCTTCGGGAGCGGCGGTTTCGGCTTCGAGAGCGGCGGTTTCGGCTTCGGGAGCGGGGGCGCCGGCAGCCCGGCGACGTGAGCGTCGAGCCGTGTTTGCAGCGCTGCGACCGTCTCCGTGATCTCCGTGACCTTCTCGCCGAGCGCGACGACGTCGGTGGGTGGTGGCTCCGGCGCCCAGCTCGTCGCGCGCGGCAGCGGCGACGCGCGCGACGACGCGGTCTCCGGCGGGCGCGACCGCCACGCCAGGAGCCCGGCGACGACAACGAGGCCCACGAGCGTGACCTTGTTGGTCGAACTCGTCCTGCCGCCGGGCTGCCCGCGCGGCGAGACCATCGACCTTGCCGCCGCTCTTGGTAAAGGTGACGCCTCTGTTGGCGTGGGAGAGCGTTTTTGAATTATGCTTCCTGAAGGTTTCAGCCTCGACGGACGCTCCGAGCAAGCCAACGGACTCAGACGCCGCGCCGAGCAAGCCAATGGACTCGGACGCCGCGCCGAGCAAGCAGGCGGACTCGCCGAGCAAGTCTACGGCCGCCGCGCCGAGCAAGCAGGCGGACTCGCCGAGCAAGTCTGCGCCCACCGCGAAGCCGACTGACTCGCCGCCGGCCAAGAAGGAGGCCACGAAAAAGAAGGCCGCCGGCGCCTGGACGTCGACGGTCAAGAAGTCGCTGGCGCGCGCCGAGGCCGCGGCGCGCGACGCCCTGGCGGAGAACGACGCGTCGACGGCGCGCGTCGAGGCCGTGCTCTGCGGCCTCGACGAGTGGCCGACGCAGGCGCGGCCGAACGTGTCGCCGAACGAGAAGCCCGTGACGGGCATGTGCCTCGGCGCGGTGAACGTCCTGGGCGGCGTCGGCATGCAGGTGTCGGCCGTGAGCCAAAACTTCCCGAAGCTCACGGAGCTCGTGGCGGCGTGGACGCGCGCGGAGCTGCCGGGCTTCCCCTTCAGCAGCCTGCAGATCAACTACAACTACGCGGCGAAGAAGCACGTCGACGGCAACAACATCGGCCCGAGCTACATCGTGAGTTTGGGGGACCACGAGGGCGGCGGCCTCTGGGTCGCGGACACGTTCGTCGAGAAGGCGACGGACGACGGCGGCACGGTGCTCCGCGGCGGCGGCGGCGAGGCCGTCGTCGAGTGCCACCGGCGCTGGTCGCTCTTCGACGGCAACAGCGAGCACATGACGCTGCCCTTCTCGCCCGCGGCGAACGGCGGCATGACGCGCGTCTCCGTCGTCGCCTTCAGCCACTCGTCCTACAACAAGCTCGACGCGGAGACGGCCGCGGACATGGCCGCGCTCGGCTTCACGGCGGGCTCGAGCGACGGCGCGGAGCTCGACTACTTCAAGCCCTTCCGCATCGACAAGAGCGAGCTCGCGGGCGACGCCTTGGACTCGTATTTGGAGCTCCGCGCGGCGCGCAAGGCCGCGCGGCCGCCGCCGACGGGCGCGGGCGCCGTCGGCATCGAGTGCAACGGCTACTCCGCGGGCAAGGGCGCGGGCTGGTTCTCCTTCGTCGGCGGCCAGGCCGCGAAGAAGCGGCGCATCGACGCCTTCTTCAAGCCCAAGAACGCCGCGCCAAAGCCGGCCGGGCCCGTGACCTACGAGCTGCCCAAGGCGACGAACAAGGTGAGCACGAACCTCGAGCAGCCCGCGACCATCGACGGCGACAACGTCGTCCGCGTGGAGCTGCCCAAGAACCGCGTCGGCCTCTGGTACCTCGAGCTCGACCCGAAGCCGTCCGGCGCGCTCCAGTGCTGCGCGCTCGAGCGCTTCGACCTCTACAACGACGCGACCTTCGTCCAGAGCGACGCGTTCCACGCGCACGTCGCCGCGCTCCCGCCGGGCCGCGTCGTCCTCATCTCCATCACGGACACGGCCATGGCGAAGACGCGGCCCCTGCCCAAGAAGGTCTACGACACGCTCCGCCTCCTCGGCGCGCCGGACCACATCGAGCCCATCGGCTACCGCATGCCCTTCGCGTTCATCGGCGCCAGGGGCGCGGCGCCGGGCGCCGCGTCCCTCGCGCTGGACAAGACGAAGGTCATCCTCCGCCTCGAGGCCTCCGCCAAGCGCGACGGCGACGGCGCCGTCGTCATCGCGGACCAGAACGAGGAGCGCACGGACATCACGGAGCACGTCCTCACGAGCGGCGCGCCCGCGGACGCCGCGCCGGCGACCGAGTAAGCGAGCTAAAAGTACTGCAACAACCTCGAGGTGGCTGAAAAAGCTGCCCGCTCTATCAGTCTGGTTCACTGGGCTGGCCGCGCCGCGCGCATCGTTCCAGCGGGCGGCGGGCGCCGCGCCGCGCGCGGGGTCCGCTCATGCTCGCGGGCCGCGCCGTCGCGCGGCGCGGCGCCGATGCCGTCGAGTGGTACCGCAGGATGCTGGCCGAGCGCCCCATCGCGGCGAACGCGGTCACGTGCGGCACCCTCTACGCGGCGGGCGACGGCATCGCGCAGCACCTCGAGCGCGCCTTCGGGCTGCAGTCGCCGGGCAAGAGCCAGTACAACTGGCGGCGGACGCTGCGCGTCTTCGTCGGCGGCGCGTGCTTCGCGGGCCCGGCGCTGGCCCTCTGGTACCCGCGGCTGCACGCGATGACGGCGCCGGCCCGGCGGAAGCTCATCCCCATCCCCCGGACCATGCACCCGAGGCTCGGCGCCCAGCTCTACGAGAAGGTGCCCTGCGAGAGCCCCTGGAAGAACGTCGCCGCGAAGATCTTCATGGACAACGCGTTCTTCCAGGCGCCCTTCCTCACGGGCTACTTCTGCCTGCTGGGCGCCCTCGAGGGGCTGAGCCCCGCGGAGATCAAGGCCAAGGTGAAGCGCGACTTCCACGACGCCTGGTGCTACTCGACCTTCGTCTGGGCGCCCGTCGGCTGCGTGAACTTCCTCCTCACGCCCGTCTACCTCCAGCCCGTCGTCATCAACACGATCCAGGTCTTCTGGCAGACCGCGCTGTCGCTCTGGTACCACGCGCGCGACTACGGCCCGGACGCGCCCGCGAGCTAACATTTCCCGGTTGTTGACGATTCCAAGGCTGAACAACGCATGGGCAGCCGCCCGTGCTAGGAAGCCCGAGTTCGAGCAACACACCGACGCAGCGATGGGCGCCGGAGCGAGCGCGCTGAGCGGCGAGGGCGCGGACGTCATCGGCGGCAAGCTCACCGTGGAGGTCGCGAGCGGCCACGACCTGCTCGCCGCCGACGGCGGCATGTTTTCCAAGAAGACGTCCGATCCCTACGTCAAGGTGACGCTGGGCAGCGCCGTCGTCGCCAAGAGCGAGGTCGCCAAGAAGGACCTGAACCCCGTCTGGAACCTGAGCGCGGAGTACAACGTCGGCCCGAGGGCGCGGAAGACGCCGACGCTCGTGTTCACGGTCTACGACTACGACATGGTGGGCAGCGACGACCCGCTGGGCGCCGCGGAGGTGCCCCTCAAGCAGCTCCTCGGCGGCGCGGTCTTCGAGCGGAAGCTCGCGCTCCAGCCGTGCACGGGCTGCAAGAAGGCCAAGGGCGAGATCGCCGTGCGGCTCGCGTTCCTCGCGAGGAAGGCGCTGACGCTGACCAAGGGCGGCGCGATCGACGTCGAGAACGCGGGCCACCTCGCGCTCGCCATGGGCTGGGACATGCTCCCGGGGAACCAGGCCGTCGACGTGGACGCGTCCGTCGTCGCGTTCGACGACCGGGGCCGCGTGCTCATGGACGAGGTCGTCTACTTCGCGGACCTGATCAACTCCAACAAGACCATGGTCCACTCGGGCGACGAGCAGGAGGGCGACGAGGACCTCGGCTGCGGCGACGACGAGGTCATCCGCATCAACACGAAGGGCCTGTCGTCGCGGGTCAAGGCTTTGATGCTCGTCGGCACCGTCGCGACCGAGGGCAAGACGTTCCAGGACATCCGGTCCGCGCGCGCGCGCGTCGTCAACCTCGACACGGACGACGAGCACTGCCGCATCTACCCCGCGACGGCGGGCGCCTACACGTGCATCATCGTCGCGTGCCTCTTCCGCACGGGCCCCGCGTCGTGGCACCTGAGCGTCATCGACGACTACGATTCCACGGCGCGCGACTTCGGAAGTGTCGTCCCCGAGCTCCAGGGCTACCTGAAGCCGCTGATCCCGTCCGTCGAGGTCCGGGAGCAGGACCGCGTCGCGCTCATGCGAAAGGGTGGTACGGTCGCCCTTTCCGACTTCGCGGCGACGGCGTCGCCCGACCTGACCTTTGGCCTCGCGTGGGACATCACGAACGGCGCCAACATCGACCTCGACGCGTCGGCGATCTGCCTCGACGCGAACCTGCGCTGCGTGGATCTGGTGTTCTTCCAGAAGCTGCGATCGACCTGCGGCGGCATCCAGCACGGCGGCGACGAGCGCGAGGGCGACGAGAAGGGCGACGACGAGAAGATCCACCTCCACCTGAACCTCATCTCGCCGAGCATCCAGTACATCGGCTTCTGCATCAACTCCTACTCGGGCCAGGAGCTCGACGACGTCTCGAAGACCGTCGGCCACCTCTACACGACGGCGACGATGAAGGACCTCGCGAGCTACAAGCTCTCCGGCGACCGCTCGCTCGACAAGAAGACGGCGCTGATCATGGCCGTCCTCTACCGCGACGTGTTCACGAACCCCAACGAGTGGTGCTTGCGCATCTGCTCCGTGCCCGCGATGGGGCGCACGGCCCAGGACAACGTCGACGAGCTCCAGCGCGAGCTCCAGCACAACCCCATCAAACCGGTCAGGCGCCGCGCGCCGATCCCGGCCATGGTCTTGCAGCCTCCTCAGGGCTACGCGCAGCCGCAACCGGGGCAGCCCGCGATGTACGCGCCGCAGCCGGGGCAGCCCATGTACGCGCCGCAGCCGGGGCAGCCCGCGATGCAACAACCGGGGCAGCCCATGTACGCGCCGCAGCCGGGGCAGCCCGCGATGCAACAACCGGGGCAGCCCATGTACGCGCCGCAGCCGGGCCAGCAGATGTACGCGCCTCAACCCGGCCAGCAGATGTACGCGCCGCAACCAGGCCAGCAGATGTACGCGCCGCAACCAGGCCAGCCGATGTACGCGCCGCAGCCCGGGCAGCAGATGTACGCGCCGCAACCAGGCCAGCCGATGTACGCGCCGCAGCCCGGGCAGCCCATGTACGCGCCGCAGCCGGGTAACCAGCCCTTCTAGGAAACCACCCGTTCGAAGCAGGTCCCTTACAGACAGTGGGGGCCTCGATCCGGCTCAGAAGCGGAGGTAGTTCGCGATGAGCGTGTCGACCTGGGGGAAGATCTCCGCGGGCTTCTTGGCCGCGTCGACGAGCTTGACGACGGGCTTGTAGTGCTCGAGGAGGGGCGTCGTCATCTCGTGGTAGCCCTTGAGGCGGCTCTGGAGCGCCTCCTTCGTGTCGTCGGCGCGCTGGCTCAGCGGCTCGCCGGACTCGTCGTCGAGCATGGTCTCGGCCGAGGGCTCGGCGCCCTCCGCGAGGGACTTGGGCGGCTTGAACTTGGCGTGGTAGGACCGGCCCGACGCCTTGTGGATCCAGCGGCCGCAGATGCGCTCCTCGAGGTCCGCGTCCGGGACCTCGAGGCGCAGCACCATGGTCACGGACTCGCCCTTGGCCGCGAGCAGCGCGTCGAGCTTCTCCGCCTGGCCCACCGTGCGCGGGAAGCCGTCGAGCAGGAAGCCCCGGTGGCAGTCCGGCTGGTCGATGCGGTCCTTGATGATCGCGACGACCAAATCGTCGCTCACCAGGCCGCCGCTCTTCATGACGCCGTCGGCCTCCTTGCCGACGTCCGTGCCCGCGGCGACGGCGGCGCGCAGCATGTCGCCCGTGCTCAGCTGCGGCGTGCCGAGCTGCTCGACGATGCGGGGCGCCTGCGTGCCCTTGCCGGCGCCCGGCGGGCCGAAGAGGATGATGATCGTGCGCTTCGTGTATTCCGTGAGCATGCCGCGGTAGCGCGTGACCTCGGCCTTGGCCGCCTCGAGGTCCGCGAGGTCGCTCGCATCCAGCGGCTTCGCCTTCTCGTCGGAGAGCGACGCGGCGGCGCCCATGGCTGCTGGGCTCTCAGAGCGTTAAAATAAATCTTCACAAAAAGGTTCAACGAAAAATGCACGTGGCGGCGCGCGCCGCTCCCCGCGCGAGAGACGAAGGCACAGGGGTGGCCGGTTTAAAATGGCGGCGCCCTCACGCCGCGCGGCCTTTGCGCCCCTGCGCGAGGAGGTGCGCGCGGTACGCGCCGGTGACGCCCGCGGGCAGCGGGGCCTTGGCGCGGAGGCGGCGCCGGCGGCGGATGGCGTCGTCGTTGGGCGCGTCGTCCGTGTGGGCGCGCTCCTGGCCGTAGTAGGGCTGCTCCTCGAGGCCCTCGGGGAGCGTGAGGTTGAGCGCGAGCATCGATTGCGCGAGCATGTTGATGTAGAGGGCCATCTGGACCTCCTGGTCCTCGCTGTCGAGGAGCCGCTCCTCCTGGTACTCGAGCAACCCCTCCTTCTCCCAGAGCTGGAACTCCTTCTCCTCGAGCACGGTCCGGACGTCGTCGAGCCCGAGCATGAGCGCCTCGCTGCTCTCCTTGAAGCTCGTGATGCGCGTCTTCTGCGCCTCGAGCGACAGGTCGTGCGCCGCCTTCCAGTCGTCGAGCTGGCTCGACATCTGCTTGAAGAGGTTCTGCGCGGGGGGGCGGCGCGGTCGCGCGGGGCGGGCGGCGCGCGGGGCGGCCGACGCGGCGCGCGCGCCTTGTAGTCGTCCTTCTCCGCCTTGAGGCGCATGTTCGTGCCCTTCATGGCCCCGCGGCTGTCCTTGAGCTTCGTCGAGTTGTGGTGCAGCCGCAGGTTCTCGGCGACGATGGTGCCGACGAAGGCCGCCACCATCAGCAGCACGACTTGGAAGAGCGTCTTCCGCGACACGATGACGTGCTGGGCGCCGCTGATGCACGTGAACTTCGACCCCGACGACTGCGGCTTCTCGCCCTTCTCTCCGTCCATTTTTTTTTTTTTTTTGCGGCGCGGCGCGACGACGGACGACGGCCAACTTGGCAAACTTTTGGCTCGCCGCGATGCCCACGCGGTCTCGCCGCAGGCGCAGGCGCGCGCGACTTGTCCGCGGCGCACGCCGCGCGCAAGGCGCCATAGGGTCTGGGACCGCACGCCCCCGCTGCTGCTCGGCTCTGGAAAACGACGATAAAGGGGGGGAAGCCCCGCCGCCGCGCGCCGCCGCGCGCGGTCCGGGAGCGCGAAGCCGCCCTAGTCCTGGTCCCGTTTCAGCTCGAGCGCGTCGATGTCCGGGCCGTCGGCGTCGTCGGTCTTCCCGGCGGCGCCGTAGTAGGGCTGGTCCGTGAGCCCCTCCGGGAGCGTCGCGTTCTTGGCCAGGAGCGCCGCGGCCATGCCGTTGATGAAGCCGCTCATCTCGAGCTCGAGGTCCTCCGTGTTCATGAGGCGCTCCTCCTGGTACTCGAGGAGGCCCTCCTTCTCCCAGAGCTGGAACTCCTTCTCCTCGAGGAGGTCCTGCATGGACTGGAGGCCCTCGAGGAGCCGCGTCGCGAGCTGGTGGAAGCTCCCGACCTGGTCCTTGCTCAGGTCTCTGTCCGTGCCCTTGCCCTCGTCCTGGTCGAGCTGCCACGTGAGCTTGTTGAAGAGGGCCCGGTAGTCCTCCTGCTCGCCCTCGAGCTGCTTGTTGCTCTTGGCGACGGACTTCGTCTTCTGGTGGAGGAACGTCTCGACGCGCCGCGAGTAGACGTGGTTCGACACGAGCACGCCCGTGAACCCGCCGAGGAGCGCCAGGAGCGACACGGCGAGGATCTTCTTCGGGATGATGAGGTGCGAGCTCCCGGACACGATCATCGCGCGAGGCGGTCGCGCCGCGCGGAGCGTCGCCGGCGCGCGGTCAAAAAAGGGCCGACGGCGGTCGCGGCAGTCGCCGGGCGCGGGTCACGGAGCGGGCGCCGGCGTCGACGAGTGCGTCGAATGCGTTCCCGCGTTGCGCCAACCGGCGGCTATCAATAATTATTGCGCGCAGCCCAAGCGATTGCGATGCGTGTTGGCGGCACTTCGGCTGCATCTTCGACCCGCAATCGATGTTGAACTCCGCCGCTCTGCGAAAAAACACCGCGTTACCAGTCGTTGAGGAACTGCTCCTCGCGCGCGTTCTGCATGCGGGCGCGGAGCTTCGACTTGCGCGGCGGCGGCTGGAGGGGCCCCATGGCCGGGGGCGCGGGCATGGGCGCGGTGAGCGTCCGGGAGAACATGCGCGGGTTGCCCTGCTTGTCGCGGGCGTCGCTCTTGCGCTCGATGGGCCCCGTCTTGGAGAACTTGGCCTTGCCCGGCGGCGACGGGAGGAGCGCCGCGGCCGCGGCGCGCGCGGCGCGCGGCGGCGACGCCGTCTCCGGCGCCGCGGGCTCGTCGATGAGCTGGCGGACGAGGTCCGTGACGGGCGACGCCACGACCTGGGGCGACGCCGGCGCGCCCGGCGGCCGCTTCGCCCGCGCGAGGACGCCCTTGACGTCGCGGCGGTGCTCGATCGCGAGCCACCGCTCCTCGAGCAGCTTCCCGATCTCGCGGAGCTCGGGCAGCGACGGCGGCGCCGGCGCGCCGTCGCTCGGCCGGGGCGCACCGCCCTGGGCGCGCTCGACGACGGCCTCGTCGACGCGGTCGAAGGTCGCCGTGAGGTCGTCGATCTCCCGGAGGAGGTCCTCGGCCTCGGCGTCGAGCAGGCTCCGCACCTCCGCGAGCACCTCGTCGAAGGTCTCGACGTTGAGGCTCTTGCGCAGGGCCTCGACCTCCTTGCGCCGCGTCGGCGCCTTGTCCGCGGTGCCCGGCCGCGCGGGCGACCGCGGCGCCTTCGACGGCGACGACTCGCGCGCCTCGGGCTCCGCGTCCGCGCGCTTGCTCGCGAGGTAGCGCCGGACGCGCGCGTCCTTCTCCGCCGACGGCGCCTCGCCCTGCTCGCCGAGGTAGTCCAAGAGCATGGCGATCTTGCGCTCGAGCATGTCGCGCTCGGGGCCGCCGCTGAGGAGCAAGGCGCCGCTCGCGGACCGCCGCGCGGCGTCGGCGCCGTCGTCGAGGGGCGCCGCGTTCTCCGAGGCGTAGCCCTCGACGATCTCCCGCAACGCGTCGGCCTCGGCGCGCAGGTCCCCGCACTTCTCCATGCGCTCCTCGCCCACGGCGCGCGCGAGCTCGGGCAGCTCCGACGCCGGCACGAGGGACGCGATGACGGCCCAGACGCCGGCCATGGCGCCCGCCCGGGTCGGCGTCGGCGGCCCCGCGGTCGCGTCCCCGGCCCCGGCCCCGGCCCCGGCGGGCGACCCCGCAGAAAAACGGCCTGGGGCGGCCGCCCAGCGTCGAGTTGTGTGTGAGTAGCTCTTCAACATATTCTAATATCTTTTTAACCGCACGGGAGCCCCGTCTTCTGCTGCCTCTCGCAGACCGACGACCTCCGCGCAGCGCCCCGGGGGATGAGCGACGCCGAGGGCCCCGCGCCCGCGCCGGCGGCGGACGAGGAGGCCCCGGGGCTCGCCGAGGCCGCGGGCGCCCGGCTCGAGGCGCTGGCCGCGGCGGCCCAGGGCGCCGCCGTCGAGGGCGGCGAGGCCGTGCGGGCGCGGCTCGTCGGGGAGGCCGCGCCCGCCGGGCTCCCCGGGGACGAGGCGCCCGCCGACGACGACGCGGCCGTCGCCGAGGCCGCCGACGGCGGCGACGGCGGCGCGCCGGACCGGGGGTCCGCGTCCGAGAGCTGCCGCGCGGTCGGCGCCGCGATGGTGCTCCCGCACGTCTTCGGCTGCCTCTTCTTCGTGCTCCTGCTCGTCAAGCTCCGGGACCCGCGATCGCTCGCCTGGGCCGCCGTCTTCCTGCCGCTCCTCTGCGCGGACCTGAGCTCCTTCGCGCGGCGCGCGGACGAGACGCGCGCGGCGCTCAAGGGCCTCGACGACGCGCGGGAGACGGGCGTCATCCCGCCCGACGCCCTCGACCAGATGCGCGGCGGCGCCGGCGGCGCGCCCGTCGCGCCGGAGAACGCCGGCGGCGACGTCGAGGCGCCGCCGCTCGCGCCCGTCGTGGCGCCCGCGGCGGCGCGCGCGCCGCTCGCGCTGTCCGAGCCGGCCCTCGCGCCCCTCCTGCTCAACGTCCTGCGGCCCGCGGCGCACGCCGTCGACGCCGTCGGCGTCGCCGGCGCCAAGGCCGCCGTCTGCGCCTACCTCAGCGGCGCCGCGGCCGCGTGGACCGTCGAGGAGCTGTTATTTCCGTTCTGGGCCGCGACGGTCGCGTCGTCCGCGCTCCGCGGGCTCGGCGGCATGCTCCGGCGGGACCTGGAGCGCCGCGCGCGCCTCGCGGACCTGCGGCGCCAGCGCGGCGGCGAGCTCGACGCGCCGAGCCGGCCGCGGCGCCGCCGCCGGCCCGACGTCGCGCCCGAGCCGCGGCCCGAGCCGGCCGCGGCGGCCCCGGCGACGCCCCGCGACGGCGACGCCGCGCCGGCGGCGGCGGAGACACCCGACGACGACGACGACGACGCGTCGCGCGCGGACGACGACGAGCCCGACGCGGCCGCGAAGCGCGCCGCGGCGTTCGCGTGCGGCTTCGTCGCGCACTGCGCGTGCCGCGCGGTCCAGCCGGCGCTCGTCGCCGCGAAGCTCGACGGCGACTTGGACGCGACCTGGGGCCTCGTCTTCGCGCCGGCCTGGGGCGTGCTGGCCATCTTCGTCGGCGTCGCGACGACGCTCTGCAACTGCGCGCCGCTCCTAAGCGCGGGCATGCCCGCGCGCGTGCGGCGCCGCGCCGTGCGCCTCGTGAGCCTGTGCGCGGCGCAGCTGCTCGTGCTCGCGGGCTGCAGCTTCCTCTTCCTCCTCGCGCGAGCCAGGGCGGGAAAAGGGTGCGAACTTCCCAACTTCAAAGGCTCCTCTCTCGGCCGTTTTCCGCTCGTTTCGGCTGATATTTGGACGAGCGATCATCCTTCGGAACGGTCTCGAAGCGTGGACGCCTTTTTCGGAACGCGCGCGCGCGGAACACTCACGTTGAAGCGACGTTGAATCACCCCTTTCCCGCCCAGGCGCTCGCGCGGCGCCTCGACGCGGACGAGGCGCACCGCGGCCGCGTCGACCGCGTCTGGGACCGGCGCGACTGCGGCGCGCTCGAGGCGGCGTCGCTCGCCGGCGACGCCTACGGCGCCCTGCCGGCGCTCAACGTGACGGCGGCCTTCGACTCGCTCTGCGGGGCGCTGGACAAGCGCGACGCGAAGTCGTCGCCGACGACGGACGCGATCCTGCTGCCCGTCATCTGCATGTACGCGGCGCTCTTCGTGCTCCACCCCCTCGTCCTCCGGGACAGCAAGAAGTTCCAGCAGGTCGTCCAGATCGTCGTCATCGAGGCCGACGACGGCCTCGCGGAGGCGCGCGCGCAGCTCGCGCGGCAGCAATTGCAGGGCGTCTTCGAGCTCAGCGGCGCGCCGCGGTCCATGATCGGCGTCGAGGACGATTCCGTGTTGGTGGAGGCCCTGGCCATGCCCACGCGGCTCCTCAAGCACTCGTCGACGCTCTACGCGCGCGCGGCCGTCGCGCCGCTCGACGTCGACGACGCGCTCCCTCCTCTCGGGCTCCAGCTCCCGGACCTCAAGGCCGCCGCGGCGCCCCCGGACCTCGACGACGCGCCGGAGACGCCGAGGAAGCCGCCCCGCAAGGTGCTGGAGGCGCCCGCGGCGCCGGAGGACGACGGCGCGGCCGCGGCCGGCGACGGCGGCGCCGCGCCCGAGGTCGGCGACGGCGACGACGACGACGACGCGAGCCTCGGGTCGTCGGCCTGCGAGTCGTCGATCTTCGACGACGGCGCGCTCGACGCGGACCTCGACGCGCCGCCGCCGCGCCGCGCCGCGTCGCCCGTCAAGGACAAGCACCTCTGCTACGTCTGCTGCCTCGCGCGGCGCAACGCGGTCATCATGGAGTGCGGCCACGGCGGCCTCTGCTTCGAGTGCGGCAAGTCGCTCGCCCAGCGCCACCCGCGTACGTGCCAGCGTCCTGTGGCCGTGAAGATTTTCGAGAGATTTTAGGTGGGAAAACAATGAAAACACCGTCATGCTTGGTAGGCACGTGCCCGATATGTCGCGGGCCCATCTCCTCCGTGCTGAAGGTCGAGCGCCGCGAGCGCGGCTCCTCGCTCGTCATCTCCAACGAGGGCGTCGTCGTCACGACGCGCGCGAGCGACGAGCCGCCGTCGCCCGCCGCCGACGACGCGGTCCCGCCGACGACGACGACGCTCTAGGTAGCGGCGTTTGTAAGCGGAACGATCTTAGCGTGGCGAGCGCATCGGTGGTCTCGTGGTATAGTGTCAGCGGCTTTGGGCTTTCGCGCGCGTGTGGAACCTGGCGGCTTTCTTGGCGGGCTTCTTAAGATCGAGAAAGCCATCGCCCAAGGAGGCTGGCTTCTTGCGACCCGTTGTCGGCATGGAGACGAAGTTGAGTCTGCATTTCCTCCTCGAGATTCCAGACGCGCGCCGTTTTATCCTGGCTCGCAGTGATCGCGCGCTTGCCGCAAGGCGTAACACAAATACCGTTGACCCAGTACGTGTGGCCCTCGAGCGTGAGAATGCACGTGCCGTCAACGAGATTCCAGACCTTGGCCGAATTGTCACCGCTCGCGGTGAGCGCGCGCTTTCCGTCGGGCGTGACGCAGATATCGTTGACCCAGTCCGTGTGACCCTCAAGCGTGAGGACACACTTGGCTGTATCGATGTGCCAGACTTTGGCGCTGTAGTCACGGCTCGCGGTGAGCGCGCGATTTCCGTCTGGCGTAACGCAAATTGATTCAATGTAGTGCTCGTGACCCTCAGGGTAGTGCTCGTGACGCTCAAGCGTGCGAAGTAATTTGCCAGTGTCGAGACGCCAGACTTTGGCCGTTGCATCGCGGCTCGCGGTGAGCACTCTCGCGTTGTCCACAACGCAGACAGAATTCACATAGTCTCCATGGCCCTCGAGAGTGAAAAGGAAATCATCCGTGGCGAGGTCCCAAATTTTGGCAGTTTTGTCGGCGCTCCCGGTGACGGCGTGCGTTCCGTCGAGAGTGAAGCACACGGCGCGGACAACTCCTGAATGACCTACCAGCGGGCGCAGACAGTTGCCGGTTTTGAGGTCCCAGAGCTTGGCGGTGTTGTCACAGCTCCCGGTGAGAGCGCGCTGCCCGTCGGGCGAAACGCAGACGTCAGTTACGTAGTTCTTGTGAGGGAGGTCGAGGCTGCACTCGCCGTCGAGGAGATTCCATAATTTTGCTGACTTATCGTTGCTGCCGGTGAGCGCGTAACACCCATCTGGCGTGACGCAGACGGCGTTGACGAAGCTGCGGTGCGTTGACGTAGCTGGCGGCTGACGTAGCGGGCCGACAAATTTGCTCTCGGCTCCATTGGCCTTCGCGTGACCGTCGAGTTTGCGGATGCAGCTAGCATCAAGAAGATTCCAGACCTTGGTGGTCTTGTCGCGACTCCCCGTGAGCGCAAAGTTGCCATCCTTGGACACGGAGACGGAAGATATGGGCATCGTGTGCCCCTCGATCGGATATCCGCGGATGCACGTGCCGTCATCGAGTTTCCAGAGTCTCAAAGTTTTGTCGCCGCTCGCCGTGAGCGCGTAGTCATTGGGTGTGACGCCGACGGCGTTCACGTTATCTTTGTGTCCCTCGAGCGTGTGAGCGCAGACACCGTTCGCAATGTGCCAGACTTTCGCGGTCTTGTCGCCGCTCGCCGTGAGCACTCGATCCTCGCCGAGCGTCAAGCAAACCGCGTGAATTATGCCCGCATGCCCACGGACTCCGCCCAGCGGGGTCACGCACCTCTCGGTCGCGACCTCCCAGATTTTAGCTTTGAAGTCCTCGCTCGCGGTCACCGCGAGCCTCGCGTCATGTGTCACGCAAACTGAAGAAACGGCCTTCGCATGGCCCGAGAGCGTCGCGACGCAAATGCCAGTCTCGAGATCCCAGACCTTGGCGGTTCTATCACGGCTCCCAGTGACAAGGCGCGTCCCGTCTGGCGTGACGCAGACGGATTCCACGGCCTGCGTGTGGTGCTCCTCGAGCGTGAGGACGCACTCCCCGGTGACAAGGTTCCAGACCTTGGCGGTTTTGTCCTTGCTCGCAGTGATCGCACAGCCCTTCTCTCCGCCATACGCGCAGACAGCGGTGACTCGATCGGTGTGGCCCTCGAGCGTGTGGATGCACACGCCGTTCGCGAGGTCCCAAAGTTTCGCGGTGCAGTCGCGGCTCGCAGACAGCCCGCGCTCGTTGCCCGCGAAGCAGACGGACGTGACGTATTCCGTGTGGCCATCGCCCACATCATCGACACTGCGCGTGCTTGATTGGGGCGAGTTGCTCTGCAGCGCCGCGCTCGCGTGGTCCACCTCGCGGCAGATCTCGGCCTCGCTGTGGGCACTGCAGTCCTCGGAGTTGCGCTTGGAGAAGGGCGCCTCGGCCTGCCAGGGCTGGCCGGGGGCGAGGGGGAGGTTCTCCGCGGTCTCGCGCATTGCCAATTCCGTGTCCTCGTCGAAGCGCTTGTCGTCGTCGTCGCGGTGCTCGCGCGGGAGCCCGCGCGGGGGCGCCGCGGCGGCCTTCGGATGCACGGCCGCGCGGCTCACGTACGCGCCCGGCCAGTCACCGTTCACCGCGACGCCGTACAGCGTCAGAATCTCCAGCAGGACCTTCATCTTCTCGACGCCGTACAGCGGCAGGGGCACGCCGTGGACCTTTTTGAAGGCAGCTGGCAGTCCAGACGCGAAGATCGAGCCCGAGTCCGCCGCGTCGCAGAGCTCGAGCACTTGGCCGGCGAGGGCCTGGAGCTGCGCCGGCGATGCGTGGCAGTTCTTGGGGTTGAGCGACAGCTTCGGCGCGGCGGCGTTCGGAGGCGGCGGCGCCGCCGCGAGGCCCGCGCCCGCCTCGGCGGCGACGCCGGGCGGCTTCGGCGAGACGGCCTTCTTCTTTTTCGGCGCGCCGGCCTTCGGATGCGCCGCCGCCGCCGCCGCGCGGCTCACGTACGCGCCGGGCCAGTCGCCGCCCACCACAACGCCGGGCAGCATCTGCAGCAGGACCTTCATCGTGACGCCGTAGAGCGGCAGGTCCTTGCCGTAAGCCTTCTTGAAGGCGGGCGCCAGGTTCGAGACCATGATTGAGCCCGTCCGCTCCGCGCCGCAGAGCTCGATCACATGGGCGGCGAGGTTCTGGAGCTCCGCCGGCGACGCGGTGCAGTGATCGGGGTTGAGCGACCCCTTCGGCGCGGCGGCCTTCGGACGCGACGGTCCTGCGAAGACCGAACCCCCGACGCCGCCTCCGAAGGGAGCACTGCTGCTGCTAGCAGGGCCGCCTGTTCCAAACGTGCCGCCGCCTCCTCCGAAAGGTAGACCGCCGCCGCCGCCGAAGACCGTCGAAGAAGCCGCGCCGGCGCCGCCGAACGCGGGCGCCTGGCTCGCGCCGCCAAAAGGCGTCGCCGCGGATCCGAAGGGCGCTTGCGTAGCCGGCGGGGGCGGAGCCGCCGCGGTCAACCCGGCGCCGCCGAACTGAGGAACGCTTCCGCCGCCGCCGAAGGGCGTCGAAGAAGCCGCGCCGCCAAACACGGGGCGCTGGCTCGCGCCGCCGAAGGGCGTCGCCGCGGATCCGAAGGGCGCTTGCGTAGCCGGCGGGGGCGGAGCCGCCGCGGTCGCAGCGCCGAACTGAGAAACGCGTCCGCCGCCGCCGAAGGGCGTCAAAGAAGCCGCGCCGCCGAACGCGGGCGCCGTGCCCGCGCCGCCGCTCTCGAACGGCGCGCCGGGGCCTTGCACGTCAACGACGTCGCACTCGGATAAATGCGAGACCGACGGCGGAGGGCGGGGGCCCAAAGCGAGAGAGGCATCGATGCGATCCCGTTCGTCGCACTTGTAGCACCGGACGATCTTGCTCCCGCACAATCCAAAGAATGTTGTTTTGCGAATTTGGACATCGTTATGGTCCTTACACACGCCCTTCTTGTGGTAATAGATCTCCAGATCGTGCGCGTTCGTCGGCGCTTTGTGCTCTGTTTTGCCATGGTACTGAAGGCTCGCCTCCGCTCCCATGATGCGGCGCCGCTCGGTGTGCCTCAGGGCGTGCGCAGGGACGGCGCGACGAAGGTGAAGAGCTGCAGTGAGCAAAGGAGGTGCGACTGGACCCCGCGATGTATAAGCCTCGCGATTAGGCGCTGAGCATTTGCCGCTGGCGACAGCCGTATGCTTACACTGCTCCCCGCATTCCGCGCCCCTCGACCTCGGGTCTCCCTCGCGCTCGTAGAGACCCCTTCAGCCTCTCCCACGATCTATCTATACACGTCCCTCGCGGGACCGCCCCTAGTAGTCGCCGTCGTCCTCGTCGTCCTCGAAGTAGTCGTCGTCGTCGCCCTGGTCGTCCTCGAAGAAGGCGCCGCGGAGCGAGTTCTCGAGGTCGCGGCGCGCCTGCTCGCGGGCCGCCTCGAGCTCGCGGCGCGCCTGGTCGCGGAAGGCCTGGAGGCCCTGGTGCGTCGTCGGCGCCGGGAAGGACGCGTTCGCGAGGCGCGCGCGGCCTTGCGCGATCGCGGCGCGGCAGAGCGGATTCGTCGCGTAGGTGTGGGGCACCGGGCGGAGGCTCGGTTCGCAGATGCAGGCGTGGCTCGTCGACTTGCACGTCGCCGTGCTCGCCGCGGTGAAGAGGCCCCCGGACGTCTTCTCGAGGAACGCGCAGCAGCACCGGTGGCCGTCGTCCGCGCGGCAGGCGCCGGGCCCCGCCTTCGGGCACACGCAGGCGTGCGCGCGCGCGCGGCACGACGACTGCTTGCCGAAGAAGGTGTCGCAGAGCGCGTCGCAGGCGCAGGCGTGCTTCCCGGTGGCGAGGCACGACGCGGGGTCCTTGGAGCTCGCGCACGAGCACGCGTGCTTCTTCGCGCGGCACTTGGCGACGCTGTCCTCGACGCAGGTGCAGGCGTGCGCCGCGGCCTTGCACAGCGCCTGGCCGTCGAATAGGCAGGAGCACTCGTGCACCGCGGCCCGGCAGACGCGCGTCGACTTGCCCGCGACGAACATGGACGCCGCCTTGGTCGCGCAGACGCACGCGTGGTCGCCGCCGAAGCGGCACGGCGCCGTGCCCTGGAGCGTCTGGCGCAGCTCGGGGCAGGCGCAGCCGTGGCGGTCCGTGTCGCCCGCGGGGCACTTGAGCAGGCGCGCCGTCGCCGTGATCGGGTAGCGCTCCGTCGCCTTGATCGCGCACGTGCACGGGCCCTTGTAGGGCATCGGCGCGCGCTCCGGCTCCGGCTCCGGCGCCGCGGCGCGGGCGCGCTTCGGCGGCGGCGGCGCCTTCTCCGGCGGCGACGCGTCCGCCGGCGGCGCCGCGCGCTTGGCTGCGGGCTTCTTCGGCGCGGGCTCCTTCCTCGCCGCGGGCTCGGCCTTCGGTGCGGGCGCCTTCTTCTTGGCCTTGGCCGCGGGCGCCTTCTTCTTGGCCTTGGCCGCGGGCGCCTTGGCCGCGGGCTTGGCCTTGGTCTTGGCCGCAGGCTTCTTCGGCGCCGGCTCGCGGGCCTCGCGGAGCTCCAGGTCGTAGGCCATGCGCGCGTTCTGGTCGCAGAGAACTTCTTTGGCGTTCGCGAGCTTCTTGAACGCCGCCGCGTTGCCGCCCTTGTCGGGGTGGACCGTGCGCGCGAGGTCGCGGTACTCGCGGCCGATGTCTTCGGCGCTCGCGTCCTCGTCGACGCCCAGGACCTCGTAGTGCGTGGGGGCGCCGAGGATGCTCTTGATGAGGCGCTTAACGGCGGCGCTCTCGCCGCGGCTCATGCTCGCGTGGTGGCGCTTCGCGGCGCAGCGGTCGAGGGTCGGGGAGGCGCGCTGCGCGACGCGGCGGACGACGGTGTTAGTGGCCGAGGGGGCGCGTGACGGCAGCGCTGGGTCGAGGGACGAGGCCCCAGGCGGCGGACCCAGTCGAGCTCTGCTTCGAAGCTTCGCGAATCCTCACGATAGGGGCGGACCGAGAGTCAACCACGGACAAAAGATCCGACAACATGACGGGGTGGGTGGGTGGGTCCGGAGGTCGGGTTTCAAAAACCCAAAGTGTACTTAAAGGGTACTTGTAACGCGCGCGCGCGCGCGCGGAGGCCGCGCGCGTCTCGCGTCCCGCGCCGCACCGGGAGTCGGGAAGAGGTGCCATGGAGCACGGCGGTGTCCTCGTCGAGTCGGGCCGCGCCCGGCGTGCGTCGGGTGGCCCGCGGCCGCACGGTGGCGGCTCCTGCCGCGGCACCGGCGACTCCCGGTCGACCGCGGCGCCGCGCGCGCGGTGTGGCAATTCAGCGATCGCCCAGCGGCGCGCGGCGCGGCAACTTGAAGGCAACCAACGACGAAGGAGCTCGTTGATTGGCCGGGAGGTGGGTGGGTGGGCGCCGGTGGCCGGCACCAAAAATCCGTCATGTTGTTTGGTACTTTTTTTTGGGTAGCCCCCTGGGCGGACAGTGAAAGTCGACCGGCGGTGGACCGTCGAGTTCGACCTTGCGGTCACTTGCGATGGATAGCCGACTTCTAACTGATACTTAGAGAGTCTGGGTTCGCGTAAATCGACCTCGATCTCGCGGAGCTACGACCTCGCAAAGTCTCGATTTTCCTCCCGCGCGGGCAAAACGCGGTCGCGTGTACGAGGCGCTCCGGCGACTTTGGGCTGGCGTGGGCGCACTCGAGTCGATATACATGTCGTCGGAACCCATCGCGCAGCCGTCCGACGCCTGTAGCCCGCGAGGACGCGTTGTGGCCCATCGCCTCGTTTCCAGGCGAGAAACGCCAATCCCGTCTCGCGCCTGTGCCAGCGCAGACGCCACGAGCGGTAGGCGCAGCGCGTGTTCCCGCGCCTCGTAGGTCGACCTGGGAGTGCACTGAACACTCGACACGTCGGCGCGACGCCCAGCAGCGCCCAGCGAAGCGATCTAGTTCCAGTGCCTCACCGAAGCCTCACCAGAGCGGGCGCTCCAGGCGCGCACGAGCAGCGCCGAAGGCTCTGCGGCTCAGAGTAGCGGCGCAGGGTACGCAGGAACGGTTCCGAACGCGCGGCGACGTGATTCCGCGCCGACGGGAGGCGCCTGGCGTCGACCCGCGACGTCCCGAAGCGCTTTGTCGAGGGCCGCCACCACTGCTGTCGGCACCATGCATTCGCGGTCTTGAATACCAAAGAGGATTGGGAAGTCCACTTGCAGAGTGTAGTACCAGACTCCACTATCCGCTCCACTTGAGGCAGCTATGAGTTCGGCTTGCATTGTGCTCCCTGCAGTGATTGTCTGACGTTTGGAAGACCATTGTACTAAGTTTCCAAAACAATAGAAACAGAGGTTCTATCTGTGCTAATACTGTTTTGACTATGTCCTCTGTGTCAACAGACTCTCCCTTTATTTTCAAGGCTTTGCCTCTAATGTCACTTAGTACGGTCTTCTGTTTTGCTTCAAGTATCTGCAATGAGGGGGAGAGATGACGTCCGAAGGTGGCGAGAAAGAGGCCGCCGAGAAACGCGTTGCAAAGCTAGTCGCGGAAGCGGCGGAAGCTGACCACAGATTCCTCGCAGTCATGGGGATGACTGGCTCAAACCTTATACACTCACCTTTTCCAGCCTTAAATGCATTACTAGCACCCCAATACGAAGACGACATCGTTAAGGAATGCATCTGCGAAAAGGTCGACCCAGATGAAGAGAAAAGTATTTACAAGTGGATGACGTCCCACAGCTTTGACTCACAAGTAGCCACCGCCCTATGGACACAATATAATGCCGGCGCAGACTCTGGATGGTTTGCAGAAAACTTACTAGTCCATCACTCTGTCTCACTTCTGAATCCTCAACCAAGCAATGAGAATCAAGACGGACCCAGCGCTTCAGTGAAGTCCAAACTGACTGTTGCCCGGACTCTCTATAGACAAGAGATGGCTAGAAGAGCTACTAGATTGGTGCAAGATCATCGCAGGCGTGGACTCTCTCCACCCGTTCCATACTGTCAACCTACATCTAACATAACCTCACCGTTTGTACTAACCGATCATAAGTACGCTTCCTTGGCTACTTGTATCGAATGTGTCATGTTGAGCATAGTATTTCTTTGGGTCATGAGCAATCCCCAAAGTAATCACACTGGTTGAGTGTATCAATCTTTTAACTCACACATATCAAGGAAGGTCTTCTGAAGAACGTGTACTTAGCAGATACTCGATTCCCATCTACTTCATTCGCTTAATTGACTCCATTCATGATGAAGCTGAAGTCCACTATCATTTGGGATTTACACGGAGTTTCAATCCAGGGGGAGTAGAGAGATAGAGAGATTTCTATCTTCATCTTCAGTGAACAGTGAACTGCATCTTGATGTTGCAGTGCACCTTACCCCACTGCGCTCCTACTGCGTATCCTGCTAGTTTTCCCTTCCCTTCCTTAATTCATTCTAATCCAGTTTCAAGTCTTATAGACAGCGAACTGAAGGAGTGACTGCCAAGCAGGCACAGAGTGCATAGCGCTCTTCTGTGTCTGTGGTGTCTGTCTGGTTAGCGTCACAGCGACGTGCCAGGTAGCACCAGGCTCAGCGAGGTTGCACAGTCGCCGGACAGTGCACCTGCTGGATAGTAGTTTGACTGACGTCATAGCGACGTTAGGAAGCTAGTAAACTATCCTAACTTTCTACGGACCCAGCCGAAGCGGCCCCGAAGCGCCCGGGCTTCACTGTCCGCCCCTACTCACGATGTTGGCGTGCACCATAACCTCAACGAGGGGTGACGACCTTATGCCATCCCTCACGCGACGACGCAGCCGCCGTCGTTGGCGGGGCGCTGGCCGCCCCGGTGGGGCGCCGGCCCGTCGTCGTCGTCGTCGCTCGGCTCCTCGACCTTCGCCGCGCGGCGCTTCGTCTTCTTCGGCGTGGCCCCGGACGGCGGCGGCGCGGCGGCCGGCGGCGCGCCGCCGTGGGCGACGGCGAGGGCGTCGGCGAGCTCGCGCATCTTCGCGCCGATGACGCCCTCGACGTCCTTGTAGATGCTCGCCGTGTTCGCGACGCCGATGCCCGTGCCGTCCGCGAGGCACACAGTCGCGTTGTCGAGCTTGATGTCGTTGACGTGGCGCATGCAGTCGTCGATGGTCAGCGCCGCGTCGTAGAAGGCCGCGGCCACGGGCTTGGTCTGGCCGATGCGGTGGCAGCGGTCCACGGCCTGCTCGTGGACCTGGGGGTTGAACCAGCGGTCCGTGAAGACGACCGTCGTCGCGCGCGTGATGTTGAGGCCCGTGCCGCCGCTGTGGACCGTCGCGAGGAGCACGTCGGCGCCGCCGGCGCGGAAGTCGTCGAGGACCGCGCCGCGCTCGTCCGCCCTTACGTCGCCGTCGAAGCGCAGGCTCGAGACGCCGTGCGCGTCGAGCATGGCCTCCGCGAGGTCGGACACGCCCTTGTAGAAGGTCCAGAAGACGACGGCCTCGCCGCGCGCCACGGCCTTGCGGACGGCGGCGACGGCGGCGACGAGCTTCGCGCTCGCGCGGAAGCCGCCGTGGACCTCGGCGCAGTAGAGCGGGCCGTCGCCCATCTGCGCGCGGCGCAGGAGGTCGCCGCAGCGCGGGCAGCCCGCGCCCGGCGCGAGCTTCGCGGCGCAGCACCGGTGGATCATGTGGCCGGGGAACGCGCAGGCGCCCCCGGGGAAGGGCACGAGCGGCTCGCCGGCGGGCACCTTCGCGTAGGCCGCGGGCGCGGACGCCGCGAGCTCGTCGTCGTCCGCGTCCTTGGCCTCCTCGCCGTCGTCGAGGTCGATGGCGTCCGTCGCGCGGCCGCCGGAGCCGACGGCCTCGGCGCGCGCGCCGACGCGCGCCGCGGAGCCCATCTGGAGCAGGCCCGCGCGGTCCGCGTCGTCCGCGGCCTCGACGAGCGACTGGTGGCATACCTGAGAGTTACAGTGGTGTTGGTGGAGGAGACGCCGACGGACGCGGCGACCTACGACGCACTGGTCCGCCTTCCAGCAGGCGAGGCGCTTCGCGCGGCGCCGCGACTTCGAGAAGAGCTTCGTGAGCTCGCGGCCGTTGCGCGGGAGCACGGAGTGGACCGTCGCCATGCGCATGAGCGTCATGATGGAGAGGAGCAGCTTGAAGAGCTTGATCTTCTCGCGCTTCTCCAGACCCTGTTCCGCGAGCCGCGCGAACTTGCTCAGGACGTCGAAGAACGCCGCCTGCAGCGGCACGTAGCAGTAGAGCTCCGCGAGGCTCGGGGTCACGGGCAGCGACCGCACGACGCGCGGGGGCAGCTGCTCCGAGAGGACGCTCTTGTCGCGGCGCAGGAGGCCGCGCGGGCGCCACGTCGCGACGGCCTTCTGGACCGCCGCGGTCTTCGCGGGCGACTCGTGGGTCGCGCAGGCGTCGACCCACCACGCCTTCGTCGCCGCGTCCTGCCGCGCGTCGAAGAACGACACGAGCGCGGCCATGTCCTGGGGCCCGTTGTTGTAGGGCGTGCCCGTCGCCGAGACGCAGAACTTCGAACTGTGGCCCAGCAGCGCGGCGCCGATGCCCCACTTCGACGTCGCGTTCCGGAGGAAGTGCGCCTCGTCGATGATGACCGTCGTCGACGAGCAGGCGACGCGGCGCGCGGCGCCCTCGGCCTTGGCGGCTTCGGCCTTGACGACGGCCGACGAGCGCCCGCCGCCGAAGAAGAAGCCGGCGACGAGGCGCCGCACGCAGTCGGCCTCGGTCTCGCCCTTGTGCAGGAGCGTGTTCTTCTCGCCGCGCTTCGCCTTGCCCGCGGCGCTCCGGTACTGCGCGAAGAGGTCGGGCAGGAGCGCCGCGGCGCGCGGGAAGAGCGGCGACGCGAGGCTCGCGCCGTCGAGGGCCGCGTCGTAGGCGCCCTGGACCTCGGTCTGCAGCGTGTAGCGCGTCAGGAGCACCCAGGTCGCGCCGCGCGCGACGGCCGACTCGTAGCGCGCGACGCGCGACTTGAAGGCGCCCTTGTAGACGTGGACCTTCGACGCCGCGGCGACGACGCCGCGCAGCAGGTGCTCGCGCCACTGCGTGAGCACGGCGTCGTTCGGCGCGACGACGAACGTCGGCAGGTCGTCGTCGCCCGTGGCGCGCGATACGGCGTCGCGCAGGACCGCGCCGGCGAGGCACTCGACGGTCTTGCCCAAACCCATGACGTCGGCCAGGAGCACGCCGCGGCCGACGAAGGGCGGCGCGGCGCGGAGGACGCCCTCGAGGTCGCCGCCCAGGTCGTCGCGCGGCCAGCCCCGCGGCAGGCCCGCGCAGAGCCGCGCGGCCTCGGGCTGGTGCGTCTTCAGCGAGAAGCCGAAGCCGCAGTGCCAGAGCACGCGCTGCAGGAGCCGGTCCGCGTCCGTCCGCAGCGTCGCCAGGTGCGCCGCGCGGTCCGCGCCGTCCACGCGCCGCTTCTTCTTCGCCGCCGGCTGCGCCGTGAGGTCGACGACCGAATCCTCCGAGTCGGACCCGAGGTCGTCGACGGCGCCGGCTTTCTCCGCGGCCTCGCGGGCCCGCCGCGCGCGCTCCGCCTCGGACAACGTCTCGCCCACCTCGAAGTCGTCGTCGTCGCCGGCGCCGGTGTCCGCGAGGACGAGCTGGGCCGCCGCCGCGAGCGAGCGGAGCTCGCTCTTCTCCGCGACGCCCGCGAGCGACCCGCCGCCGTGGACGACGAGCGTGCGCAGCTCGCGGACGGACAGATCCTCGAGGGGCTCGGCGGCCAGCGCCAGCGCGTCGCGGCGCGAGTCGACGTCCGTGCGGGGCGCCGGGGCGGGCGCCGCCGCGACGCTGCCCGTCCAGAGCTCCTCGGGCCGCGGCGCGGCCGCGGACCCGAGGATCTCCCGCTCGAGGAGGGGCAGCGTCTCCGGCACCGAGACGAAGTTCACGCCGCAGTCGCGCGCGAGCGCGCGCACGTCGTCCTCGACGGTCTCGCCGCGCGCGACGCCGCAGTCGCCGAGCAGCCGGTCCACGCGCTGCTCGAGCGACGGCGCCGCGGCCGACGGGCGCGCCGCGAGGGCCCCGCCCTGAAAGGGCGCCGCAGCAGGGACGAGGGCGCCGCTCGCGGCGTCCTGCGCCTGTTTGCAGGCGCCGAGGCGGGCGACGGCCGTCGCCGCGCGCTCGACGAGCGCGTCCTTGTCGAGGCAGTCCGCATGTTCCAGGCCCGCGCGCTCGATGAGCGCCTTCAGCTCCTTGATTTTGAGGGCGCGCACAGTGTCCATCTTGTCGACGTTGCGAAGCACCCAACGTCGGCCGCCTCGACCCAAGGCGCGCCCGCGTCGAGGCTCGGTCGCACTACTCACCTGTGAGCAAGGCTCAGACTCGAGAAGCTTCGGCTTCGTCAACGTCGGCCGATCCACGGCAACTCACCATACATGCAGCCCGGCTGCCGGAGTTGGTTGGCATGGGGAACTAGAGGACGAGGCGGAAATCCCGCGCAGAGCAGCGCGCCGTCGACCAGATGGCCTCGCCTCCTCCGCCGCAGCGCCGCAAGGCGCCCAGGTCCGGCGACCGCGTCGTCGACGCCTACCTCGCGCAGCTCCGGCGGCAGACCAAGGCGCTGAGCCTCGACGCGCTCGTCATGCCCGTCGCGTCGCCGCACCCCGCGCCGCGGCCCGCGCACTACTCGCCCTACGCCGTCGGCGCGACGCCGGTCCGCGGCGACGGCGACGACGCGGCCTACAGCCTCGCGGCGCTCCTGACTAAGGACGAGAACGCGTCGCCCGAGCGGCGGCCGCCGTCGCCGGAGCGCGCGGTCCGCGACGACGAGCCCCTCCCGGAGAAGCCGCCCGCGCCGCCGAGCGACCGCCGGCCGCTGGCCCCCGCGAGCCTCGTGCAGCACGAGACCATCGAGCACCCGCGCGAGCGGGAGGATCGGAAGCCCGACGTGCCCAAGCGGTGGCCGCCCGCGCGCGCGGCGCCCGCGTCGCCGCCCCGCGGCGCCCTCGTGGCGGCCGAGGACGCCGCGGCCAAGCAGGCGCACTACGCCAAGTGCGCGAAGCGCTACCTCGAGGTCGAGCGGGGCCGCGCGGCCGCCGCGGAGGCCGACGACCGCGCGCGCCGCGAGGAGAAGCGCCTGAACGCGGAGCGGAGCCGCCTCTACGCCGCGGAGCAGCGCGTCGTCTGGCGCCTGCGGGCCATCGCGCGCAAGGAGCTCGCGCTGAAGCGGCGGACGAAGGAGGAGGCCGCGGCCGCGGCGTACGCGCGGGCCAAGGCCGACCGGGGCGCCGCGCGCCGCGCGTCGACGGCGGCGGCGACGGTGCTGGCGAAGCAGGACGACGCCGAGGCCGTCTACGCGCGCGCGCGGCGCGCCGAGGCCGACGCGCTGTCCGCGCGCGCGGCCGCCGTGGCCCTCGACGACGCGAAGCGGTCGACGGCGGAGCTCGCGGCCCTGCGGCTCCGCCGGGCCATCGCCGGCGGCGGCGCCCCGCCCGCCGACCGCGACTTCCGCGCCAAGTGGGCGTCGAAGCTGGCGGACATCGAGTCCGTCATGGCCGCGGCGCGGTCCGAGCTCGAGGCGCCGCCGCCGCCGCCGCCGCCGGCGTTCTCGCCCGTGCGCGCGCGCCGCGGCGGCGGCCGCGCGGCCTTCGGCGCCGCCGACGCCTACGGCTCCGACGGCGGCGCGCGCGAGCGGCGGCGGTTCGTGGCGTCGGGGACCGCGGGCGCGCTGGAGCAGTGGACGGACGCCGACGGGTGGCGCCTCTGGTACTTCGAGCTCTTGAACGCCGCGGGCGCGGCCGACGGGGGCGCCGCGGGCGGCCGCGGCGCGCCCCTCGCGCTCTTGCGCTACGCGTCGGCCGCCGGCGGCCGCGGCGGCGGCGCGCACGCGATCTACCGCGACGGCGCGTCGACCGTCGAGGACGCGCCGGGCGAGTTCGCCGTCGCGTCCTTCGTCGGCGCGCGGCCCGTGCGCCTCCGCGGCGCCGACGACCGCGAGCGCGCGGCCTGGATCGCGGCCATCGCCGACGCGCTGGCGTCGCCGAGCGACGAGGCCGCGGCCGCGCGGACGCGCGAGCTCGTCGCCGGCGCGCGCGCGGCGCCGCCGCCCCGGCGGCCGCCGCGGCCGCCGCCGTCGTCGGACACGGGCTCCGACTACGACGAGCCGGCGGCGGCGAAACGGCCGCCGCGGCCCCCGGGCGGCCGCGCGCACGGCCACGTGAGCCCGCCGGAGTCGCCGCCGGAGTCGCCGCGGCGCCCGTCGCCGCCGCGCGAGCGGCCCGTCGACCCCCTGGCGACGCTCGCGGCGGCGCTCGACGCGCGGGCGGGGCCCGCCGTGCCGAGGAAGCCGGTCGCCGGCGGCGCCGCGCCGCGGAAGCCGCCCGCCGAGGAGCCGCTCCGGAAGGCGTCGATGGACTCCTTCGATTCCTACGCGGACTCGGGGCCCGAGGACGCGCCGGCGCTGGCGCGCGCGCCGCCCGGGGCGGCGGAGCCGCCCCGGAAGCCGTCCGTCGACGACCTCGACTCCTACGCGGACTCGGGCGCCGAGGACGCGCCGGCCGCCGTCGCGCCGCCGCCGGCCCCGCTCGCCGCCGACGACGACCCCTACGCGGACGACGCCGAGGAGCACGACATCGTCGCGCCCTACGTGCCCGCGCCCGTGGTAGCGCGGCCGCCCTCCGCGAAGGCGCCGGCCGTCCGGCCGCCGCCGGCCCTCGCGCGGCCGCCGGCCGCGAAGGCGCCGCCGGTCGCCCAGGCGCCGCCGCCCCGGCCGCCCGTCGCGAGACCGCCGCCGGCCGCCCGGGCGCCCGTCGCGAGACCGCCGCCGGCCGCCCGGGCCCCGCCGGCCGCGAGCCCGCCGCCGGGCCCGGCGCCCGCGGCCGCGCCGGCCGCGTACGTCGCGCTCGCGGACCTCTCGACGCCGGAGAAGGCCAAGGCGTCGAGCCCCGTGTCGAGCTTCTTCTCGGAGCCGAGCCCGGACGACACGTCCGTGGCCGCGGCGGCCGTGCGCCGCGCGTCGTCCATCCTCACGTGGATCGCGTCGCCGTCGGCGGGGTCGCCGTCGGCGGAGGCCAGGGCGCGGGCCGACGAGCCCGTCGTCGAGGACCTCCGGCCGCCGGACCCCTACGCGGCGCCCGGCGACGGCCGCGACGCGCCGGGCGACTCGCCGGACCCCTACGCGGCGTCCGCGGAATCCCGCGAGGCCGCGGTCGACGCCGACGACCGCGTCGAGGAGCCCGACGCCCGCGCCGACGAGCCCGCCGCCGCCCCCGCCGAGGAGCCCCGCGTGCACATGGACTTTGGCGCGCGGCTGTCGATCACGGACACGCAGGAGAACGTCCTCGACGCGATCCGCCACCAGTTCCTCGACGAGCTCGTGGACGAGGAGTTCGAGGAGGAGGTCCACGTCGTGCCCGCGCGGCCCGCCTTCCTCCCCGCCGAGGAGGCCTTCGTCGCCGACGACCTCCCGCCGTCGGCCGAGGCCGCGGCGAACGACGAGCTCATCGCCGCGTCGCGCGCGCCGCCGCGCGCGGCGGCCCCGCGAGCGCCGTCGCCCTTGGACTCCGACGGCGAGGACGACGACGCCGACGACGACTCGGGCGACGGCGCGGAGGTCGACGCGACGCTCCCGGCGGCGTTCCGCGAGTCGGGGAAGGTGCCGTTCCCGGGCGGCATCCCGAACGCGCTCGCGGCGGTCGACCCGGCGCCCGCGGCGCCGGCGGCGAAGGCGACGGCGGCTCGAGCGGCGGCAACGCCCGAACCGAAGGCGCCGGCCCCGACGAAAGCCGCGGCGGCGGTCAAACCCGCGCCGGCGGCGGCGAACCCCGCGCCGGACCTGCCGGCCGCGCCCCCGGCCGCCGAGGCCGCCGCGCCCGTCGCCGCCGAGGCCGCGGCCGCGCCCGTCGCCGAGACCGCCGACGCCCCGGTCCCAAAGGCGGTGCCGGCGGTCCGGAACGGCATCTGGAGATGCAAGCGGTGCGGCAAGAAGAACGGCTCCGGGAAGGCCGCGTGCCTGGTGTGCCGCGCGCCGAATCCGAGCGCGGCCCAGGGCAGGAAAAGGGTGATTCAACGTCGCTTCAACGTGAGCGTTCCGCGCGCGCGCGTTTCGGAAACAGCACCCGCGCTTCGAGAGCGCTCCGAGAAATGATCGCTTGTCCAAAAATCAGCCGAAACGAGCGGAAAACGACCGAGATAGGAGCCTTTGAAGTTGGGAATTTCGCACCCTTTTCCTGCCCAGGCGCGGCCGAGGCGCCGCCCGCCGCGAGGCCCGCGCCGGCGGCCGCGCCGGCGGCCGCTTCGACGCCCGCTGTACAAGCCGCGCCGGCGCCCGTTGGAGAGCCCGCGTCGACGCCCGCCGCGACGCCGGCGGCGCCCGCTCCGAAACTGGCGGCTCCACCGGCGGCCGCGGCCCCCGCCGCCGCGGCCCGCGAGCCCTGGCGCTGCAAGAAGTGCGGCAAGGCGAACCCGGCGTCGAGCGACGCGTGCCGCATGTGCCGCAAGCGGCGGCCGAGCCTCGCGGCGCCGGCGCCGACGGCCGTCGCCGCGCAGAGGGCCGTCCGCGCGTCGATGCGCCGCGCGTCGTCCGCGGCCGTCGCGCCGCCGCCCGACGTCGCGGCGCCGGCGGCCGAGGCCGCGGTCGAGGCCGCCGCCGACGACGGAATCAACGAGGGTGCCGCCGCGGAGCCGCGGCCGTCGACGCTCTTCAAGCTCGAGCTCGACGCGGCCGCGAAGCGCCGCGCCGACAAGCGCGCCGACGCCGACGCCGCGGGCGCGCCGGCGCCGGCCCCCGCCCCGGCCGCCGCGTCGCCGTCGGCGGCGGGCCTGCCGCCGCGGTCGCCGCGGCCCGGCGACGACAAGCCCGCGACGCCGCGGCGGAGCTCGCGGCGCAAGAGCCACCTGCGGCGGCGGCCGAAATCCGCCGCCAAGGCCCAGCTCCTCGCGGCCGTCGAGGGCGCGAGCCCCGCGTCGCTCCGGCGGTCCCACCAGGGCTCGTCCGTCGACGACTGCTCGTCCGTGCGGTCGTCGCTCGGCGACGAGGACAGCGTCGTCTCGTCCCGCGGGTCGCCCCGGGGCGGCGGGAGCCGGGTCGCGATCGACGACGACCTCAACCAGCGCCACAGCATCTCCGCCGTCGTCGAGGCGGACCTGCGCGCGTCCCTCTTCCCCGAGCACGCGGCGACCCTGGACGCCATCAAGGGCCGGTCCCAGCGCGAGAAGCGGCGGAGCCGCCGCGCGTCCGTCGCGTCGAGCCCCCGGCGCCGCGAGTCCGCGGCGGCGTCGGCCATCGCCGGGCAGCTCGGCGCGGCCGCGGCCGAGGCCGCGGGCCGCCGCGCGGACGCGGCGGCGGCGGCGGCCGTGAAGCGCCGGTCCGGCGCGCCCGACGACGCCCTCGCGCGCCAGAGCTCCGCGGAGTTCCGCGACCTGCTTCGCGTTTTGCAGGGCGGCGCGACGCCGCCGAAGCCGTCGCCGAGCGGCCGCCGCGCGTCGACGGTGGCCAGGAAGGGCCTCCTCGCCGCCGTCGCCGGCGCCGCGCGCAGGCTCGCGCCGGAGACGCCGCCCGCGGTCTGGGACGAGACGGTGTCGTTCCGCGCGCCGGCGCTCGCGTGCGCGTCCGCGGACTGCGGCAACGACGCGGCGGCGCTCCGCGGCGCCTACACCAAGGCCGGCGACGCCTGGTTCTGCGCCGACTGCTGGGTCGAGTTCTCCAACGCCTACCCGGACGAGTGGACCGACTCCTTCGGCGAGGAGACGCGCGCGGCCGAGAGCCCGCCGTCGTCGCCCGACGACGCGCCCGCGCCCGCGCCGCGCGCGCGGACGTCCATCGGGCGCCTCTTCGGCGGCGGGGCCCTCATCGAAGACGACGACGACGACGACGAGGTCGCCGCGGCCGCGCCGCCGGAGCCGTCGCCGCGGCGCCGGTCGACGAGCGACGCGTGGGACGCGTTCGCGCCCCCGGCCGCGGCGAACGAGGAGGCGTCCGCGGCCTACCGGCGGCGCCGCGAGTCGCTCACGCCCGTGCCCCACCAAGACAGGGGCGGGCCCGAGCCCCCGTCCGACGGCGAGAGCCCGCTGCTCGTCGAGCGCCGCGCGTCGCTCCTGCCCGTGCGGACCCGCGCGGCGTCCGACGGCGCGTCGCCCCAGGAGGCCGCGCTGTCGCCCGAGTTCGTCCAGCGCCGGTCGTCGCTGCTGCGCGTGGCGACGCGCGGCGCGTCCGTGACGCCGAGCCGCCGCGGCGCGCCCGACGCCGCCGCCGTCTTCGCCGAGCCCGCGGAGCCGCCGCCGGAGTTCGTCGCGCGCCGCGCGTCGCTCCGGCCCGTGAACCCGCCCTAAAGAGCGTCGTGGTGCGGTCCTGTGTCGTGATCCTGGAGTCGCGCCTCTGCCACTCGTGCCACCCGTCGGCGAGCGCCCCGTCGGCGCGCGCCGCGCGCGACCTCGGCTCTACGAGACCCGTTTTTTTGCGCGAAGCTTACGCGGTGCTAGCCCTTTCGCCGCTTCGCGTCGTCGAGGATCTTCTGCAGCGCCGCGCGCTGCGATTCGACGGTGTCGTGCTGCTTGAAGCCGTCGCGGTCCCGGAGCTTCTCTCCCGCCTCCCCGATGCTATCGTGGGACCGGCCGATGGCCCACTGCATGATGTAGTAGCCGCCGACGATGACGGGCCAGGGGTAGACGAACTGCATGTACTGGTGCGCCGGGATGCCGGCAGCAGGATTTTCGTGCCGTGGATGGGCTTGACGACATTTTCCCGCCACCAGTCGAAGAAGGACTGCTTTCTTTGGCCTGTGAGCGAGCGCGTGGGGCTGGCGAGCAACTGCCTGGAGCTGGAGAGCGATTGCCGAGCCGCCGCGCGGAGGGAGAGCATTTCGCCGCGCCGTGCTTGGGCCAAAATTGCCACAGCAATGTCAGCATCGCCGCCGTCGCCTTCTCGTCCTTCGCGGTCACCATGACGCTCCCGTCGCCCGCCGAGGGCCGCGAGAAGCTCAAGGCCGCCGGCGGCGAGCAGATGGCGGACCCGGCGAGCATGGCCTACCGCTCCTTCGGCCTCGGCTGCTACGCCGTCGTCGTGCGCTACTGTACGATGCCCCTCGAGAAGACAGCCATGATCATGAACAGCGCGCAGGTCAGCGGCAGCGGCCAGCTCGCGCAGGCGAGCAAGATCGTCTTCGCGGACGGGCCCTTGACGCCGTTCCGCACCGTCGGCCGCGCGTCGATCGTCGCGTGGTTCTTCCAGTACAGCGTCATGGGCTTCATCTTCCAGGCCTGCGACCGGGGGCTGAGTTCGGCGCTGGGCGTCGCGCCCGTGGTCTACGGCGACCAGCTCATGGAGGACGCGTCGAAGGACGAGACCGCGATGACGACGGCCGACGCGCTCAAGACGGCGGGCAAGCTCGCGCTCGTGCCCGTCGTCGCCGGCGCCATCGAGTCCGGCGTCGCGAACCGCGCGGAGACGCAGCGGTTCTACGGGCTGGCCACGTCCGCGGCCGTCGAGGCGCGCATCGGCGCGAACGCCTTCGTGCGAGCGTGCGGCCCGGCCTTCGGCGCGAACGCCGCGCGCAACGCCATCATGGCGACGACGTCCTTCGTCGCGACGCCGACGCTCTACCGGAAATACTACCCGCAAGATCAAAAGTCCAAGGGCAGCCTCTTCTGCTTCGGCCTCGGGCTCAACATCTTCTTCGGCAACGTGCTGGCGATCACGCAGCAGTCGCTCTGGGGCCGGGCGCTGGACTCGGCCGCCGCGACGGGCCGGCCCGTGTCCTACGCGGCGGTCGTGAGCCAGGGCTACAAAGCCGAGGGCCTCGGCGCGTTCATCACCGCGCCCAAGTGGTTCTCGCGCGTCATGATGAACGCGCCGATCCAGGGCACGATGCCCTGGTTCTACAACAACGTGCTCCCCCTCGGCGAGGGCCTCGCGCTCGCGGGCGTCGCCTCGGCGCTCGGCACCGTCGCGCCGCGCGCGAAGCGGCCCTCGGTCACGCTCCGCGGCCACGGCTCGGGCCGCGAGCGCGTCTGAGCCCCGGCGGACGGCGCGCGCCGAGCCCCCGAGGCCGCGGCCGCGGCCGGCTCCGTGACGAGCCGCCCGCGCCCGCGCCCTCGCAGCCTCGTCGATGCGCCCCCTGCCCCTTCCTGTGCATGTCCGAGCCCCCGCGGGCCTCGTCGATTTCCTGCCGCGCGTGCGGCACTGTAAGCTCCTCCGAATCGAGGTCGCTTGCTTGCTTTGTTTACGCGGCGACGCGGCCCGGCGGGTTCGGGAGCGCATCGAGGAGCTCCCGCGCGTCCATGCCCTCCGTCGCGTCGAAGATCTTCTTCGCGTCGCCGGCGCCGAGCTGGTAGACCGGGTTCGTGTCGAGCCAGGACCGGAGCACGGCGGCGCCGTCGCGCGGCGGCTGCGTGAACGGGTTCGAGAGCTTGGCGACGAGCCTGCGGCCGAGCGGGTCGTCGGCGACGGACGCGCCGGCCCAGACCTCGCGCTCCTTGAGGCCCTCGAGGGGCCCGGCGGAGGCGTGGACGCAGTTGCAGCTGATGGCGGGCTCGCGCGCGAGGCCGAGGCTGTGCCAGTGGGTGCGGAACTTGCCGCGGAGGCTCTTCGGCGACGCGGTCGACGGGTCCGTCGGGCCGACGACGACGTCGCGGAACTGCCGCCAGCTCAGCACGGACGGCAGCCAGGTGACGACGAGCACGCGCACCGTCGCGGCGTCGGCGACGAACTCCTGGCGCATGGCCGGGTAGAAGCCGTTGATCGTGTAGACGTCGCCGCAGGCCGCGCCGACGAGCTTGGCGACGTAGACGCCCGGCGACAGCTTGAGGCAGGGCCCCGCGCGCCACATGGTCTCGAGCTCGAGGCCGTCGACCTGGAGCTCGGCCATGATCACGGGGTTCAGCGCCGTCCGCGCGGCGCCGTACTCGACGCCGAACATGTCGGAGAACGCGACGGCCTTGTCCGGCGACAGCGTCGACGGCGGCGCGCCCATGGCCGCCGTCGCGAGCGACCCGTAGTGCTGGTCGATGAGCTTCTTCTCCTCGACCATGGGGCCGGAGATGCGGAGGCGCTTCGCGACGGTGCAGCCGGCGGCCTCGAGGCCCGCGACGACGACCTTCTCGGCCTTGTCGTTGTCGGCGTGCGGCTTGAGGAAGACGACGGCCTCGTTCTGCAGCTCCTCCTGCACGAAGAGCGGGAACATGGCGGACATTCCTGCGGTGCTGCTCGGCTCTCAGGTGCGCTTAGTTGTCGGTATAGGGAACTGAATTTTAGACCACCATGCCGCGCGCCAAAACAATCGGAGATGTCAATGTTGATGACCACCCAGCCCTCACGATGGCCATCCGGAAGAAGTAGCCATCACCGCTGCTCCGACGATGCGCGTCTTCCTCGTGTCGGACCTCCACGCCGACTGCAGCCACAACATGCGCTGGTGCGAGAACCTGGAGCGCGAAGCGGACAGCGCGCTCATCGTCGCCGGCGACGTCGCGACGGATCTCGGCGCCATCGGCCGCTGCCTGAAGGTGCTGCTGGACCGCTACGACGTCGTGTTCTACACGCCGGGCGCGCCGCGGCGTCGCCGAAGACGCAACCCAAAGAAACGACCGAAACTCTAGGCAACCACGAGCTCTGGCGGTCCTCCGGCTTCGCCGACAGCTTCGCGAAGCTCGACGCGGTCCTCGCGCTCTGCGCGGACCTCGGCGTGCGCACGGCGCCGGAGCTGCTGCCCTGCGGCGTCTTCATCGTGCCGCTTTTATCGTGGCCCCACGAGGACTTCGACCGCGAGCCGCCGCTCGCGCTGCCGCCCGGCGAGACGCTGCGGCGGCCCGTCGAGCCCGCCTGCCGCTGCATCAGCGACTACGGCGCGTGCGTCTGGCCGGGCTTCGAGAACGGGTCGCGCGCGCTCGCGGCGCGCTTCGACGCCATGCAGGACCTCGCGCCGCTCCTGGAGCTGCGGCGGCGGGCCTACCCGACGGTGCCGCTGATCAGCTTCTCCCACTTCCTGCCGCTCCAGTCGCTCCTGCCCGAGAAGCGGTTCCTGTTCTCGCCGAACCTCGCCAAGGCCGTCGGCAGCGACTTCCTCGAGGCCCGCGTGCGCGCGCTCGACGCGGACATCCACTGCTTCGGCCACACGCACTTCTCCTGGGACTCGACGGAAAACGGCACGCGCTACGTGCAGCACTGCCTCGGCACGCCCGACGAGGCGAAGCGGCGCGAGGCAGCGTCCTGTGGCCGTGACGAGTTTCGAGGGATGTCGACCGGGAAAACGAAGAGAACTCGTCACCGACATGCTTGGTAGGCGCGAGGCCTTCCAGGACGGCATCTGGTCGGGCCACGCGCGGCCGCTGTTGTTGTGGGACTCGGAGGGCCCCGTGCCGCCGCGGGCCCACGAGCCCTACTGGAGCGCGTTCTACGCGACGCGGAAGCGCGAGCCGACGAGCTACCGCATGGCCGAGTACGTGCGGTGCGTCTACTGCCCCGCCGCGCCCGCGGAGCCCATGCCCGCGCCCCGCGCGTCCGCGGCCGCGCGGGACGAGTCCGCCGCGTCCATGCAGCGGCGCCTCGTGCGCCTCGCGACGGCGTCGACGAGGGGGTAGTCTAGACTGTCGTCGCTGTCCAGCGACTTCTGGGTCTCGACTCGGAAGGCCGACTGACCCGGCGCGCGCTTTTTTTTCCGATCGTAGTGGTTAGTGCCCCTCGATCGGCGGCGGGCGCGAGTTTGTCTCGGCCCGCGGTGGAGCGCCGCGGCGGCTTGGCGAGGCCGTCGGCGCGGGGCAGCGACGTCGCGCTGAGCGCGGCGTCGGGAGCCCGGGGGTACATATCTCTCAGAGGGGGGGGTGGGGAGGAGCGCGTCTGCGGCTCGCCGCGGGGCATGGGCCCGCGGCGCCGTCCGACGCGCCCCCTCCGGCTCGCCGCGGGGCATGGGCCCGCGGCGGCGGGCGCCTCCGTCGGCTCGCCGCGGGGCATGGGCCCGCGGCGGCGCCGCGGCGCGCCTACTTCTTGCTCTTGCACTCGGAAGCCGGCGGATTGCACTTTTTGTCGGACCACTTGCAGCCCGCCTTGAGTTCGATGCGCGAGGAGGCACGCACCGTTGAGTTAGATGCGCGCGCTCGCCAGCGCCACGTCCGCGCGCTCCACCGCCTCCGCGTCGACGGTGGCCGCGCCGCCGTCGTCGTTCGCGTCGTCCGCCCGCCGGACCCGACGCCGCAGCCCCGCGACGCAGGAGCGCAACTCGTCGCCGCTAAAGTTCGCGAGGATGATCAGCCAGAGCGCGATGAGAAGCGTGGACGCGAGGAGCACGACGAGGAGGCTCGCGAACACCTTGCCCGAGAAGACGCCGTCGTGCTGCTCGAGATTGTCCGTCGCGAACACCATCAGCGCGTAGAAGAACACGAGGACGAGCTCCGTCTGCGCGACCTCCGAGACGACCCCGTCGTCCTCCTCGACGTAGGGCTCGTAGTGGCTGAAGACGCGGTAGGAGATGAGGCTGCCGAGGAGCCCGATGGCGATCTGGGAGATGGAATCGGGCACGAACATGGACAGGCACCCCGTGAGGAAGATGCGGCGGGAGACCTCGTAGACCATGAACATGAAGCAGCTCGGTTTGAACTCCTCGTAGAGGAACCGCACGCTCTCCAGCGTCGGGTCGTTCGCCCGCGCCTCGAGCTTCTGGAACTGGACCATCGATTCCGCGTGCCGCTCGAGCGCCTCGTGGAGGAAGTCCTCGTCCTCCTGGTTCGCCGCGTGGGCGCCCGCTTCGCCGATGGTCCGTCCTGAAGGCGTTCGAACCGTTTGATGGTCCACGTCGGGGTCCAGCCGCCGCCGCAGCCGCCAGAGCAGGCACGCGAAGCCGAGGGGCACGCCGACGGGGTAGGCGACGATCGAGAACAGCACGTAGGGCAGCCACGCGTCGTACGTCGGGCTGTCGCAGCTGATCGTCGGGTCGATGCGCATGACGTTGACGCCGTCGCCGTAGCCGCCGTCGTACTTTGCACACGCGAAATACCGCAGGCAGTACGCGGACGTCGAGGGCACGAGGACGTAGAGCGTGAAGAGGATCCAATACGAAGCCCCGGAGAGGATCTCGTCCCGCCGCGACCGATCCACGCACGCGTAGCGGATCGCGAATCCGACCGCGATCAAGAGGACGAAGACGACGGGGAGCAGGGTCACGAAGAGAAGCTTGTCGAAGTAGTCGAAATCTCCGAAGCACTCCGTTTTGGCGAAACTGATGAAGCTCAGATTCACGACGGATCCAAGCTTCAGGGCCTCTTTGAAGATGGTGGGGAAGCGCACTTGCGGGAGCGACCACGGGATGCTGCACGCGATCTGGTACGTCGCGATGACGATCTTTGCTTTCGTCATGACGTTCTGCTCCATGGACCGTCCCGACGACTCCTTGTCGTCGGCGCTCTGCGTGTCGCTGCCGGCGGCTTCTCCGTCTTCGTCATCTTCGTAATGCTCCTCGAGCTTTGCCTTCGCGATATCTTTGACTGCCTCGCCCTGGACGACTTCGCGAATCGCGTCGACCCCGTGACCCAAAACGGTGAAGATGCCAAACTTTCGCATCACGACGCCGATGGCCGCGACGACAAATAGGACGGCCAGCACGGTCCCGATGATATTGTCCCCGCTCGCCTTGATCTTGTTGCCGCAGTCCACGCAGCGGTTCGCGGCCGTGTCGTAGAAGTAGTGCGCCTTGCACGCGCCGCAGAGCGGGCCCTTGTGGCCGCGCGCGCACGAGCTGTTGGCTCCGCCCTTGCACGACTCTTCGAAGATACATTCGTAGATTGACGTCGCGTCGATCGACGCGCGCCAGAAATTCTTCTTCAGGTCCATCGTCTCCAAGGTCGTGCGCGCGCCCTGGGGACAGTTCGCGCACGTCTCGACGCCGCCTTCGCACGCGTCGTCGCACTCGACGCAGCACTCCTTGCACGGCAGCGGCTGTCCGTTTCCGTCAAGGAGCTTCTTGTCGGCGTGCGTGGCGTACTTTCTCGAGTCCCAGTAGTAGGCCTCGCGGCACGCGTCGCAATACGTCTTGCCCTCTTCGAGCGTAGTCGTCGGCGTCTCGCAGAGCTGACACGAGGACTGGCCGGTGAGATTGCTGTAGTAGCCGAGCGGACACTGTGCGCAAGATGACGCCGCAGCACCCGACGTCGTCCCGACGGGACACGGCGTCGCGGCCGAGGCGCCCTCGACGGGCACGAACGTGCCGGGCGACGCGAGCTTGCAGCTTGTCTGACCGAGAGCGTCCGAGTACGTCCCGCGCGAACACGGCGTGCAGTCGCTCTCGCCGGCGGCGGAAATGGTCCCCGCGGGGCACTCGACGACGAGCGCGTCCGTCGTCGAGCGAGCTTCGGTAACCGCGACCTCCGTGCTTCCAGTGATGGTCGCCGCGCTCGACGCCTCGTCGATGGCCGCCGACGCGAGCGACGTGCCGGCCGCGCGGTCGTCGAGCGCACTTTGCGCGTCTCCGGTCGATATCGAAGAGAGCAGCGTGTCCTGGAAGCCATCCTTGAACCGGTCGAGGTCGAGTTCCTCTCCGGGAACGAGGGTGTAGTTCGCGTAGGCGACGAAGGAGATTTGATCGTGGTTCGCCGCCGTCGCGAGACGACGGCGAGCGGCGAGATGCACGTCCCGCGCTGGCACGTCGTAGACTTCATCCGAGTGAATGCTTTCCTGGACTGCGGATGCAAAGGCCTGAAGAGCCGCGTGGTCTTCGGGAAAGCGATCCGCGTCCAAGCCCTCGAGCACGAGCGCGGAAGAGATCTCGACGGTGACCGTGGAGAGCTCCGCGTTCGTGGAGCCGGCGTCGACGGGTCTGCACGTCGCCGACTCCCGATCGCTGGTTTGCCCATCGGGACACAGCGTGCAGGAGACCGCGCCGGATCCAGAGTATCGCCCCGCGGGACACGACGACGGCGCGACGGCTCCGTGGACCCACGCGAACTTGCCCGGAGGAGCGGCTTCGCAAGTGGCGGCCGCCTCGAGGTTCGCGTAGCGGCCGGGCTCGCAGAGCGTGCACGTAGAGGCCTTCGCGCCCGAGTAGGAACCGGGTGGACACTTCGTCTGTTCCGAACCGCCCTCCTCCTCGACGACGTAGCCCGCGTCCGCGATGACCGCGGCGAAGGCGCCCGACCGCGGGACGTACGATCCCGCCGGGCTCAAGTCGCAAGACGTTTGCCCGGCGCCGCTCAGAGTGCCCGCTTTGCAGGGCTCCTGTTGGGACGCGCCGTCTCTGGCGACGTAAGAGCCGGCGTTCGCGAGGACGCACGACGTCGAGCCTTCCTCGGCGGCGTAGGAGCCCGCGGGACAGTTCGTACACTTGCTCTCGCCGGGGCGGCTAATCGTGCCCGCCGGGCAAAGCTCTTGCGAGGTGGCGCCGTCTTCTGAGGTATAGGAGCCCGCGTTCGCGATCGAGCACATCGTCGATCCAACCGCGCTCGCGTATTTGCCGGCCGGGCACTCGTCGCACGCGCTCTTGCCGCTCTCCTCGGCGAACGTGCCCGCTTCGCAGAGATCGCACGTCGTAGACCCGGCATCGGACGCGTAGGTGCCGGGCTGACACTGCTCGCACTTGCTCTGGCCGACGCCGCTGCGTTCTCCTGGTTCGCAGCGGACTTCTGAGGTCGCGCCCGGCTTCGCGACAAAGCTGCCCGCCGACGCGGCCGTGCAGGTCGCCGATCCTTGCTTGGAAGCATAAGATCCTTCGGCGCACGGGGTGCACTTTGAGGCCGCGGCGCCTGAATAGCGCCCAGCTTCGCACGGCACCTGTGCAGAGGCGCCTTCGTCTGCGCAAAAGTAGCCCTCATCCGCGAGCTCGCACGTATCCGCGCCCTCGTCGGCGTATCGACCGGCTTCACAATCCGCGCAGGACGTCGCGCCCGAGGCGGAATATTTGCCAGCCTGACACGCCGTCGGCTCCGAGGCGCCGGAGCCTTCCACGTAGAATCCGCCTTTGGAGAGTTGGCACGAGGTCTTTCCCGACTCGCCCTGATACGCACCGGGCTCGCAGTCGTCGCACGCGAATGAACCGCCGCCCGGCGAGATCTTGCCCGGAGCGCACGGAGTCTGCGCGGTCGCGCCGGCGTCGGCCACGAATTCGCCCGCGCTGGCTAACTTGCAGACATTCTGACCTTCATCATCGGTGTATGACCCGCGCTCGCACTCGACGCACTCGGACGCCCCGCTCGACGAGAACGTGCCCGGGGGACACGACGAGGTCTCGCCGGTGGAAAATCCTCCTGGTGGAGAATCTGTAAATACGGTCGCTGCGTCCACGCCTTCGGAGCTCATTTCGACGTCGACGGTCGCAGAGCCGAGCGCCGACCCCGAAAGCGACCGCCGCGAGGCCCAAAGCGCGCGCCGTCCCGAAGAGACCGCCTCCTCAATATTCCGCTGCAGGGTGCCGTCCTCGATCTTGGCGAGGAGGTCGAGCTCAAAGTCTTCGAGAACGAGCTCCTCGGTCGACATGAGATCTTCGCCGGCCGCCGCCGTGTAGTTCGCTTCGAGCTCGAAATCGATCTTCGCGCTCGAGCCGTTGGCGACGGCGGGGCCCACGGAAGCAATGCCGGCGCTGTCCACCATGAAGCTGAACAGATCCGCGACCAGCGTCGCCTCGAGAGCCGCCTTCAATTGCGCGTTGGCCACGGCGTCGTCGTTGAATGCGGACGCGTCGACGCCGTTCAGGGCCAGAGACGACCTGATGGTCATCAGCACGACCTCGGCCGGGGGCGCCCGCTTTCCGGCGTCGACCGTGGTACAAGCCGCCTCGCCGGCTTTGTTCGTCGTGCCGGCCGGGCACACCGCGCAGTAGCTCGCGGCCGCACCGGAATACCGGCCCGCGGGACACATGGTCTCCGCCGTGGCTCCCGTCGAAGCCACCATGGTCCCGCCGCTCGAGAGGGCGCAGGACGATTGTCCGCTCTCCGCGGCGAACGTTCCTTCCTCGCAGCGTGTGCACGCGGACGCGCCCATGCCGCTGTAGGACCCCGCCGGGCATGGCGTCGCTTCGAACGCGCCGGACGCGCCGACGAAGGAGCCGGCGTTCGACAACTGGCAAGAGGTGCCGCCGCGCTCGTCCGCGAAGGTCCCGGGCTGGCACGCGTCGCACTCGGTGGCGCCCGAGCCGCTGATCTTGCCGGCATCGCACAGTGTCTGCGTCGAAGCGCCGGTCTCGTTCACGAAGGAGCCAGCGTCGGCGAGGGCGCAGCTCGACTGCCCGGTCTCGGGTCCGTAGGTACCGACGCCGCACTCGATGCACGGTCCCGAGCCGGCGCCCTTGAAGGTCCCGACCGGGCACGCGCTGCACTCGCTCGCTCCGGCGGAGCTGCTCGAGTAGCCCGCGGGGCACGACGTGCAGGATGATTCGCCCTCGCCGCTGAAGGTGCCGATCTCGCAGTCGACGCACTCGCTCGCGCCGGAGCCGGAGAAGCTTCCCGCGGGGCACGATGTCTGCTCGGGGGCGCCAGCCAAGTCGACGAAGGACCCGCCGTCCGCGAGGGCGCAGCTCGACTGGCCGGTCGCGTCCTGGTACGTCCCGCGCTCGCACTCGTCGCACTCGCTCGCGCCAGAGCCGGAGAAGCTTCCCGCGGGGCACGCGGTCTGCTCTGAGGCGCCGGTGTCGTTCACGAAGAAGCCGGAATTTGCGAGGAGGCAGCTCGACTGCCCGGTCTCGGGTCCGAACGTGCCCGCGCCGCACTCGACGCACGGCCCCGAGCCGGCGCCCTTGAAGGTCCCGACCGGGCACGCGCTGCACTCGCTCGCTCCGGCGGCGCTGCTCGAGAAGCCCGCGGGGCACGACGTGCAGGATGAGTCGCCCTCGGTGCTGTAGGTGCCGACCTCGCACGTCGCGCACGCGGAGCTGGCCGTCGCAGAATACGTCCCCGCGAAGCAAGCCGTGGACGCCGAGGCGCCCGTGCTGCCGACGAAGCTGCCCGCCTCCGCGAGCTTGCAGTCGCTCGAGCCCTCCTCGTCCGCGTACTTGGCCGCGGCGCAGTCGAGGCACGGTCCCGAGCCGGCGCCCTTGTACTTGCCGACCGGACACGCCTCGCACTCGCTCGCGCCCTCGGCGTCGCTCGAGTACCCGCTCGGGCACAGCGTGCACGTGTCGCTGCCCTCGGTGCTGTAGGTGCCGACCTCGCACGTCGCGCACTCTGAGCTGGCCGTCGCGGCATACGACCCCGCGAAGCACGGCGTGGACGCCGAGGCGCCCGTGCTGGCGACGAAGCTGCCCGCCTCCGCGAGCTTGCAGTCGCTCGAGGCCTCCTCGTCCGCGTACTTGGCCGCGGCGCAGTCGAGGCACGGTCCCGAGCCGGCGCCCTTGTACTTGCCGACCGGACACGCCTCGCACTCGCTCGCGCCCTCGGCGTCGCTCGAGTACCCGCTCGGGCACAGCGTGCACGTGTCGCTGCCCTCGGTGCTGTAGGTGCCGACCTCGCACGTCGCGCACTCTGAGCTGGCCGTCGCGGCATACGACCCCGCGAAGCACGGCGTGGACGCCGAGGCGCCCGTGCTGGCGACGAAGCTGCCCGCCTCCGCGAGCTTGCAGTCGCTCGAGCCCTCCTCGTCCGCGTACTTGGCCGCGGCGCAGTCGAGGCACGGTCCCGAGCCGGCGCCCTTGTACTTGCCGACCGGACACGCCTCGCACTCGCTCGCGCCCTCGGCGTCGCTCGAGTACCCGCTCGGGCACAGCGTGCACGTGTCGCTGCCCTCGGTGCTGTAGGTGCCGACCTCGCACGTCGCGCACTCTGAGCTGGCCGTCGCGGCATACGACCCCGCGAAGCACGGCGTGGACGCCGAGGCGCCCGTGCTGGCGACGAAGCTGCCCGCCTCCGCGAGCTTGCAGCTCGACTGGCCCGTCGCGTCCTGGTACGTCCCGGCCTCGCAGTCGAGGCACTCGCTCGCGCCGGAGCCGGAGAAGCTTCCCGCGGGGCACGCAGTCTGTTCCGAAGCTCCAGTGTTTCCGGCGTAGAAGCCCTGACCTGCGAGCGCGCAGCTAGACTGACCCGTCAACACCTGGAACGTGCCGGCCGCGCAGTCGTCGCACTTGCCCGAAGCGGAGCCGGAGAATGAGCCCGCGGGGCATTCGCGTTGCTCCGAGGCGCCCATCGCGTCGACGAAGGACCCGCCGTCCGCGAGCTTGCAGCTCGACTGGCCCGTCGCGTCCTGGTACGTCCCGGCCTCGCAGTCGATGCACTCGTCCGCGCCGGAGCCGCTGTACTTGCCCGCATCGCACGCGGTCTGCTCCGACGCGCCGTCCGCTTGGACGAAGGACCCGCCGTCCGCGAGCGCGCAGCTCGACTGGCCCGTCGCGTCCTGGTACGTCCCGGCCTCGCAGTCGACGCACTCGTCCGCGCCGGAGCCGCTGTACTTGCCCGCATCGCACGCGGTCTGCTCCGACGCGCCGTCCGCTTGGACGAAGGACCCGCCGTCCGCGAGCGCGCAGCTCGACTGGCCCGTCGCGTCCTGGTACGTCCCGGCCGCGCAGTCGTCGCACTCGCTCGCGCCGGAGCCGCTGTACTTGCCCGCATCGCACGCGGTCTGCTCCGACGCGCCGTCCGCTTGGACGAAGGACCCGGCGTCCGCGAGCGCGCAGCTCGACTGGCCCGTCGCGTCCTGGTACGTCCCGGCCTCGCAGTCGACGCACTCGTCCGCGCCGGAGCCGCTGTACTTGCCCGCATCGCACGCGGTCTGCTCCGACGCGCCGTCCGCTTGGACGAAGAAGCCGGCGTCCGCGAGCGCGCAGCTCGACTGGCCGGTCTCGCCCTGGTACGTCCTGACTGTGCAAGTTGAGCACTCGCTCGCGCCGGAGCCGCTGTACTTGCCCGCATCGCACGCGATCTGCTCAGAGGCGCCGATCGCGTCGACGAAGAAGCCGGCGTCCGCGAGCTTGCAGCTCGATTGACCCGTCAAGTCCTGGTACGTCCCGGCCTCGCAGTCGATGCACTCGTCCGCGCCGGAGCCGCTGTACTTGCCCGCATCGCACGCGATCTGCTCAGAGGCGCCGATCGCGTCGACGAAGAAGCCGGCGTCCGCGAGCTTGCAGCTCGATTGACCCGTCAAGTCCTGGTACGTCCCGGCCTCGCAGTCGATGCACTCGCTCGCGCCCGGAGCAGAATACGACCCCGCGGAGCAGCTGGCGCACTCGCTCGCGCCCGCGGCCGAGGACTTGCCCGCGGCGCACTTCGTACACTGCGGGTCGCCCTCGGCCGAGAAGGTGCCCGCGTCGCACGACGTGCAGTTTGCGATGTTGAAGTAGCCGTCGAAGGTCGCGGTCTCGACGGTCCCCGCTGGACACGTCCCCTCCGTGCAGCCGCTCCCCGAGAAGACGTCGCCGAAGCACGCGCACGTCCCGGTGCCGCCCCTACCGTCGTCGCAGGAGCCGCGCGACCGGCCGCTCCCCGCGACGCCGCAGGTGTCCGTGAGGCGCGGCGCGTTGCGGTCTTCGTCACCCCCTTGCGGGCAGGGCTCGCACGTGCTCCCGTAGAAACCCGCCTGGCACTCGCCGCACTGCATGACCACGTCGGGCACCTCGTGGTCGAAGCCGCCGAGGCACTGGCAGGACGCTTCGGAGAAGATGACGGAGGTCAGATCGCAGACGCCCTTGCTACTGCAGGCATTGCCGCCTTGCGTGCAGTAACCGTTCGCGAAGAAGTTGAGGACGCCGTCATCTTCGCCCACGACGAGGTCGAGGTCGCCGTCGCCGTCGAGGTCGGCGAAAGCGGGCTTGCTGTCGTCACCGATGTCGATGCCGTAGAAGGGGTTCGCGGTGCCGGTGACGGGCGCGTAGTCTGGCGACGCCGCGGACCCGACGTTCTCGTAGTAGTTGAGGGCGCCGTTGTCTTCGCCCACGACGAGGTCGAGGTCGCCGTCGCCGTCGAGGTCGGCGAGCGCGGGCGTGCTGCCGCTGACGTCGATGCCGTCGAAGGGGTTTGCGGTGCCGGTCCTGGCCGCGTAGGTCGGCGACGCCGCGGACCCGAAGTTCTCGTAGTAGTAGAGGCCGCCCCAGTATTCGCCCACGACGAGGTCGAGGTCGCCGTCGCCGTCGAGGTCGGCGAACGCGGGCGCGCTGCTCCAACCGACGCCGATGCCGTCGAAGGGGCTCGCGGTGCCGGGGACGGCCTCGTAGCTCGGCGCTGTCGCGTTCCCGACGTTCGCGTAGTAGAAGAGGACGCCGTAGTTTTCGCCCACGACGAGGTCGAGGTCGCCGTCGCCGTCGAGGTCGGCGAACGCGGGCGCGCTGTAGTAACTGACGTCGATGCCGTCGAACGGGTTCGCGCTGCCGGTCCTGGCCGCGTAGGTCGGCGACGCCGCGGACCCGACGTTCTCGTAGTAGTAGAGGAAGCCGTACACTTCGCCCACGACGAGGTCGAGGTCGCCGTCGCCGTCGAGGTCGGCGAGCGCGGGCTTGCTCCGGGAACCGACGTCGATGCCGTCGAAGGGGCTCACGGCGCCGGTGACGGGCGCGTAGTCTGGCGACGCCGCGGAGCCGACGGTCTCGTAGTAGTTGAGGACGCCGTCCTCTTCGCCCAAGACGAGGTCGAGGTCGCCGTCGCCGTCGAGGTCGGCGAGCGCGGGCGCGCTGTTGTAACCGACGTCGATGCCGTCGAAGGGGTTCGCGGCGTCGGTGACGGCCTCGTAGCTCGGCGACGCCGCGGACCCGACGTTCTCGTAGTAGAAGAGGGTGCCGTCGTACTCGCCCACGACGAGGTCGAGGTCGCCGTCGCCGTCGACGTCGGCGAACGCGGGCTTGCTCCAGTGACCGAAGGCACCGACGTCGATGCCGTCGAAGGGGTTCGCGGCGCCGGTGACGGCCTCGTAGCTCGGCGACGCCGCGGACCCGACGTTCTCGTAGTAGAAGAGGGTGCCGCCGTCTTCGCCCACGACGAGGTCGAGGTCGCCGTCGCCGTCGAGGTCGGCGAGCGCGGGCGCGCTGTGCCAACCGACGTCGATGCCGTCGAAGGGGTTCGCGCTACCGGTGACGGCCTCGTAGCTCGGCGACGTCGCGTTCCCGACGTTCTCGTAGTAGTAGAGGAAGAGGTTCAATTCGCCCACGACGAGGTCGAGGTCGCCGTCGCCGTCGAGGTCGGCGAGCGCGGGCTTGCTGTAGGAACCGACGTCGATGCCGTCGAAGGGGTTCGCGCTACCGGTGACGGCCTCGTAGCTCGGCGACGCCGCGGACCCGACGTTCTCGTAGTAGAAGAGGGTGCCGTAGTATTCGCCCAAGACGAGGTCGAGGTCGCCGTCGCCGTCGAGGTCGGCGAGCGCGGGCGCCAATTGGACGTCGATGCCGTCGAAGAAGTTCGCGCGCTCGACGTACTGGTGCTCGTTCCCCCAGCAGACGGTCGCGTCCCGCAGGACGCAGAGCGCCGACGCCCGGGCGGCCAGGAGCGCCAAGACGACGCTTCTCGCCATCGCTTCACTTCACCGGCCTGTGGGCGAGGGGTGTCGGCGGTCGGCGGAGCGCGCGATGTGGGGGCGGGGGAGGGCGGGCTGGGCGACGTGGCGGTCGGCGGACGAGGGCGTCGGCGGTCGGCGGGATCGCGTTCCGACGAGCGGGCGGCGGGGCGCGCGCGCGGGTACAGAGGCTGGCGTCGGCCAAGTCCTCGAAGCAGAGCGCCGAGGTCTCGACGACGCCTCGAGGCCTCGGCGTGGGGCGTTGAAGAGACGCGGCGATTCGCTGCTCGTTTTCTTTCGCCGCAGAAATTCGTGTTCGGCGTCGACGAAGCAGGGGGTCCACGATGCCGTGCGCAGGGCCACCCGAAGGTCGCGGACAGCGCGGGTGCCGGTGTGCCCCGCGCGAGCGCCGACGTCGAATCGCGACGGTCGGTCGATCGACTCCGATCGGCGGACCGCCGACGGGCCGCGGGGCCGGCCGCTCACCCGGAAAGCGTCGCGACCGGTCGACGTTTGGGGCAAAACGAGGCGGGCGGACACTGTATGGGACGCGGGGCGGGGCGGTCAATTGACCACGGAGGTTGACGCTTTTTCCGCTTTCGACGAGGCTAGGTTCGTTTTCGGTTCGGCGACGACGAATTCGGGTTAGGTGGAGAGGAGGAACGGGGTATGGAGCGTTGCGTTCCGGGAAGACGCAGGCGAGAGGCGCCCGCGCGCGCAGCGGGGAGTGGGCGACGTGTTGCCGTAAATGTCGACAAGTCGATGCGCGATGCGGCGACTCGCTTGGTGCACCTTTAGCCTAAATTTCCGGGAACTTGCCCCGATCCCGATCTACTCGCTCGCTGCGGAACGCGGAACTCACGACGGCCGCGCCGCCGACCATGAAGGGTAGTCCTCAAAAATATTATCGCGTCGTCAGGGGCATAGCTTCCCCGGCCTCGCGCTCGAGCTTCTCGACGCGCCCCTCGAGCTTGGCCAGAAAGAGCCGCTCGGGGACCTGCGCGAGGTTCGTGATGTGCACAAAGGGCAAGCCCCGGAGCCGCATCTCCTCGAGGCGCGGCCGGAGGCGCGAGTCGAGGGAGTAGCCGAGGAGCGCCGGGCACGCGATGACCGCCGCCGCGGCCGCGGCCGCGCCGTCGTCGACGCCCGGCGAGTCCGCGGCCGCCGCCGCGAGCGCGTCGAGCTTCGGGGCCAGGTTCGCGTCCACGGAGAGGCCGAGCACCGTCGGGTAGGACGCCACGAGGCTCGCGAGGTTCGCGCGCGTCCGCGTGTCGAAGACGTCGTCGAGCGCCTCCGGCGGCGCCGACGCGTTGAGCGGCGGCGCGCCGAGGAGCCGCGCCGCCAGGAAGCGGCACGTCGTCCGCAGCGTGCCCGGCACGCTCAGCCCGAGGCACTGGGGCCGCTTCGACACGACGGCCGCCGCGCGGTCCACGCCTAGCCCGAGCTCGTCGCGGAGGAACGCGAGGCGCTGCCGCAGCTTCGCGACCGCGACGGAGTTCGCGACCTTCGCCGCCTTGGTCGCGACGAGCGTCCCGAGCGACGCGGCCGCGCGCGCCGACAGGGCGAGCTCGTCGCCCAACGCGTCCGTGAGCCGCGCCAGCTGGTCCGGCGACGTCAGCAGGAGCTCCGGGTGCCGGTAGCACGCGTCGGAGGCCGCGCGCGCGCCCAGCGACGCCACGAGGCCGTTGACCCGCGCGGCGAGCGTCGCCGCGTCGAGGCAGAGCACGCGCGGCGCCTTCTCGGCGACGCGGAGCGCCAGCGTCTTCGGCGCGTCGAGCGACGCGTTCGCCGCGCGCGCGGCGACGAAACCGCCGCTGCCCTCCGCGTCGAGCGCGTCGAGCGCCCGGAGCCGGCCCCGCAGGCCCGTCGCCCGGAGCGCGCCGGGCCACGTGCCTAGAAGCGCCGCCGGGAGCGCCGCGTCCAAATGCGCGTAGGTGCGGAAGTTGGGCTCGAGCGTCTTCCGGAGCGACGCCGTGAGCAGCTGCCTGTGTGGAAATCAACCAGTGAGCTGGGACGTCGGGGCCAAACTTCAGAAATCTCCAGCTCGGTCAAATCGAAGTCGATTTGGCTGATTTTTGGACGAATCGATTGCTCTCGTCAAGTTCTCGAAGCACATCCGAAGAGCTTGTGTCGAAACGGTCGCATACGCTCACATTCAAGTCGGGTTGAAGATTTGATTTGCACGCAGGCAGCTGCGGGCACCTGACGCACGCGTCGCCGAGCCGCCTCCGCGGCACGCCGCAGCGCGCCGCGAGCCAGGCGATCTTCGCCGCCAACGCGTCGGCGTTGAGGCCCAGGATCGTCGGCTGGCTCGACACGAGGCGCCGCAGCGCCGCGTCGTCGAGGTCCAGGGCCTCGCGGAGCGCCTCGCCCTTGCGCTGCAGCGTGTCGCGCCGCTGGCTCAGCACGGGCCCGTGCTGCGCGAGCACGCGGCTCAGGGTCTCCTCGTCGACCTGGAGCTCGTCGCGGAAGTAGAAGTAGCCCACGCGCTTCTCGAAGAGCGTGAGCATCAACGAGCCCTCGGCGAGCGCGCGCCGCGCGTCGTCGCTCTCGAGCTCCCGAATCTCCCCCGTCGTCTCCAGCTTGCGCCGCGCGGCCCGCTCGAGCTGCGCGACGCGCGCGAGCGACAGGTCGAGCCGCAGCGAGCACTCGAGCTGCGTCGACGGCTCCATCCAGTAGCGCTCCAATAGCACGTCGGCCTCGCGGTCCGTCAAGGGCGCGAGCGCGAGCTCCGCGTCGCCGCCGGCGGCGACGATGGCCGCGTGCAGCCAAAACGGCGCGTCGGGCCGCGGCGGGCTGAGGCCGTAGTACGCCTCCTCGTCGTCGTCGCCGTCGAAGGCGGACACGGCGTCGGCCCAGACGTCGAGGGGCTCGTCGGCGGCGCTCCGGCGCGTCGCTCGCGCGCGCGAGCACGCGTCGAGGCGCGGCGTTCGCGTGCGCGCGAACGCATGCGTCGAATCGACGAGGAGGGCCAGGGCGATAAAGGCGACTGCGTGTGTGTGCCAGGACGTTGCGCTGCGCGTCAGCGCCATCGTCTTGGGCTTCAGGTTGAACGGCACGAGCACCCCTCTTGAACCGTAGAAGCAGCCCTCTCGAGGCACGACTCCATCGAGCAAAAG